GCACAGGCGGCTATGAATCCGTGGAAAGAGCAAAAGAAAGACAAGATAAAATACTTGATGCGCTGCATCTTCTGTGGACTAGTGATGACTCATTTATACTAGGAAAAGGATATAAAAACTTTAAAAACTTCTGCAGCGATAATGGTATGACATCTACTAAATTTAGTAACATACAGAATCTTTTTACATTTTCTAGATGGATATATACACTGGATATACTTACTTCAACACCTGATAATATAACCAATGCACACAGACTATTCAAAAAAACGCACTTTGACTTGTCTTACACCCATCCCATGTGCTATATCTATCTGCGATCTAAAGATGCTATCAAACAATTCAGTGACATTAATCATCTTGTCAGCATAGGCATGAATCTAAACGACAGGCCTTTCATGGAAATGCATTCAGCAGGTCTTACCAAAATCAAAATTAGGCCGTATAAAATAAGTACAGCAGATAATGAGTTACTACATACAGAAAATATAAAAGATTGCATTAGGATATGGTACTTAAAAATAGCTAAAATTATCTACATACTTAATAGCGAAGAATATCTTGATATAACCAATGATTTTAAAAATCATTTCAGTAAATCAGGCTATGTGGTTGAAAGGAGAACGTTTACATTGGCAAGCGAATTTGGAATAGATGCAGGTGGTTCTTTACAGGCTGCTCAAATGAAATCTCAAGAAGTACATGAGCCCAGAGGCAATGAAAGCAATCCGTTGCAGGTTGGTCAAATGGAAATTGAATAGGATGATTTTGAGTCTAGCTAGCTTAATCAGCATCTATTCACCGATCTATTTATTTATTCATACAAAATAAAACTACTATTTAACTCTTTCCTTTCTGCATCCTATCCATATTATTTATATTTACGCCATGTTCATGTTCATAATAATCACTGCTCCTTCAAGAGGACCACATACTTAACAATTCTAATGATTCTAGTAAGCCTTAGCTTGGGTTTTATTTTAACTGGCAAATTTATTCTTAGATTATATTACTTTTTATTATCTATCTTATCTCCTGGCTTCTATAGAACGCACACACCGTATCAAGGTAGTCCTGGCTCTGATCTATCTGTCCGGACAGGCTTTTCATCTTTGCCAGGTGCTCGTGTGCTAGATTGTACTCTCTTGTGTGGATGGAGTACTCTATCACTCTTTTTCTCGCATAGTACTCTGTTTCTGCTGTTACCCCGGGAGAGTACTGCAGAGCTGCCCTTATTCCTTCAATGAGTCCTAGGCTCTTCACCTGGGTGCATATAGACAGATATGCTTCTTTTGCCTCTCTGTGCTCTTCTGCTGACTTAAGCAGCTTCTCCATCCACTCAGCTGGCATCTGTCCTGTTTTTAGATAGAGCGCCATGATGGCACTTTCTGCGTACCTGAACATCATGAAGGAGTGCGCAAACATGAACAGCATGTTGCAGTCTTTTGCTATGTTGGGCGTGTATGTTTTTATTTTCTGGAGCAAGTTGTCCATTGCTTCTTCCATCTTTCCCTGCTGCATAAGAATATTCTGGAGAGCCAAGTCTATTCTTTCGTTTTTTGGATTGAATATCGAAGCGTACTTAAGGACTCTCTCAGCGTCTGCATACTTCTTGCTCTGTGCAAAAGACACCGCTGTTATCAGCAGCGTATCTATGTCCAACACTTCGAACTTGCATTCTTGCAAAATTTTTAGTGCTTCTTCATGTCTCCCATTTAGAAGTAATCTTGTGCACAGAGACTTGGCATACTTGGCTGTTTTGACGAGAGTGAATGCTTCTTTAAGATGGTCTATGCTATCATCCATGCACCCTAGGGCGTACAGCAATGATGCCATTTCTATTTTTAGAAGTACTCCTGGCTCTTTGGAGTGTGCTGATGGCTTATGCAGAGAGTATGTGCCACTTACTAGCTCGCTCATAACCAGCTCATCTTTTATCTTTTCTATTCTCTCCTGCAGCAGAGGCCTTGCTATGTCTCTTTTTCCTGCTAGAACCAGCGACATGATCAGCTGGTCTGTTTCCTTGTGCTTTTGGAAGAGAGGAACAGCTAACACATGCGATGCTGTGGCAGCTAAGGCATTGGCCCATATCAATTCATGCTCTTTTTCTTTCAGGGGATTCTCCGGGGTAATGCTGTACTCCACTAGAGAGAGCGTAACGAGCGGCCGATCAGGCAGGGATACAGCATATATCAGGATGGCGTCATCGGAGTATCCTTCCCTTATGAGCATATGTGCAACTGCGGATGCCTGCGACTTTGTGTGCTCTGTTCCTATGAGGAGAAAATGTTTGGCAAGGCAGTACAGGAGGTCTTTCTGGTTGTAAGATAGATAGAATTTCAATGTATCAAGAACCACTGGGAATATATAGTATCTGTCTCCTGACTCAAGTGCTTTCTCTATTTCATCCAGCCTACTGGTTATATTTCCAGAAGAATCAGAGATAGTGTCATTTAACTCTAAAGATGATGCATTCTCTACCTCGCACACTAGCACAGGAACAGAGGTCTGTTGCCCTGGATATCTGTATCCTGGTCTTCCTATGAAGTTCCACTCTAGGCCCAGGAGACTCTTCAGCTGACCAATTGCTCCAGCTTCTATATTTCTGAAGTGCTCGTCATCCGGTATTTCATTGGCTATTTTTATCTGGGAGAACAGCAGATTTATTTTTTCTTCTGCATCCTGCGACTCTGTGCATCTCTTATTTATAACCGCAAGTATTTCTTTTGTGTGGAAAATAAGAGCCTGTGATCTAAATGTGACTTTCTTAAGGATTACTACCACTGCTTCCAGCAGTTCTCTTTTTCTCTCGATGATCCAGGCTGTTTTTGTCTTCGGTTTTATGAAAATACTCACAAGAGCAACAATGGACTCGTGTGCCCTGTGGATTGGAGATGATATTGTCTTGTAAATCTCTTCCTTTGTCTCGTTGTCTAATGCAGCATCTTTCTCTTTCTTTGCCAGATCCAGTGCACAGCTAACTCTCTTCAAAAATGCTTCTTTCTCTGAGGCTATTATCTGCGATGAGCTCATAAAAATTTGCAAATCCACCAGTTGTCTCTTTCTTATTCTTGAACCTCCAAACAATAGATAAGACTTGGTCTAGCTTAGAACACTAGAGGGTGCGGGGTATCTCTTATTTATCTATTATTTTGTCAGTTGAAAACAGCGTATACTGGTATAACTCCATTTGAGAATTTACTTCATTTTAAATTTGTTTACTCCTCTACTGTAATGGACTGAAGTGTGGAAGCAATGGCAACAAAAGATGAAACAGCATACAACAATCTAAAACACGTGTAGCTTAGAGCTTAAATACTCTGTTGCTTTGTAAATACATGGAGATAGCCTTCCACAGTAACAAGTGTGCTCTAAAAGATTCTCTCCGTCTTATAAAGATAGGAAAGAGCCCGTGCTGGAAAAGAAAATCAAAACTTCTATCGTACTCAGAAGGGCTAATCAGCAGTAACAAGAACATTATATCGCTGCATGCAGGAATCTCAGAGCATGAAAAGAATGAATTTACAAAACTAGAAGAGCAGTTCATCAATCTATCAAATACTACAGTAAGCAGCAAAGGAGAATGTGCCGTCTGCAGAAGAGACTGTCTAGAAGACCTCTCCAATGAGCAAAGAATAGAAGACACAGCAGACGAAAGAATAGTTGCATACTACGACAGAGAACAAGAGAGTAGAACAAGCAAAATAGAAGAAGTAACAGGACGGATGGAAAGACTGAACACCAAGGCAGAGTACATTGAGTCAATAATAAACATGCACAAAGAAGAACTGGATAAGCTGGCGTATAACAACACATCGTCACTAGAATACTCTGAGTCGCACCTGTTGGAACTAGATGGAATCATGCGAAGAAAAAGAAGAGCACTCTTTATTAAGAAGTGGCTTAGCGGTTTGCTTGTTTTTTTCTGTTTTGTTTCCCTTCTTCTTCTCAAGCCGTTCATTCCATGATCATTTACTATAATAAAATACCCATTCAATCGATTAGTTTACAGCAATTTGCATTTCTACTTTTCATCCATCACTACTTACTGAGATATAACTGTATATGTTAAATATATTTGGTGAGTATTTTCCTAGCTATGTGTTCTCAAGTTACGGCAATAATCAGCATAAAGAAGAATGAAAATTTAAAATTATTTGCTCTGCAGAGAGAAAGTGTACCTCTTCTTGCAGCAGGAGAAGAAATAATGAAAATAAAAATATTTTAATAGCTTATGATTTTAAGAAAAATAGTAAAACATGTGATCCTGATGGAAGTGTTTATCCTAGCTTATTCTCAAGGCGTTGCCTGCACAGTAACAGAAGACGACCTACAGCACATACATAGCTATTGGTCCAATGTAGTAGAAAGCTTGGGAAGAGAAGTTAGTATACGCAATGCTTTTCTTGAAAAAGTTAGCTCTCTTAAGGATAAGGCGATAATTGGTGTATATACGAGCGAAGAGATAGAGATGGGAAGGATGAGGCTATCTAAGATAGCAGAAAAACAAAAAGACATCGAAATAAAAACAAGGCAAATACAAAAGATAATAGACTTATTGACAAATCTGTACCAGTGCATAAAAAATGCAGACTCTCCTGACAAAAAAAGAAGAAGCCTTACCATGGCTAGAATACAAACAACCATCTTGGAGACCCTTCTTCTACCGGCTCTCAAGAGCTTTACTTTGGTAGTCAGAAAAATAAACGAGAATGATTTGTGTATGCTAAGAGCAATAGAAGAGCACAGTAGAATAAAAAATGAAAATGAAAAAATAAGTGAGCTGCCACTGTTCAAACTCGCAAAGAACAATAAAATACTGGCTGTTGATGTTGTACTCATGCTCTTTGAGAAGGATTTGTGCGAAATAGTTGACAACTCAAGAAATATAGCAGATTACATGCACAGATCAGCAATGAGCCACATCCCTCACGGGAATGTAAGACTGTTTGTCAGTGCGATAAAAGACAGTCTGATAGAAAGCAGAGCGGATCCACTAGTATCAGCAGACAGACACTTGCACTTACTGTTACATGATAGATACAAGAACTCTCCATCTGAAATAGATAAAGATACAATGAAAGTGTATCTTAGCCTATCAGAGAAAACACCCTGCAACGAAGAAAGAAGCCAGTCCATGAAGATAACACCCGGGCAGGCTGTAAATGTAATAGCAATGGAATGTTTGATGAATGGGCGCCTTTTGGACCATAGAAGAAATAGTTTATTCAGTGCCCTAGGAAAGGCAATAGAAAATATAACTGTAGAGAATAGCACAGATATTCCTGGAAGTAAAAGAACAGAAAAAGAAGAACAGGATAGGATACTTGATGCTCTAAGTGTTATGTGGAGTGACTGCAAATATTTACTATCTAAACCTGTGGACATTGACTTCTTCTGCGAAAAGAACAGGATTTATTTTGACTTGGAAAGAGTGCAGAATACCCTTGTATGTTCCAAATGGATGTGTGAAATAAAAAGACACGGGAGAGGGATGGAGTATCTGTCTTTTGACAATAAACTAACCAAAGGAATACACTTTGACATGTTGTACACACATCCCCTGTGGTATGTATACAGAAGATGCGAAAGCATCAGTGATGTAAACAGTGCAAGCATTGAAACTAGAGAAAAGCCATTTATAGAAGTAAATGCACAGGGCATTACAGTCAGGCCGTACAGAATAAGTAGGTCAGATGATAGATTAGAACGAGCAAAGTATGTGAGTGCATGCATTGCATCGACTCTTTCATCCGCTGACATTAAAATAGTAGAAAGAGAAGAAGAGAGCAAAGAAAATAGCAGGATATTCAGTGGTTTTTATAAGTACATGAAAGCATCCGAACAAAAAAGTGAAAAAAAGAAAGAACAGAAAACCAATCAGTGTAGATAAGCTACTGACACAAGAATAAAGATAAAAACCATCAAACATCTTCTATTAGAATCAGTTAATATTCACTCTCACTTTTCATCTTTCTACTTCCATCATTTCATTCAACCCAGCTACTTTAGTGTAGATCATCTAGCAATTTACTACTGCTCCTAGCTGACTCTCACAGCTATTTACCATCACTGCCATCTAACTGTGAATGTACACCCACACATATTTCCATCATTGCCATCTACACTATGAATAATTCGTGGCATGTCCACTGCCTTTCTCAAATATATTGGGATAATTTTATTAATTTTATTATGGAGCAGGATGACCAAGAGTATTCGCAGAACTCAGCTGTCTTTTCGTTTGACAATGCAAGCCAGATGAGCATAAGCACAAGCCAGCCCTTTCACCTTACACAGTACAACTCTGAGAACATGCCTGATGTGGTGATTGACGACATGAAGTCAACGTACACACAGGAGAATGTGCGAGTGGTGTGGGGCACCACAATAAACATACAGGAGACAATCGACCTCTTCAAAGAGTTCATCAGAACATTCACAAACACCGAAGGAGTGCCCTACTATCTCCACAGGATCGAAGAGATGCACGAGCTAGAGAACTACGTGATCACCCTCGACTGTGCAGACCTGAAAAATACCCCGTATGAAAAAGTTTTGACTGAAATATTATCGTATCCTGTTGAGATATTTCCTCTTTTAGAAATAGCCATAACAGATCTCTATCTGGAAAAGTATCCATCCACGCCTCCTTCCATCCGGGTGATAGTAACTAACGTGGGAAACCACAAGAACATACGAGACCTTCTCCCCACTGACGTAGATAGCACAGTGGAGATATCAGGAATGGTCACTAAGACCAGCGGAATACTGCCAGATATCACCACAGCTGCGTATGTGTGCAATAAGTGCAAGGAAGTGCTGCGCACTGAGGTAGTGAGGGGAGTAATAGCAGAGCCAGTGGACTGCACATGCGGGGATAAGTTCACAATGACAATGGACAGCGAGCTCTCTTCCTTCCAGGATAAGCAGGTGATAAAGATACAAGAGCTGCCAGAAGCGGTAAGTGATGGCCTAGTGCCCTGCACAATAACTGCGCTAGCATCGCACATACTGACAGATGGCCTTGCTCCCGGAGACAGAGTGAACATCACAGGGATATACAGGGCGGTTCCCCTGAAGCTGAACTACATCCACAGAACGATAAAGAGCTCATTCAAAACATACATTGAAATAGTCAGCTACTCCAAGAGAGTGTCAGGAAATAGCGGAAAAGCAAAGGATTCTGCTAAAAACACGTTTAGCATCCTGGATAAGATAGAAGAAGTAAGAAACATGCCAGATCTATACGACAAGCTAGCTAAGTCAATTGCGCCCTCTATCTACGGCATGCTGGATGTAAAGAAAGCCCTTCTTCTGCAGATGTTCGCAGGCGTGACTAAGTCTCTGAATGGAGCCAGGTTCCGAGGGGATATAAATGTGCTCCTCGCAGGGGACCCAGGAGTAGCAAAGAGTCAGCTGCTGCTGGCAGTGCACAGACTTATTGACAGGGGCGTGTATACTTCAGGCAAAGGATCGAGCGCAGTGGGTCTTACAGCCAATGTGTCTCGTGACATAGAAAGCGGGCAGCACATCCTTGAGTCAGGCGCTCTTGTGATAAGCGATGGAGGGGTGTGCTGTATTGATGAGTTTGACAAGATGGGAGAGGGAACAAGAAGCGTGCTGCATGAAGCAATGGAGCAGCAGACTGTAAGCATCGCTAAGGCAGGGATCATTACTACGCTCAATGCTCGGTGCTCTATCCTAGCAGCATGCAATCCGATAGGCAGCAGCTACAACCCAAAGAAAAACATCATTGAAAACTTGGACATTCCTCCTACCCTTTTGAGTCGTTTTGACATTGTGTGTCTTCTGCTGGATAAAGTAAACGCAAAAAGAGACAGGGAAATAAGCACGCACATCATCAAGCTGTACGCAGGAACAGAAAAACAGGCAGAGCCTCCTGTCAGCGAAGAAGTGCTGAAAGAGTACATCAAAGAAGGGAGAAATATCAACCCAGTGATAACGGATGCAGCAGCCCTGAGGATATCAAAAGAGTACCAGGAGCTAAGACTGCTGGGAAACGGGAAGAGTGTCACTGCCACCACCAGACAGCTGGAGAGCATCATCAGACTCAGCGAAGCACACGCAAGAATGAGGCTCTCTGAGAAGGTGGAAGAGCAGGACGTGTCAGAAGCCATCAGGATAATAAAAGATTCTCTGCACATTTATGCTGTAGACCCAGTGACAGGAAGGATCGACATGGAGCTGATCCACACGGGAAAAACAACAGCAGCCCTGAAGATGGAGGAAGACCTGAAAGAGCTGATTATGAAGAGCGTAGGAAAGGGAAGTACAGTGCCCAGCCTGGTGGAGGCAGTTAATAAGACAGGAAGAGTGCAAGAAAAAACGGTGGTTGGGATATTAAACGAGCTCCAAGAGGAAGGGAAGGTAATGATTGATGGGCTGTGTGTTACTCCAAACTGGCACAGAATGTAGCAGATATAACCAAAAATAAATTACTACTGTTTCAGAGGACGTGCATTTTGTTTTTTATTTTTGCACCTGTTCGTCTCTTTATGGTAAATTATTCACACATACAAAAGCAAATCATGCTTTTTAGGACATATTGCTGGTGCAATGAGTTTTGTCTGCACAGAATCCAAGGAAATAGCATTGTAACAACTTATTCTTTATTTTGTATCGGTTAAAGCTAAATTATTTACCACAAAGGCTGAATATAACAATATAAGTATGCTTTATTATCATTAGCTGATGGATGATAGGCTGGCAATAAATCAGTGGGATCAGAATAGTTCACTGTATTATCTCCCTGATGGTCTTGTTAGGAAGGGTGGATATGGGCGTATGATGGGAGAGCCATGCTGCATCCTCCTGCGATACTCTGGACACTTCCAGCCATGCATCAAACGACCCAAATATCCCTGACTCCTCCATAAGATTTCTATCTGCAGCTGTGCCTATCACAAGCACCTTAAATCTGTCCTGATTTTTAGCAAATAGCTTTATGGCTTGCAGGACGGGATTGGAGAACCTGGGGCCTATCGAGACATAATCCATTAGCCCCTCTATGTCATCTAGAACCACCAGGGCTTCAGTGCTCTTATACGCATCTTTGAATGTTTTTCTGATGTAATTTACTTTTTCGTTTTCTTCTTTTCCCACAATGTCCTTTGGGGATATCACGCGAATAAAAGGTATCTCTGATCTTTTTGCTATGATTTCAGCGAGGGCTGTCTTTCCCACGCCTGGTCCCCCTGTGAGCAGCATTGAAAGCGTTTTTGATTTTTTTCCGTCTTCTTTTCTGAGCCTTCGGATGATTTCATCTCCAAAGTCCAGCACTTTCTGCGCTGATGGATACGGGAAAAAAGGCTCGGGGATGCGCAGAGCCGTGCTGACACCGAACGAGGGAACGGTCTCCTGGAGTGCGCGCATGAAGTCGTTCATCTCGATAAGAATGTCGCACTTTGCATTCCTTGCTCTTTCGAGGGCAAATGATGCAGCACTCTTCACTAGTGCCGTTATTTCTGCTCCTGTGAAGTTTCTGGCTCTGTGGGCAATCAGCTCTAGATCTATGTCTTTCTTCATGAAACAGTTTCTGTTCATTCTTCCTGTGTGTATTTTGAGGATCTCCAGTCTTCCTTTTTCGTCTGGCAGAGATATTTCAATGTGGATCTCAAATCTTCCCGGGCGCAGCAGGGCGTCATCTATCAAATCAAGTCTGTTTGTCATTCCTATCACAAGAATATTGTTGAGTGATTCTACTCCATCTATTTTCGATAGCAGCTGGTTTACGACCTGATCTCCCACGCCATTAGACGATCCTCTGCTCTTGCATATTGCGTCTATCTCGTCGAAGATGATGATGTGCAGGGCGCTTTCATCGCCGTACAGCTTGTAGTCTCTTTCTGCGTCTTCAAATAGCTTTCTTATGTTCTCTTCACTCTGTCCCACGTATTTGTTCAGTATTTCAGGTCCATTCACGATTTTAGGCGGTGCAGAGTTCAGGAGCGAAGACATCTTCCGCGCAATGAGGGTTTTTCCTGTCCCCGGAGGACCAAATAGCATGATTCCTTTTATGTGGCTTATTCCTATGTCCTTAATCAGCCCCGGCTTGTACATCCTCTGAATAAAAGCACGCCTGAACATTTCTCCAAACTCTTTCTTCAGCCCTCCTATCTCCATCTGCTGGAAGTCAAACTGTGTGTTTATGTTGAGCTCTGAGCTCATCCCAAGGATTGTTATTCCCTGGTGCTCTTTTATGACCACTCTTGTGCTTCTGCTCACCACCCCCACTATTTCTTTATTTGACACTTTTACGCCCTCTACCTTGCATATGAAGAGAGTGTCCTTCATGGCAGCTGATGCATCGGATGCCTGCTCCAGCTCCATCAGCAGGCTCAGCTCCTGTCCTTCTGTAAGAGGTATTCCATTGAGAACTTCTGTAAATGTTCTTATGATCGTCTTGTGGGATATTCTTATGTGCGCTCCTTTTATCTTCCCCTCCATGGAAATGCTCACTTCTTCTATCATTCCCATCCTGCTGCCTATTCCATCTATTACATCTACGTATTCATTTTCGCTCAGCTGCGCAAATGCTCTCTGCACTTGGGAGAGGGATATGCTGTAGGGAGGTAGCTCACTATCTATTCTCGCCTTGAAAGGATACCCTTTTATTATGCAGTATTCGCCCGTATACTCGTCAGATATGTACACTTTGTTCTCGTGTGCTCTAAGGAGGTTCTTCATTTTTACTACTTTGTATCGTCCCATTACTACTCCTCTGCTTACTCTTTATTATTATTTTATTTTTATTTTTATTTTCATTCCCACTTCCGCTAATTCATTATCTGCTATTGTCTAATGTCACTTCATAAACCGTTCGATAGCCATCCATTACACCATCTACTGCATCTACTGTTTATACAGCTTATTTTTACTTGTATTTCCTTATCTATCTCCTATCTAACTGATCTAGCTGAAAATAGCTGAAAAATCAGTCGATATGGTACCGTATACACCTTTCTTTCTCTATTTACTCGTTCTCCTATTCGCCACTATTCATTTTATCATTCATTCTTAGTACATCTTCTACCCTTTGTTCTTTTTAGCTCTTGATCATAATGCATCTGCGCTCTATACCTATCTTATTCTGAGAGAGTCAGATACTCATCAGGCAGGCCAAGCGGTTTTGTCTCTTTATTCTCGCAGAATATTTCTTGATTTGGGAGTGTTTGTGTTTGGCTATTTTGTTTCACTTTGTTTCATTGTTTTTCATTTTCATAAATATTTAACTATTCATTAATTTGCTCAAATTTTATTTCATGTTCACTCAGCCACACGATAAAGAAGTGTTCCGAGACAGCGCCTTCAACAGAACAAACAACGTCCCATCGCTAAGCAGCAAAATACAGCAGACAACGGATAAGATAGATAAACACGCACGAGAGCAGGAAGTGTTCAGCAGGCTTCCCTCCATTCCTGACATTATCGAACAGGACAGAAACAGAAGAGAGCCCAGAATATCTCCTCCTCTGTCCATAAACTCAGACATACCGTACGATGCAGATCCTTCTTCTTCTTCGCAGAGTCTCGTGCGGTCTACGATGTACGTAGTGCCAGCAGACGAAGACCTCTTTGAGCTCGTGGGCCTTCCTTTCCTTGTTGTTTTACAGCCCTTCAACGACGCAGTGCCTGTGCCTGAATACAAAACAGCCTATTTATCGAGATGCAAAGAGTGCAGCTCGTTTCCCACGCCATCCGAGAATGTCTCGTTCCAGTACAAGTGCACAATGTGCGGCACCATGAACGAGATACAGCCAGAGTGCCCCTCCCTGCAGGAGCATACAACAGAATACGTATGTGAGGGTGACGCACTGAAAAATGGAAGAAGCTGGTACTCCTCGGATAATATTCCAAAATCAGAAATATCTCTGCCATCTTGCCGAAAATGGAATGAGCCATCTGTTATTTTTATGATCGACTGCACAACTGTCTCCCGGGGTAGCCCAGGGTACTCTGAGTACATCGATGGACTGCGCACTATCCTTGCATCCAGTGAGCTTTCTTTGTTCTACAGGAGAGTTGGAATCCTTTTGATAAATGATGCAGTTTCTGTCGTATCAGATAGTGAGCTAGGATACTCTGTCAATGTTATATACAGCGTAAAGGGTGACTACGGCCTGTGTGCCCCGCTCTTCATAGAAACAGACAGCCTTACAGAAGAAAGAGTAAATACTCTCATGGAAACAATTGAAACACACTCGAATATTTCATCGGGATCATTCAACGTGCCAGGAGCACTCATTGCCGCAATCCAAATGACAGCATACACAGGAGGAAGCAAAACCATTGCATGGCTGGGGTCAGGAGAGTATGCAGATGTGCCTGAGCCACTCCACCAGACAATGATAGACTGCGGAGTGTCTCTGCACGTATTTACATCGAGGAGCAGCAAAATAGACAAAATGCACAATACTGTGTTTACAACAGGAGGATCGGTGGAGAGAGACCAAATAACCTCAGGAATGATGGGAAAGGTGCTGCAGGAGTCTTATTTCAGGTGCTCGATTAGAGTGGTAAGCAGCAATGGAATAAAAAAGAGAGCAGTGTACTGCAGCGGATCCTCTGAGAATATTTCTACGGTCTCTTTCCCCGGGATGGACTCATCCACGTCTCTAGCTGTTAGTTTTTCAGTTGAAGATTTTCTCAAAGAGGGCATACCTGTTTACATACAGGCAATTGTTGAGTACGTTAATCTGTCGGGAGAGGGAAGGGTCAGAATTATCAATATGAAGCTGAGAGCCAGCAGACTAATACAGCAAATATTCAGCGGGCTGTCTATGGACACTTTATTCTGCGGCATGTGCAAGTATATATGCTCAGAGCCAGTGAAAATAGTAGATAATGTAAGAAAGGCAGAGAGCTCAATGATCAGTGCGCTCTCTCTTTATAAGAGAGCCTGCGCCAAAGACACTTCGCCTACACAGCTCGTGCTCCCTGACTCTATCAAAGGGCTGCCTGTTCTCATACAGAGCATTCTTAAATATCCTAGGATACAGCTAGGTGTGGGAATGCGTGCTGAGCTAGCGGGAGAGATCATGCCCCTTTCAGTAGATAGGACCTTCAGGATGTTCTACCCGCGGCTTGTCAAAATATCTTCACTCTTCACAGTTGGGCGCATTGATGATCTCCCAGGGGAGAGACTTAGCATGCGCACGCTAGATGACAATGAGAGCTATTTAATGGATGCAGGCGGCAAGTGCATCCTGTGGTTTGGTAAGGGCGCTGTGGACTACATGGATGAAATGGTGGAAAATGAGGTGGTGTTATCTGCGCTCGAAAGACTGAAGGAGATGTATGGTGTAGATCTAAAAGTAACGCAGTGCATTCAGGGAGAAATGGATGCTGACTTCATTGGGTATATGATAGAAGACCAAATGGGAGGATATCCCAAGTATCAGGAGTACCTGGGGTTCCTGCATGGGAAGATAGTTAAAAAATAAAGTATAGTACTATCATTTATTCGCTATTTCTTGGGCTGCTCTGATCACAGACTCTTCGAAGAGCTTTTTAATGCTTTTTTTTACTTCCTGCTTGTTCTCTGCTGTATTTACTATTCTTACTATCTCTTTGTATTCACTGTTTGTTATTATTCCGCTGTTCTTTAGTGTGCTAATAGTGGCAATGGATGAAGGCTTTAAAATAGCTGCTTTTTTCGTCTTGTGTTTTGTCCCTCGTATGTGGTCCATCCATCCTCTGGGCGTTTTGTGAAGGATGGAAACACTGCACACTTTGCAAAAGAATTTCATAAATAAATAAAAGCATATGTATAAGTAAGAGTACAGTTATTTTATCCGTGTGCTATAAATATCTTATTTTTATTAATGGAAAATGCTGAGCAAGAAAGTGACACAGAGCGGCCTAGAGTACTACGACAACAACATTCTTTCGTCTTCTGTTTTTATCCTGGTGGGAGGCTTAGGTGACTCTATGGATGGCTTCTATGTGGACAGCATGATGCAATTTGGTATTAAGAACAACCACAGAGTGCTAAGTGTAGGGCTACGATCTATGCCTCACTATGGCCTGTACACAATAGACGATGATGTGCAGGATATAAACAGCTTCTACACTGACTTAGAGATAGAAGGGTACGAGTACGTGTGGTTCATAGGCCACTCAACAGGCTGCCAAGTTCTAATGCTCTATTCGATGCGTAAGAAAATGAAAGAAAATGAAACAATAGTACTGCAGGCTCCAGTGAGCGACAGAGAACACGCAGAAAGCAAAAGCGTAAATGTAAAAGAAAAAATAAAAGTAGCACAGAAGCTGGTAGAGATGATGAATGAGAACGAAGGAATGATTCTTTATTTGAGCCACGAAGAGGGTATAATTAGAGCAGATAGATTTATAAGCTTGTTTATGGAGGGAGGAAAAGAAGATTTCTTTTCATTGGGGCAAAGCACCAAACATTTGAACCCATCGAATGCCAAAATATTCAGTATACTCAGCACTGAAGATGAATATGTTGTGTCTCCTATTGATAAGATAGTAGAGCACTTGAAGAGCATAGCTGGAATGGAGGATGTGTATCTGGTTAGGTCTAACCACGGGTTTACAGGAGAACACGGAAGCACTGGTCTTTCTGATTTTCTGCAGATTATCAGTTGTATTATTGCTAAATCAGGATACATTAATAAATAGTATCTATTATTCAAACAAACAGAGAGATAGCGTGGGAAGAACCTCCATGATGCTGTTCTTGTCCAGGATAGAGTTGCACCCGAGCGCGTAGAAAGTGTGCAGGAGGTCTGGTATGCCGTCTGGCCTATCTGAATATCCTCCTGTGCTGCATTCGCATCTTTCAACGTACTTTCTAACTTTTTCGCTGTCTATGTACCCTTCTTTCCCCAGCAAAGACGCTGAAGAGAAGTTCCAGTACGTACTGCACAGCTCTTCTATTTTATCCACCCTTCCAGAGAGTCCTCCTGTTTTATTCTGCAATAAGCCAATTGACAGAGCTGTGTCGTAAATAGATAGTACACTCAGCTCACCCAGCAGAAAAAGTGAAGATACGCCGCAGAAAGTGTAGGCACTGTGCGACTCACAGCCAGGCATAGCCCCCAGCCCTCCATCTAAGTTGGCGCACTGCGAGATGAAGTTGCACAGAAGCCTCTTCATTGGCGTAACAATGCAGAACATCTCAGGGCCGCCTAGGGAAAGGAGAGAAAGAAGATTCTTGGAAGCAATGTAACAGCACACATACCGCAGATCGAGCACTGAGTCATATCCTACCAACTTTTCATTCGTAACTATACTTTCTAAATATGCATTGCATAGAACGTAGTTAGGTATTCTAGCAGAGCTATCTTCACCGATAGCTCCATCGGCTATGTTACTGTCTGTGCTGCTTGATCGGTCTAAGTCCATGAACAGCTCCTCTTTTCTTTCCTGCACGGTGAACTCTCCTGGCCTCTTTTCTTTTATTTCTTTTTTCGAAAGTTTTTCGGTTTCTTCGGAGCTATCATCTCCAATGATCTCTTTGTTTTTCTTGAGAATGTAGAGGAGCTGGAGAGCGGACAGAGTGAACAGGGGGTTGGACGCGTATCCAGGGCGTGCTCCAAAGCCCCCGTCTGAGTTTTGGCATCTTAGCACGTACTTTTCCATCTTTTCAGCGAGGTGCCCAACTGCCTTGTGCTCTTTGAGAAGAAAGAGCGAAGCAACAGCCCAGTAGAAGGTGCTTATCCTGATGGGCTCTGACAGGTAGAAGACCCGCGTCTCCTCCTGCAGACATCTGGTGATGAACTGTTTGTGTTTTTTATTGTTATCCATCTATTGGAAATACAATACAAACAAGAGAATATAAAATTCATTAATTAGCTGGCCATGCAATATTTGTTTCTTCATCTTTTCACTTGCCCAGAAATAAATATACACCATTATCGAACACTACCATAAGGGGTAAAGTAGAGATAGCCATCATAATGTAAAACTACAGCTAACAAACTGTCCGGTGCAGTCATATAAGCAGATGCCTAATGGGCTACAGATAAGAGATGTATGGTAAATAGTGATGCACAGCAAAGATAGATTGTGCAATGTCTAATTCTTTCAACAATTCTTCGCTTATCCTATAACTGTATGACCATGCGTACTTGCTGCCTCTGGACTGAATTCTTACTTTGCTACTTGGCATACGAATAAAACTTTTCCAGGAATTAGTTTTTGAAATGCTGTCCTATTTTTTAAAAAATGAAACATTTCATATTCTACACGCTCTGCATCCCGTTCATAGACATCTACATAACCAACCCAGGGATTGTCAGGGAGCTAGGGCTTAGGAAGAATGAAATGACCATGTACAGCCACCTAACAAAAGAGCAGCAGAACATCCTGAGCGCATCGATTGAAGAAACAAAGAACACAAGAGCATACTACGGAGGCATGTCGTACAACACGTGCGCTGAAATAGCCAAAAAGCAGGAAAATATAAGAGTGGTGTTTATAGGACCGTTCTCCACCGATCGTCTTACGCATGAAGTGTTTTCAAACGCCATTATGGGGAATGTGAATAATCTCGAGATCCTTCCCGAGTTTGTAAACAGCGAGTCTGGCAGATGCTTTGTTATTCCCAACGGAAGAAACAGGGCAATGATAACAAAGACAAACGATGAGCAGGTAGTTAGCAAGGGAATGGTGGATAAGTTCATAGAGTGTGTGAATAGCTCAGAAGACAGCAGTATTAGTGCCCTGTACATATCAGGGTATACTGTAGAGTCATCTGCAGAGAGTATGCAGTATTTGCTCGAGCAGAAGAGAAGAGCTAAGAAGTGCATAAGCATATTCAACCTAGCTGATCCTGGGGTGATAGATAGGATATATGAGAAAGTGAGGTGTTTCATTAAGGAAAGCGACTGGGTCATAGGAAACGAAGACGAGTACAACAAACTATTCATGAAGGAGGTGGGAAGAGCGCCTGGGAGCAGGGAGGAAATGCACAGACACGTCCAAAAGAGCATGTGCAACGCAGTGATAACAGCAGGACCAGAAGAAACAGTTGTACTGTACGAAAAACCCGATAAAAATGGGATAAAAGCTGATAAGAGTAAGATTGCAGTAAAACCAAAGGAAATAGAAGTGAATAACACAACAGGCGCAGGGGATGTTTTTGCAGCTTCTTTTTTTTCGAGCATTCTGAAGGAAGAAGAAACCGTTGAAGAATCGCTCAACAGGGCAATAAAAAGGACTAACTCGTATCTGCTGAAGCTATCAGGCAAAAGAGTCGAGTGACACTACACACTAAAGGATGGCTGCTTTCACTGAGTCTGTGATACTTTATGAATAAAGATGCTCTCTCATTCTCCGTTTAGTAATTTCTACTTTCCTTCTGTTCTATCCTTTTTCTCTTCTGCTAAATCATCTATGCTGCACATGTACATCTATGCTGCTCTCTTCTCTCTGCTCTATCATTTCTCCTGGCTATTTTCTATTCTCTAATTGCTCTCTTTTTCTTTTTGCCTTTTGCTCATGAATTACTTAATTCCTGCGGTTTTATTAAATTTAGAATTCTCTGTTTATTTTTAGGATGGAAGGAGCATACAGCAGAGCACTGTCAATATTCTCTCCAGATGGCCGCATCTTTCAGGTGGAGTATGCACAGCTGGCAGCTGAAAGAGGATCCCCTGTTATTTTCTACTCGGATGGAAGCACCATCTCTGTTGCCATAGAAAAAAGAGCAGAGAGCAAGCACAAAATACTCACAGACGAAGATAAGTTTAAAGAAGTAGAGACAGGAATCTTTTTAACGTTCGCAGGCGTATGGCCAGACAGTTTGGTAATCATCGACAGAGCTGCATTCATAGCACGAGAGTACTCCTACAGAATAGGAGAAAAGATAGATATAATGAAGCTCTCGCTGGAGCTGAGTGACTTCGTGCAGAGGTACACGATAACAGGAGGATACAGGCCATTCGGTGTAAAGATAGTATTATTTGGGTTCTACAACAATGAGCCCGTTATTTCTATGATAGAGCCAGACGGCAACTACTCAATGTACAAGGGAGGAGCCATCGGAGCAAAGAGCGAGCGAGCGGTGCAGGAGCTAGTGAAGGATCCATCACTTTCTCCAACTATCGCGGTGGCCAAGGCTCTTTTTACCGTGGCACAGAAGGACGCCAATAAAATGACGCTCTTTGAAATATCGAAGGATGTGGCTACTATACTCTCGCATTCAAAAGTGTCTGAGATCATAGCATCCTTCAGTGAATAAAAACCCATCCAGATTACTTCCGCTATTTTACTGCCTCTTAGTTACTGCTCTTAAATATTCTTTCTTTTTTCTTAATATTACAACTGCCAGTAGCTCTTCTGTGGATCAGATGGCTCGTAGTCTGTGCTTTTTGGCCATATAGGGCAATGCGTTATTTCAATATGTCCTTATTTGGAGGGATGTGCTCAATGTGGTAATAGAGAAGATAGACTGTTTATGCCGAATAGTTTTATTTATTACTTCTTGTCAGATGCTACGACTGTGGTGAAGCACTTTGAGCAGAAGAGGCCTCCTGCAAACTCAGACATGAAGATTTCTGGCCCGCAGTTTGAGCACACTTTCTTCAGTATTTTTACCTTTCCATCGGCTTCCACGCTAAAGTGAGAGAGGCATGCGAGCTTTCTCTTCTCTTTCACGACCTTGACTTTCTTTGGGGTGGTGTATGCCTTTCTCTTCTTTTTCTTTCCTCCTCCTCTCAGTCTCAGCACGAGATGGATCGTGCTCTCTTTCTGGATGTTGTAGTCTGAAAGAGTTCTTCCGTCCTCGAGCTGCTTACCTGCGAAGATAAGTCTCTGCTGGTCAGGGGGTATTCCTTCCTTGTCCTGGATCTTTGCTTTTACATTCTCAATTGTGTCACTGTTCTCTACGTCCAGGGTGATTGTCTTCCCCGTGAGTGTCTTTACGAATATCTGCATCATGGGCACTGAAAAATTAAAAATAAATTGACCAAAATTTTCCATGGATATTCTGAGTAAGTTCCTCCGAGTAAAAAGAAAGTCAGAGTATCTGACCGACAAAGGGCGCATAAAAATAACGAAGAAGGACAAAAGACTCATCAACAAGTTTAAGTCAAACAGGTCTGTCTCTCCCTTCGTTATTGAGAGACCCAACTCCACGAGCTACGTATGCGACACGCGCCACGAGCCGCTGGTGTCCGCAGTGACGCACGAGCCCACACCCGACCAGATACGCAGAGAAAAAGAAGCAGAGAAAGTGTTCCTCGAGAAACAGAAGAGAAAGCAGAAAAAGAGGGAGAACCGAGAAATAGTGGAGGATGTAGAGGATCTCTGGGAGGGAAGAGAGCAGAAGAGCGAGCAAATGGACAGGAAACTCAGCAGAAAAACAGAAAGACCAAAGCAAACAGATGCATACGACAGCGCAGAGATGGCCCTCAGAACAACAAGAGAGGGAATATGGAAGAACATCCACTTCTACAGAGACGTAGTCAGAAGGCCAAGGGTGTACAGCTCAGAGCTGGACAGACTGAACAAGAAGCTGCTGCCGGTAAAAGTAAAAGTGCCTGCAGACACTGAAGTGCCAACCAAAGAGTACACAGATATACCGTATAAGGAAAATATTAGAGACGTAATCGTAATGTCTGATGGGATATATTACATAGTAGTGCACAGCTCGTCTATATCTATAAGAGACGCGGATGGATATCTGCCCATTAGATCGATCAGATTTATATCAGAGAGCGGAGATGTGCTGATAAGAGGCGCATATCTGTCACCAGACGAGAAGAAGCTGGCTATTATAACATTTGGGCACGGGATAGTGATAGTAAATGTCCTCAGCACTCTTTTGAATACCTGCGAGATAGACAAGACCATTAACATAGACAGTAGCAATGGCGCAAATGAAAAAGAGAATAATGAAAATATTGAGAATAACGAGAATAACGGGAATATTGGGACAAGTGAGAATGAAAGTAAATACATTAGAATATTCGGCGATAAAACATTCAGAAGAGGAGCGTGGCATCGGGGCAGCGTGTACTTTGCAGCTATACTCCATGGACAGGTGGTTATTATCAACACAAAAAAGAGCAAGGCTGTTGTCTTCTACAAGGGAACACAGAAGATACAGCAGGTGGAGTTCCATCCCACAAAGAGCATTATCATTATGATGGGTCCTTCGAACATATTCTTCTACGGCTTATCCACCAAGAGAAAAGACAACAAAAAAACGATCTATCACATTTCAGCCGCCAACACGCTCTGTCTTTCTCTTAACACAGAGACCATGTTCATAGGAACCGCTGCATCACAGGTGCAGATATTCAAAATAACGAAAGAGTTTGAGGCTAAGTTCATCAGGTCTATATCTACAAGAGACACGCCGCGTAGAATAGTACTGCATAGCAGATACGGTTATGCTGCTGTGTTTGATAAGTCGCCAACCTTCCTGGTGTACGGGAACGGATCAAGAGACGATTTGCTGCCCATGGAAAGAGTAGGAGCTATACACAAGTATGAATCAGTGTACAAGTCAGGGATATTCCACAGAGAGTATCCTAAGGCTCTGTTCAGCATAGCAAATAGACTGACTGTTCTATATCCAGAGTACAAGATAGCAGCATAAGATAATAAATAGATAAGAAATAATTTTATATCTGCGATTTACGAAGTTACAAGGATATCATCTACCTTTCCTTATTTACTCATTATTTTTATCCATGTATTCATCATTCTTCTACTCATCATCTACTATTCATTCATCTATTTACTAGTCATTGATTGGCTTCTACTACGACTATTGTAATATCCTATTTGGTTAATCTACTGATTAATGAACGGGAGTGTAAGTATTTCATTTGTTTATTTATTTCCATGTTTACAGGTCCTGCGAGAAGTATAAACGAAAAAGAGTTTTGCGAGGAGTACAGAAGAGCTGATAAAAAGTTCAATGACAGCCCTAACTACTCTACAGCTGAGAGCCTTCTCAGACTTAATTCTGAAGACTACATGGCGTACTACATCCTCAGAAGTACTCTTACGATCATGAACCACTCCTCACAGATCTCTCTAACCGAAGAAATCATAGACAGAAATCCCAGCTCGTACTGCGCATGGATGCACAGGATGTACCTCATGAAAAGAGTAGATCTGATGAGCGGGTCAGGTGACACTGTGCAGTCTAGCGACATATCCTTTCTTCATAAAGTTCTGCAGACTGACAATAGAAACATCCATGCATGGACATACATTTCAGCTGTCTACAGATTCTCTAGAAAAATAGTGAAAAATGAAATATCTAAATCCATCTCCAACTACAGCGCATATTTCGCAGCAATCGAGAACGGCATGTACGAAAGCATAGAAGAAAGCGATCTCAAGAATATTATATTCACAGACCCCGATATTTCATCTCCCTGGGTGTTCATACGCATGAAAGAAGAAGTCAGAAGAATGAACGGGAAGAACGCCTACGTAAAGAAGTACAGCAACAGACTGAACATTTTCCTAAAGGTCCCAGGGCGCACAAAGGTAAAAATCGTCTACAACGGAAAGACAGTGGTGTACACAGCTGACTTTAAAAAGTCTTTTTCAATATACTTCAACAAAAAAGAAGAGTTTGAGTTTGGAGCAATTGAAAGCATAAAAATAAAAACAAAAACGATGGAAGACGTAGAGATAAACCTAAAGAAAGAAGTGCCTGTTGAGACACCAGCTGTCGTTGATGCGATACTAGAAAAGTATCCAACAGTGCAAGGATACATCACTAAACTATTTTTTACAGCAGATGAAGAGAAAAGAGAGGTGATAATAAAAACAGCAGTAAAGCTAGAGCCAAAAAGAGAACAAATATTCTCAGATCTAAGAGAGGGATTTAGTATCTATGGGTGCATGTAGAATATGTAAACTAGTAGCAGCCAATGGACACCTGGCAACTAGCAGTTAACGATGAATTGCATTTGCGCTAAAATATTTTAAGAGAAGTAAAGAAAAGATCGGATCTCGTTCTTAAATAAAAGTATCAGCAGAGATATTTATTATTTGCCTAGCGTCATCAGAGTGGCCAATGGGTCTCCTCCATTCTCTTTAAGCAGCTTGATGGCTTCTTCCCTTGATACTTCACCCTGTCCCATCACTACTTCAATGTCGTCTTCTGTCATGGACACTTCTGGGAAAGCTTCTGTCTTCTCTTCTGGCGCGTCTTCAACTACGTCATCGCACTCTTCATCGTGCTCCTCCTCCTTGTGGCTGTGCTGGTGCTGGTGTGCCTGTTCGTGCTTTGCGAGCTCTGCTAGTCTTGCCTTTCTTTTCTCTGCGGCCTGCTTTGCAGTGTTCACTGCTAGGTCGAGAGGCCCAAGAACAAGGACCATGTCTGTGTTCTTTATGTGGTATGCCTGCACATCTCTGATTGCAAACTGTGTTCCACTCTTCATTAGATAAAAGTCCTGCAGACCAACTAGTTTCTCCATTGGAACCGAGTTCTGGATTGTTTCAATTAATTTGCTTCCTTTCTTTAGAATCTTACTCATGGGCTAAAAAAAGTCATTCGAATAATTGGTTGGCATTCAAAAGAAATCTTCACGGGGCGAAAGAAGAGTAAGAATGCTGCAAGAGAAAAACAAAGAAAAAGAAGAGATATCTATGCTTATTAAAGATCTCAACGAGAGACACAGAAAGAACAAAGCAATATCCGCCAATCTCCAATTTACAGCCTTGAACAACAAAGACGTATTCGATGAGCAAGTCCGGCTGGACCACATTTTCACCGAGAAAAGATCAAAAAGCATGCTAAAAAAGGCCTGGGGCAAGGTGCAGGGCCTCTGGAATGGAAAATAAACACAAAACAGATTTCTTCATATTTTTATTAATTTCTGCTGCATCAAATACACTTTCACTCACGGGGCATAGATGAGCACGGGGTACGGAGTGCAGATTAGGAAGACAGTACAGTACATACTGTACAGAGTGCAGTAAATATTGCACATAAGATATTCTCGAGTTATATCCACTCTCAATAGACGTGTCTCATAAAGAGAATGAAGAAATACTTTGTGTATCCATTTTAAGTAGACTGTAGGTGAATAAACAGACTAGAGAAATGTTCTGCAGAGTAATTAGACTTCAATTAAAATAAAAATAAAAATAAAAGATAGGTCTAATGTGATGTGTGGAATAAGTGGTGTGCATGTGTTTTAGACAGAGCAAGGAGGAGACATCACGGGTCGCAGATGTTCTCTGTTTTAAAACGAGTATCTAGGGAAACAAACACAAGACTATTAGCCAGTGGCCTGACAATGTTTCGAGTTGTGTATTTAAGGAGAGAAATGGTGGATGCTATGAAGATTTCACTGCAACTAGCTACAGTACCCATTGCTCTACTAAAAGTGGCCAGTGCTCTATCCCTTAGCAAGCACCAGGATGCCACTGTGTCCGCATATCACAACCTCATGAAAACAGATCCGCATTCACTAGCAGAAACACCGAGAAAATCGGGTAATTACGGAAAAAAGAAGGAGGCTCCTAGAAAATCCACCTTCAGCAAGAAGTCCACAAGAGCAGTTAAGTCCAAGGCTGCAGCAGAAGACGAAGCAGTCATGGAGAGCCTAATGGGCAGCGCCAAACAGCTCGCATCCTTTGAGAGCATCATGGGAAATAAAGAAAACTCTCTCATGCAGAATAACTCACTGCTCGCACAGTTCATAACAGGAGGCGCATCAAGCGATCTTCTGTCCAAGGGCGCAGAGTATGCACATGAATACAACAATGAGCTAGTGCCAGGCTCCATGGAGGAAGAAATGAAAATGAACGAAGAAGAGCAGGACCCAGCGATCACCTTCGACACGTCAGCATCATCAAAGAAGTCAAAGAAAAACCACAAAAAAGAACAGAAGAAAGAACAGAAGAAAGAGCCAAGCCCAGCAAGGAGGTTCTTTTCAGAAAACAGCCTAAGAAAGAAAGAGCAGATGAAAGAGAGCGCAAAGCCAGCCACTCTGAAGAAGCTGATAGCCAAGGCCACCGAGCCACTGGAGCACGCTCTCCTCTCTGACTCTGTAAAACCAGAAGAAAGCGCAAAGAGCGCGGAGAGTGTGGACATGAAGAAAATAGCAGAAATGAAAATGTACTTGGAGAAAATGAAAAAAGAAATAAGCCAGATGAATGAACTACTTGCGCATGCAACAAAAGCTTCAGAAGAGAAAGAGCCAACGTTCTCTGAAGCACAGAAAATACCCAAAAAAAGTAGAGCATTCGGCAGTTCCCTGGCAGAGAAGAGAAAGAGCATGCTAAGGATGAACGAGAAGCTATCAGCACACGAAATATAAAGATATCTTTATAAAATTCTTATCTATCGCTATATTTAGAATAAATTGGATAAGTAAGTTATTTTTCTAGTTTTTATTTTGTTTAAACATGTATATATTTATTGTAGACTTTTGATTATTTTTTAGATTACCCCTAGAAAGATTGTAGAAAAATAGACAGCTGCACTCTTTTTCTAGCAACAGCTGCATTTAGCTGGTTACTACTACACTATACTTCTGATTCATCTCTGCTAGTCTAGCGATAGCCTAGATAGAACTAGTGCTACTAGTTATTGATGATGACGGTTAAGTTTATGGTTCTCAAGTACTCTACAGTCGCTGGGGCTACTGCTGTTCTGTTGAACTCTATCGTTGTAAGAGTCTTTTTGCAGGTATCCACCAGATCGTGCACTTTCAGCGGGTGTATTTTGCATCCTATCATCTTGATGGTTGTGATGGGATGTCTCCTAAGCTCTTTTATTATCGCCAAAGTTATCTCTATCCCGTCAAAGTGCATAACTCTGATCGAAGGAAGGCGCTGGATGACTCTGTACACATCGAAGTATCTCAGCACGCAGGTGCTGCACTTATTCTCATCCCAAAAGATCAGTATTCGATTGTCTGCCACTCTGACTCTTTTTCTTTTTATGTTCAAAAGATCCATCAGTCTACTGCCCACCTGATTCACTGTGCTGCCCAGAAGGTCAATGGATGTTGCGTTGTTGAGATACTCTTGTTTGTATCTTATGAGAACTACATCGTGCAGTATTACTGTTTTTGCTTTTCTAACCAGCTCCCACATGGTTTCTTCCACTTCTGTATTTTTAATGCGTATGGTGTCTATGAGACAGTCTTCATTTAGCGCGCCTTTTACTCTGGTGATGTTAGCGAGGTCTAGCACTGCTATTTTTCCTACGAGCTTTGACAGGTTTATCTTGTTTCTTGCCTTCAGCCTTCTTCCTGGCACTTTGCTTGTGCTTACGGGGTAGATCCCCAACGAAAAGTATTTTGACATTTTATAGGTAAACCATCCAGAGAGCCCCTCCATTTCCTGCCATCTTAGCTCTTCTTCCTTTGCCTCTTCTGGGACGAGGGAAGGCGCTGGCTTTCTTCCAGAGAGTCTTTTCATAAAAATTTAAATGCTCTCAAAGTCAATGCGCAGTATAAGTAGAATAGATATGTTGGAGACGGTAGATAATAAGACATTTTCAGGAGCAGCAGAAATAGACAGAAGAATGAACGTGAAGATAAACAGCACTTTCGTCAGGGGAACAGAGGTAAGATATATAGTGCTATCAGACGATGAAATAGAGAAAGTGGCAAACAGTCTGCAGAGAGAACATGCTGTATAAAGCAGTGTAATAGTAAAGTAGCTAGTAATTATAGCGAATGAGCAGATAGCGACAAAATGATGATGGCATGATGGATGATAAAGATAGATAATAGTGATGTTGATGAAAAAATGTACGAATCATAATGATAGTTGAGTGAGGATGGTAATTTATTATATTAAACGCAGCAAAACTTTGCTGAATGCACTCATTATGCACACAATAACACCTCCGCAGATACCAAAGACAAGATAGGGCGTAGTAAAGTCGGGAACAATCGGCCTGTTATACACTGAGACACTTTCGTACTTGTTGTTGCGCAGTATTCCTATGTCTGCTACATGCACACCCGACTCTATTGTAAGAGGATGTATATTCCTTATCTTCAGTCTGTACTGTATGCTTATAGGCCTATCTGTGGCAATTATGCTTGTGTTGTTGTTCAGGAGAGGGAGAGCATTCTTGGTGAACTTTATTCCCATTAGCGCGTCTCCTTCTACTTCCAGTGTTCTGTTCAGCCCGTAGCCCAGGCATCTGAAGAGTACAGGGAACGGTGCCTTCATTAAAATTAAAACAAATCCTCTAATTAAGACAATAGGCAATTCCTACATCAGAACATTTTAAAAAAGAAAAATAGTATATGGCTAAAACATTTTAATGATGAATATAAATGGCAGTAATTGCGAGTAAATATAGAAGTAATGACAGTTACTAAGGATGTATACTATAATAATGCTAATCTACTAATTATCTTTAGGCAGTTTATAGCGTATTTTTAGTCTCTGTATATTTCCATGTTATTTGCTTTTGCATCGGGTGCTTTAGTGTCTTCTGGCATTGGATAGAGTTCATACGTTACATTTACCGCTTTGGGAAGTACACCTGACACAGCCCCACATATGCACAGATACTTTAGCACACCCGGCTCATCTGTTCCCGTCAGTCGGAGCGTTAGAGTGTCTACTGATTTGTGTTTGTATGCTGGCAGTACAATGGGTAGAATGTGGTCAGTGCCTGGAAGCGAATATTCTTCTTTATTTTTAGGTTTATATGTGAGTGTTACGTACTGATTGTTCGTAAACACCTCGATCTTCTTGAACGATGTGCGTATTTCGATCCTGCTCAGGGCCACTTTGCAAATAAATGGTATTTTAATGACGAGTCCTTGTTTGTCCTTTGAATATGCATGGACTTCTGTCTCTCTCTCGGACGAGCTTCTATTAAGAACGTTTGCACAACTTTCTTTGACTCTTTCATTGATTGCGGATACTTTATTTATATCGATGGAAGAGAAAAGAGACTTAGCAGGAAGCGCATCTAAGCACATGCACTCTTTACCACAGGCCATTGTTAAAAAGATAAAATAATTTGCACTCTTTATACTTTTATGTTTTTTATTTTGTCTATAGCAATGGTGTTAATACTAAACTTTTAGCAGTATATTTTTATGCAATGTTGAATATAATAGTTTAAGTAGATTGATGAAACTTTATTGTTATATCTCATCTAGATACCATCTTACTCTATACTGATTCTAACCAAATTACCATATCGTTTAACTTTTCAGTAACCTGTGGTGGAAAGATTGATAGAATATACTTAGCCAGCGGGAGCTCTGATCTAGAGTAGCAGCTTATAAATAGAACAGAAAAGCCTGCGATGACGGATACTGCTATAAGGCTGTATTTCGAGCTTCTAAAGAGCTCGACTATAATCTTTCGCGTATTACTGAATGAAAGTATTTCACTCAGACCTCTTCCAATATAAAGATCATCATCAAGAAATCTTCTTTGATTTTCAATTTCTAGATTTAACTTTTCTCCCTCTGTTCTTTGATTTTCTATCTGCTTTTGTACTATTCTTATAGTAATTTCATTCCTATCTAATCTTATTCTTTCTAATTCTTCTAGAGGTATATCTACCCTTAAAAGCATTGCGTCTATTTCTTCATTTAGCCTGTGCTCTTCTATAATTAGCTCATCTATTTCCTTATCTGCCGCAAGTAATCTCTGGTTACATTCCTCTATTGCTGACAAGTGACGGCTTAAATAGCTATTATACTGCCAAGTTTTTCTAATAGAGTTTTCACAAAAAATGAAAAAGGATGTTATAAATCCTAGGCCGAAGGTTAAAGCTACAAAAATAGTGAGCTGCAACAAGAGTATCCATTGGAAGCCATTGTGTATGTTCTCTATCCAGTAGCTGCTAAGAGACAGCGCATAAATAGAGACTAATCCTATTATGATGGCTAAAGCATCTAAATATTTGCGAGATGTAATCGAGCTTACTAGCCAGTATAAAAATATAAAGCAAGTTATATATAGAGAATTAAGTAACATACCTGCCCAATCATAAAGAATATAACAGAATAATTCTATATAGATAACCCAGCAATTCATTAGGGGATTTCTGTAGATCTTTTTAAAAGTATCTCTTACGTCTTTAAAGAAGAGCGATATCAAAAAGATAAAAAACTTGTATGGAAAGAGGAAGTAAGTTGCAATGCCAATAAATGATAGCTTTATCAGAGCCTCACACAAACCCATAAATGTTAGCTGGCATTGAGACACCAGCAAGCTGTAGATGTATATTATAAGACTTCTTACATCTTTTACTCTGCTTTTGCTGCCAACAAAATCTTCGTTATCATTATCATTATCGTCATCATTGTTATTGATAACTTGGTTATCACCATTATTCTCAATATTATATACTGCATGCTCGTTAGCATTATCTCTATTGTCTATTGCTACAACTATGGGATGATTTACTTCACGATTATTTGCTACAACCCTAGGATGATTTACTTCATGATCGTTTCTTCTCTGATCACGGTGAGCTAGTTCTATTTGTAGGGCTAGAAAAGCATTAAATAATCTTGCTACTAATTCATCGATATTCTCTTCATGTATATTGATCACATTTTGATCATTTTGTGGGCGGACAATATCCTCTTCATCTATATCCTCTTCATCGATATTCTCTTCATCTATATTGATGACATTTTGATTATTTTGCTGATGGGCAACATCCGGTCTAACAATATCTTCTTCATCTTCTTCGATATATCCTTCTGAATCCGTATCTTCATGAGATAAAATATCATCGGCTTCATCAGCTTCATCTATTTGATTTATTACGTTGTTATTCATTCTGAATTAAGATAAATTTTTTCTCAATTTATATTGCTAAGCTGTAAATACCAATAAAAATATTTCCAACTGTCTAAAATAACGACAAAAATACAATTTGAGAATTATTGGATATCTGTTGTTGATAAATCACCAATAATCATATGAAATTATCAGCTGGTTTTACTCCTGTGTAAAGTATGTCTCTTTTTAGAATATTTATTGATACACACAAGAACTAATTAAATTGCTGCACAAGCTATTTAAAGAGCTCCGCTTTTAATAAATACCCAAAATTCGTTTGTTTTAGAAAAACAGCTGTAATCAATGTAAATTTATTGTTATATCTCATCTTAGGATTATCTTACCTCATATTGCTTTTAATCACATTAGTATATTGCTTAACTTTTCAGTAACCTGTGGTGGAAAGATTGATAGAATATACTCAGCCAGCGGGAGCTCTGATCTAGAGTAGCAGCTTATAAATAGAACAGAAAAGCCTGCGATGACTGACACTGCTATAAGGCTGTATTTCAAGCTTCTAAAGAGCTCGACTATAATATTCCGCGTATTACTGAATGAAAGTAGTTGGTCTAAGTTCTTTTCAATGTAGCCACTGCTATTATAAGATCTTATGTCATTGTTTTCTTTTAGATTTGTAATACTAAGCTCTATTACTTTCTTTTCCTTTTCCTTTTCATTTTCCATTTCTTTAATTCTAGTATTTTCTTCCTTTAATTCGCCTAAAATTCCTATAGTTAAGCGTTTTGCTAGGCGTCTAGTTCTCTCCTCTTCAATTCTCTCTTCTTCTAATTTTAGCTCAGCTATTTCCTTATCCAGCGCAGATAATTTCTGCTTACGCTCTTCTATTTCTGGCAAAGTGTAACTTAAAAACTCAGCATATAGCTGAATTGCCTTAATAGTGTTTTCAGAAAAAATGAAAAACGATGTTGTAACTCCCAAGCCAAAGGTCAAAGCTGCAAAAATAGTGAGCTGCAACAGGATTGTCCATTGCAAGCCATTGTGTATATTTTCTATCCAGTAGCTGCTAAGAGACAGCGCATAAATAGAGGCTAATCCCGTTGTGATGCCTAAAGCATCCCAGTATTTGTGAGATGTAAGACACTTTCTTATCCACCGCACAGCTACAAAAGAGCATGTAGCTATAGCAGCAACCAAAAGGGTGGGCCACTTGAAGGGAAGAATAAGAAGAGCTAATCCTATCTTAATAATCAAAGAATGCTTTAAAGGACTAGTATAGATTTTGTCTAAGCCAACTCTTACGTCTTTAGAGAAGAGCAATATTAAAAAGATAAAAAACCTGTATGGGAATAAGAAGTAAGTTGCAATGCCAATAAGCAATAACTTCACAAAAGCCACAAGCAAGTTTGCAAATCTTGACTGGTATTGAGGCTTTAACAATATGTAGATATATGTTAGAAGGCCTCTTGCAGTCCATACTCTACTTTTAATCCCAATAAAATAACAATCTCTATTATTGCTAATATCTTCAACATTTGCACCAATGTCTTTGATATTACCATCAATATCTTCAGTATTATTTTCTGCATCTTTATTGGTGTCGTCCTGGGTATTCAGAGGTATTATATAATAGTATTCTCCATTTTCAACATATCCATTTTCAGCACCTTCATTTGAACCAGCTTCTTCTGATGATGTACCTGCATTAGATCGAGTATCATCTATTTCATATATTTCATCGTTGTTCATTCTGAATTAAGATAAATTTTTTCTCAATTTATATTGCTAGAGTGTAAATACCAATAAAAATATTTTTAGTGCTCAGAATAACGACAAAAAGATAATTTGAGAATCATTGGATATCTGTTGTTGATAAACAACCAATGATCGTGTAAACCAATAATGATCATAAATAAATACTCTGCAAGCATTCTGCTATCTGTAAACTGTTTTATTATTTTATTTACTATTTCATTATCCACTAGCCTATTTTCCTTCATTTGCACCATTTCTGTTTTCTTTCTTTTGCTCTTATGTGAACTTCTTATTCACGTAGTCAAAATTGAAGTCATCCATCTCTTTGCTCCCCTGTCTTCTTTCCTCTGGAGCATTTGGGTCTTCTATGCTTTCTGGCTTCATATACCTCATGTGTCTCTCCATCGGTGCAGCCGGCCCTCTGCTGATGAACATATTCTGCCTTCTGCTGTCTGTTTCTTCGTTCTGCAGTCTCTGATACGGCGACGTGCCGCCCGTGTAGTGCTTTGACTTTCTCGGATTGGCAGATATATCGCATATGCACTTCAGATCTGTGTGGTACATCTCCAACAGCTTTTTGGTGCTGTCAATGTACAGATCTATCTGGGCAGGTGATGTGAATTTTCTTTTCGTAATAAACCCACCCACTGCCGTATTTACGATGTCTCCTTTTCTAAATACGACTTCAATATAGTCCGTATTGGCAATCGCATTGATGGAGTAGTGGATATTTCCTCCTATGAACTTAGCTGTTCTGTAGATCCTTGGATTGATGGCTCTCTCCAGGCCTAAATATGCTTCGTTTTTCTTTGTGTTTTCTACTCTTCTGTACTCTCGTATCACTCCGCTTATTTGCACTTTTACTTTCTGTTTTTTATCTATTTTCATGCTGTCGTATTTTCTTATGTTGTAGTCGTGTAGCTTCAGCACCTCAAAGACCTCTGGTGACGGGTCTAAACATATGCTTGCTGTCTTGGAGTATATCTCTGCTTCCACAGACTCTTCTGTCTTGGTAGAGAGCAGCACCCCGTGTGTATAGGGCATGCCTGCTATAGCTCCCTTTAAAAGCACTCTATTTGAAATAGGCTCATTGTCTCTGTAGTCTACTACCTCTACCACGATGTTATTGTCGTAGAAAGGGTAGTCTCCTCTGTCCAGAAGATCTAACAGGTAGGGATGCACTAGATTTCTATTCACGTAGGAGAGCAAAGTGTTAATGACATCTGTGTAGTTGTGCTTAATTCCCTCTTTCTCCAGGGGCCCTACTATTACGTACTCGGGGTATAGAGAAATGGTGCAAATCACAGGAATATCTTTAAACTTTTCAATGGGGTTGAATCCAAATGAGAATCCTTTGAAGCCCTCCCATTTTCTCTTCTGAGCAGCATAGTATTCAGCGCACCGTCTCTTCAGATTCTGTGTGTGCGCATCTTTAAACTCGTTCTGTGATATTTCTTTATGGACCGTTTCTTCAAAGAACAACTCAAATATATCATCTTCCTGCATAAGCAAATAGAAATTATTATGAAATTATGAAATAATAAATATTGCTATTGCTTGCTACACAGTAAGTAAAATAAAAGTGCTAGAAAAACTAGAGAGCAACCAATATGATCACTGCTAGATTAGATTACTGCACTATTTAGCTTTATCACCATTACTACTACTATTTCTATAATCATCATCAGATTAGATCATCTATTGCTATAATCATTACTACTACTATTACAACTATCACTGTAATCATTACTATATCTACCACTATAACCACCATTATCGCTGATAAAATTGAAGAAGAAGATCACTAACATTTAGAAATGTAATTTATTTATGAGACACACCTTTTATGAGATATCTGCCTGGGCGTTGCTCTTATAATTAAGGCATCATTAAACGACCAACACTCATTTTCGTCACTCCATATGACATCAAAGCCGTCTCCACATATTGTGCATCTTTGGTCTCTGTCTCCTCTCACAGGAACTGTAGGCACTTTCCCTTGCACGCTTGTTTTTAGCGTAACTGATATCTTCTGCTCTTTTTTCGAGTACTGCCCTGGCTCCAGTAGCCATGCTCTCCACATGGGTACTTCCACGGATCTTCCCAGCTGCGACTTTTTCTGGTGCATGTCTGCATGTGTTGTGTACTGGGAGATGGAGTCAAATCTCATCCCGCACACTTTACACTGTATCTCTGCTGTGTACAGCAATCTGACAGCTTGCTCTAGCCTAGGAACCACAAGGTATGCTCTGGTTAGCTCTGGCTCTGCCTCGCTCTCTGCCAGCTTGCTGCTGTGGCTGCCCTGTGTGTAGTATTCGTACGATTTTTTGTAGTTTGATTTATCGACCATTTTGAAGAGAATATACTCTGGGGGATATGGGAAGAACATTTCCGCTTTCGCTTGCTCGGGCTCTTTTTCTTCTACCTTTCTCTTTTTCACACTCTCCTCTGGCTCGCTCTCTGTGCTCTGTCTCCTTTTCGGCTCTTTTTCTCTGATAAAATGATACGATGGATGCTGTGCTAGTAGCCGTAAAAGTGAATTTAATGCTTCTTTATTTTCATCTGATCCCGTGGTTATTTCACTGTTTATTGCTCTTATGATGTCCTTTGCGCTGTGTTCGTTGGTTTCAGCCACACACTGCAAGGCTTTAACTGCATACTTGTTGGAGAGGGTACTCTTCCTTATAAGAGCCGAATATTCCTGTTCTTCTGCGCTCCCCATAAAATATTCAGTCGATAAAAATATTTCCACTATTATTTATTCGGGCAAGACCGCTTTTATTTTCTTTTTTCGCTGCACTACATCATTGGCACTGGCACACAGCTCTTACTTTTTCAGTGCTGCTTCTATCTTTCTAGATGGATCTTACTTCTTCTTCCACCTTCTATTTTTATTCTCTTTCTTTTTACTTCTTCTTTTTTATTTGGTGCATATTCTCTTTTTTAAATGTTCTACTGTTCTACTATGTACCGCTCTTCTTAGATCACTGTGCCTGGCTGTTTCTCTGGCTATTTCTATCAGAGTCTGCTTGGCTTTGCTCTTTCATGGCATTTTTGTTTTTTATAGCTGCTTTCTCTTGCATTGACACAAAATCTATTAGCTTGGTGTAGCCTATCACTTTTCCTATGAGATTTGTGGGCTCTGTGACCACATCGCTGCCTTTATCTGTTTCTAATGGGTCTCTAAATCCATTCAGTAGCGATCTTTCTAGCAAACTGTATGTCTTGTGCACTTTCTTTTCTCTTTCCTTTTTTGCTCGTGTTTTTGTTTCTACCATCATTTTCATGCCCTCGCCTTTTTTCATTATGTTTTTAATTCTTTCGGTGGACTCTGGAGGCCCTGTGATGAACTTATCTGGCTTAATTTCGTGCACCATCGTGCTCCCGTCTCCGCAGTAAATGTTCAGTCTGTTGTGGAACAAAAAGGCAGCCATTGTGTACGGATGGCTCCCAAAGCCGCCGCACCAGTCAAACCCTATGAACTTATCCCCTGCGTTAAACTTGTACAGTTTTAGTACGTTATTTTCAGGTGCTGTGCTATTTTGGAAATAAAAGTGTCCGTACGAATTGTACACTGCAATGTTTCTGCTTACAGAAAGAACTCCTAAATTCACAAAGGTATTGTATTCTCCGTATATTGTGGAGAGGTTTCTCATGTCAAATGTCCCCAATGTCTTCCCTGATGTGATGTGTATTTTGCTTTCCAGCCCTTTCTCTGCTTTATGCTGTCTTTTGAACCCTGCCCTCTCGATTACCAGTTTGGGGTCTTTGGAGTACCAGAAAACATTCGACACTTTCTCCCGCAGATCTACAATCGATGCTGTACTGTGAGATGTGCATATGTACTGCTGGGGGTGCCATGTGTTTGCTATCCTTTTGAACTTTGCGTGAAAATCCTTGCACTGAAGAATGTAGTTGTCTATTTTCCCCGTTGCCATATCCACTCTGTCCAAGTACATTTTTTTTGTGCTTATGGCCCTGACCTCCTCTAGGTCTCTGAGCACGGGGATTGCAGACATGCCCTTTTCAGGTATGGCTACATCCAGCGCATTGGGCAGAGATATCGTAAATTTTGACATTTTGTCGCTTTCCACCAGATCCAAGTTGTCTCTATCTAGAAACAGTGCCAGGTTCTTGTACAGTCCTATTTTCTCAGGAGTTACGTCTCTTTTGATCGTTCCGTATGCATCTGTGTTGTCCTTTGCCCTTTCTTTCCTTATGTAGTATTTGTATCCATCTGTGCTGTAGAGAACATACGGTGCTCCTTTCACTGGCGTTTTATTCAGCGATATGTACAGGAACGGATAGTCTCCACTGTTAGTAGTGGTACTTCCTTCTGTTTTTATATGCTCTTTATTTGGAAAAAAATCAACGTGTCTCCAGCTGTTGTTTCTCTCTTCTTCTGTTGGGCTCTGATAAAAAGTGAGAGGCGTCTGCGGCTCTTTATTGTCCAGCTCAGAAGTCCTAAAGTCTTTGAACACTTTATCTATCCTCTTCAGTTTTCTTGCGTTAGGAAGAGTCTCTCCCACTGCTATTTCGTCTATTAGCGTTCTCTTGAAGGAAAGAACTCTGGTCTCTTCGTCCATTAAATATTTTTAGAGCAATTACAATTATATCCAGTACTTCAAAAATAGGATGATTTTGCAAATAGATAGTAGTTGTTCACCAATTGATCTACAATTGCTTTTGGATCTACCTTGTCTCTTCTAAAACTTTTTAGCACATGCCTCAGCCCTTTTATCATTCTTTGCACATCTTTATAACTCGTTCTGTTGATTTTTAAATTAAAAGTAACGGATCGCTCTTACTTAATAATATTTATTGAGTACAAATTATACTTCTCAGAATAGACCGTCTACTCTCTTAGCCTCTGCTCTCACTGCGCTGGCCCAGTGCCTGGTGAGCTCTTTTACTCTTTTCTTTATCCTGTCCTTCTGCGTCTCTCCAATGTGTTCTTTTATTTTTTCTGTTGTTTTCAGCAGATTCATCCAGTATCTCCAGTTTCTCTCGGGGTCTCTTTCGTAGAGCGTCTCCAAGACTTTTCCCGTGAACGAGTTTCTGAACAGCTTTCTCAGCTCAGGCAGCATTTCAACTACGCACTCAGCTGTTTCTCCTGCTTTCATAAATATATTTACTATCTCCTCCAGATCGTGCACAGCTTTGTCCACCGAATATTTCTTGGCTGCTCCCTCTGCGGACATGTCAGGCGAGGGAAATACGATCTGTCCTCCTTTTTTTTCTTCTATTTTCATATTTATCATGTTCTCCGTGATCAAATCTTCTTCTCTAATATACAGCGAGAATATTTTCACTATTTTCTGCGCCAGCTGCACCTGGACATTTCCTGTTTCTTTTTCGAGGAGCGCACAGTACTCCCCGTAGAGCTCGCTGTGCTTTGCGTGGCCTGTCTCTTTGGCTGTGAGTAGTATCTCTGGTAGCTGCTCAATGTAATCGTACTTTTCATCTATGATCCACTTCGTATAATAGTCTATCAGCTCTTCTTTCTTCGTCTGTGTGGTAGGAATGGCTACAGAAAGAGAAACCCTTGCCTGGTTTTTTATGTCGTCATCTGCGTCATCCAGGGCTGCAATCAAAGCATCTGTCACGCCTTCAAACTCTGCGAATGCCTGCAGGATGATCACGCACTGCATTCTTACGGCCTTGTTTTTATTTTTCATTTTTTCGATCATTTTCTGAAGAATCTCCTGGTCGGGCTTGCACTTAATGTACACCAGTGCGCGCATTATGAAGAAGTTGGCAGAAGTCACTTCCACTTCATCGGATAGATCTAGCACTATTTTCTTGGCCAGCTTCTCCTCTTCTTCTTCTGTGTAGGAAACCTTTTTGAGCGCGCCAAAGATCTCCCCGATGTCTTCGTCTGTGAGGTGTTTCTGGCAGGGGATATCTATCACTCTGTACTTCATCTTTACCAGAAGAATCTCCAGCAGAAGGTCTTTCTCTTTGTGGAAATAAGACACCAGATAGTCGAAAATTCTGCTGTCTAAAATGTGTCCGAGGAAGACAATGAGCTCGATTGTTCGTATGTCTGACTCTTCTATTTCTGTGATAAGCAGCTTGAGCAGACAAAACAGCACTCTAACGGGGCTTTTATCTCCTACTCCTTTACTACTGTACTCGATAAACCCTTTTATCTGCTCTTTCGTCAGGTCTTTTGCCAGGAATATGTCCAGGTGCTGGCCGTACATCCTTCTTCCCAGGGCAATGATGTTCTTTTCTATTTCCTGGCGTATCTCTGCCTGCGCATACTTGGTCTGCGCCTGGCCCTGCATGAGCTTTGGAAATATGGTGCTTTCGAACTCCGCACTTCCGTATTTGTCCGCGTATGGGATAATTTGCTTGTAGACCCAAATGGATAAACACTCAAACCCAACGGCTAGAGCATAGAGCATTCTCTTTTTCAGTTCAATTTCATCTGGCACAAATCTCCAGCCGTGCATAAGGCTCAAGGCGTCAGATATTGCTACTTTTTCAATTGGCGTCTCTTTCTGAAGAAGAGGAGACCGCTTTCCTTCACTCTCGGAGGCTTTGTTTGCATTTGCCATGAAATAAAAATCGCAAAATTATTTATTCAGCTGCAAACAGAAGAAGAAAGGGGATTCAATGACCGCAGCCTTTTTCACACAGCTATATGCAAAAAGCCATAAACATACTATGCATAATGCGATGGAAAATGTACATGTAAACATTGACGATAAGATGGCGCTAATAGGATAATAGCAGTTATAAGAGCGATAAAATAGCTGCAGCACTAGAATACTATAAATGGAAAAAGACAGTCTATCTAATGAGACAGTAGGGATAGTAAAGATAGCAGTCTATAATGGGTATATTTTTTATTGGTTTGATCTTTTTTTCTTCTATGTGTGTTCATAATATTCGTCTAAAAGCTCTCCAGATGGGCATGTAAAAGTATATTATCAGAGGAAGCAGCGAGAGAAAAACAATTGTAAAAAAAGGCTTTAGGGAGTCTTCAGACCCATACGGTACCTTTACATTCATCCCCCAAATGCCTGAAAATAACTGGCAGGGTGAAATAATCAGAGCAGCTAAGCTCATCCTGCTCATTGACTTGTTCATTTCATTGCCTTCCTGTGTCTGTGCTACATTCAGCAGTGCTAGGTATGTATCTTGTGCTCTTTCCAGCACTCTGTGGTTCTCTCCCAGTCTCTTTGAGAGATCTTTAAGGTCTTCTATGGACTCTGATAGGTACTTCTGCACTACTGGCACTATTCTCTTTCTACACCTGTTCTTTATAGCTGTAAGTATTTCTATTTTGTATCTGGTGGTGATGTGGAGCGCATTTATCTGACAGCTTACGTTGAAGTTTCTTTTTAGCAGCGCAGCCATCTCTGTTTCTTTGAAGTTCTTGGACAAGTCCTGGATTGTTGAGGTTTCTACGGTGCATCCATCCGAGAGGTACTTAATATCCTGCAAAAACTCGATGATAATCGAGTACAGAACCCACGAAGGAGTAAGAGGAGTGTGCATTGATAGAAGCTCTATGAAGTTGAAGGTATCCTGCACACTGATCCACGGTTTATCGTGGAATGTAAGCACAAAGTCTTTGAACACGAGAATGTTAAAGTCAATGTCGTCATTAGTTGGGTCTGCCTCCACCAAGAGTTTCATCGATATGAAGGTGTAGTGTTTGAACACTTCTATTTTCTCGTCTGTGTTTCCTTCTTTAATGTCCTGGACTGTTAGCTCGTGGATGTCAAACATGTTGCATATGGACCTTAGATCGCCGTCAGAAGGATTGAAAGTGTTCAGCCAGAAGAAGTTGTTGTTTTTGAAGGTATCTGGGTAGGTTGATGAGATGTTCTCTAGGATCTGCGACTGGACAAGCCCCGAGTTCTTGGAGTAGAAGAGATACTTGCTCCCCAGAGGATTTAGCGAGTTGAGAGGAGAAAAGTTGAAAGTCATGTGGTTCGAGTCGTCCCTCTCGTTGCTTCTTATTTTTGGGATGCTTCTGATAGTCTCTGAAACCATCTCGCTTGTCTCTTCTATCTCCCTGCCCTTCCTTATTTTGTATACATGTGGCATTTCTCTTCCTTTCTTCATTTTTCTGTAGATTGTGATTATCTCCGCAAGTGCGCTTCTATGGTTTTCTCCGCTGTTCATACCCGAAAAATTTTCATACTGTTTTATTATTGATACTGTTTATTGGCCAGTTTCTTATCACAGATAAAAGAAGACGCAGAGCCGCTGAAATATGGCATAGAAAAGAAGACAGAGAGAGCACAAGAGAAATAGCACCGTATGGGAGCAGATAGCGGCAGAATAAAGAACATCGTGGATGACGATAAAGTACTAGGATGTTTTAGCTAGTAAAAATAATAGAAACAGGGGAATTAAAGAAAATAAGAAAAAGAAGTAAATAAAAGAATAAAACACAAGACACACAGTCTACCAGTACTTTTTAGCTACAATATCCTCTTACTGTTCCATGGTCATGCAAATTCATTCTTTACAGTCTATGATGTAGTATACATTCTAGTGCGAATCTTGCACTCTTTATCTGTGATCTTTATCTGATAATATCAGAGATGGGTAATTCTCAAATCTTTTCAACCAATATTCTCTGGTGCTTTGCTGGTCTGTATTACCTGTGCTGATTTTTATTTTAAAGTAAAGTGTACAAAATAAAAAGAATGGACGCATTGGCAAATAAATGCAGAAATATTAAAACACTGAACAGACCAAAATAAACAATCTTTTAAAATAGCGCAGTTAAACTCCTGTGCCCAGTGCTAAGAAAAAGACTTGTTATAATACTCTATTTATTCTAAAATATTTTAGCGGGTTCTCTACTTTCTATTTCCTGCTATTTTTATGAACACGCCCGTGAATGCTAGCAGACCGTAGGCAACCAATAGAATCGCACAAGTCTTTTCTACCCCTGTTTTTTTCCTCGGCAGCTTCATCAGACAGATAGCAGGAATGAAATTGCACATAATACTCGATGCACTGCCCCCTATCGCCGTCTGAATAGTGGACAATCCCACAGGAAGAAGAGAAAGCGAAGCACTGAGTGCAATAATAGCAGCGGTAGATCCTATCCTGCACATAGTTGAGTTGCTGATTGGCCTAGTGCCTTTAGTTACCGCTGTAGAGGGCCATATCTGCGCCATCCAGTCGGTTACGCAGTCTCTTGCAGGGTGCACCTGCAGGGGAAACGAGCAGGAGATGAATATGGTATAAAATATAAACACAACCCTTTTTACAGGGCCGTCAATGAAAGAGTTAAACACGTTATCCTCGATCGATGAGCCATACGACAGATATACTACAACACCGAATATAATGTAGAGGAGAAGAGCAGTGCCTAGGCCAAGAGCAACTATGTATCTCATGCTTTTGATCGAAGGATTTGTGAGGTTCGCTCTGATTCCAAATATATTCTGGTGGCAGGTAAATGAAAATATAAACTGCCCTGCAAAGCCAATCCAACTGTACGAAGGAGGATTGAAAAGAGAAGTAGCGGGCATGCGCGGTGTACTTTCCTTTATTATGACGTAGTTGTAGATGCTTCCTGCTATGCAGATGTACACGCCTATCACTCCGATAATGGAGGTGAACCTGAGACTCCGCAGATCTTTCATTGTGCAGATAGGAAGCATGATCAGGGCGTACAAAAGGGTGATGTGTGCATATTTCATGTTGTGGAGTATCTGTATGGATGAAAGATTGAAAATGTACTGAAGCAGAGGCTGCAGAAGCACAAGATAGGAGACGCTCACGCCAAAGCACTTGCTAAACACCACTGCGTTGAACATCCCTGCGACATTCGGCCACACTTTGCTGAGAACGCTCGAAAATGTTTTGCTCTTGCTTTTGGAGTAGTCGGCGCACTCGCAGAGCATCATCAGACTGCTGAATGTGAGAAGAGATGAAAAGCAAGAGAGAATAGTTGCAGTAACTACCCCGAATTCAACAAAGAATAGGGGATAGCTTACTATCCCTGCCCCCATAATGGTTTTTAGAAGATTGAAGTATCCTGTCCATATTTCCATTGAGTCCATAGCGAATATTTATTGAAGAGGGAGGCAAAATTTTTATATCCAATGAAAAACAGAGAAGAATTTGTTTCAGATGACGAGCTATTGGGGGACGAGGATGTAGCAAAAATAATAAAACCAATAAGAAAGAGCTCAAACAGAACGTGTGCGAACTGCACATGCGGCAAGAAAGACCTCAGCAAAATAGAGGGAGGGAAAATAAAAGAGGAGGTAGAGTCCAACTGCGGCAACTGCAACCTCGGGGACGCATTCAGATGCGCAGGCTGTCCGTACACAGGGCTGCCTCCGTTTGTAAAGGATGCGCCTGTTGAGTTTAATCCAGACGAGGTGTAGTGGCAGTTTATGATAAGATAGAATAAAAATTAAAAATCAAAACTATTGCAGAAGCTTATTTTGCTGTCTTTTAATCTCCATACACACAAAGAGATACCGCACTAAGACTATCACTGCTATCTTTCTCTTGCAACCCTATCTTCAACTGACTGCATAAATGTTCTACTTATCACACATTGTAGAGCTACAGTAGCAAAGAATGAAAGATCACAGCGGATAAACTGAATTTGTTCAATGGCAGTGTGCTGACCAATTAAAATGTTCCTTTAAATATCTTCTCTAGAATAAAACACATAGCAGGATAAGTAAGTTAGATTTATTTATATTCATAATACTGTTCATTGGGTCTTTCTTCACTTTTTTCTTTTCCTTGTTTCGTCTTTCCGAATTGTTGCATAGTACAGCTCCAACAGACTTGTCTTCTCTCCCGGCGTGCGGATGAGATTGGCTGTCTCCAGGACAACAAGAGGCTTTGAGTTTATCCTTGAGCTTATCTCCAGCATAAACTGTCTTGGAGGAGGCGGCACAAAGTATTTTCCTATTTTTGTCTGAATTGCCAGCTTAATGTCTGCTCCATTGGGGACACTCCTTCCCGCCTGCTCAGCGTACAGCCCAGCATCTTCCAGGGCCTCAATGAAGTACTTATAGGCCACCTCTAGAAACTGCAGGATCACCTTTGGCTCGCACTCTTCTATCCCCACTGACCGAAGAATCAGCGAAATAATTTTGGCATCTCTGGGTGCAAGATTGTCTGATGCTCCCATTGTAATAATTTAAAAAAAGAAACACCGCAAATTTTTATTATGACTTTTAATAAAAAAGAGTACAATCTGAGCCCAATGCTCGCCAAGGGGCTGGAGGAAGGAGGGTTCAAAGAGCCAAAGCCAGTGCAGAGCAAAATAATCCCCATGGCTCTGGCGCGCAAGAACATCGTGTGCTCAGCTGCAACGGGATCTGGTAAGACTCTTGCCTTCCTTGTTCCTGCTGTGGAGATACTGCTGCGCGCCAAATGGTCGCGTGCTGATGGATTGGGCGCTGTAATAATCACGCCCACAAGAGAGCTTGCTCTGCAGATCTTTTCAGTGCTGCAGGTGATAGGAAGGAATACACACTTGAGTGGCGGCCTGCTCATAGGAGGAAGAAGCGCAGAAAGAGAAAAAGAGTTGGTTGGTGAGCTGAACATTGTAGTGTGCACGCCTGGTAGACTGCTGGAGCACCTGGAGAACGCATGGAACTTCAGTGGCGACAATATACAGTGTCTGGTGATTGATGAAGCAGACAAGCTGATGGAAATGGGGTTCAAAGAAACAGTTGAAAAAATACTCGAATACATGACCAAAAAAAGACAGACACTTTTATTCTCTGCAACGGCTGATTCGATTGCACAGGCCAGAAAACTCTGGGACATTGAGTCGCCGGAGTTTGTGTCAATCAGCAGTAAGCCAGCGGAAGAAGAGGGCGTGCGAGCTCTGCAGCACTTTGCACACATCACTACGCCCGCACAGAAGCTAGATCTGCTTTATGCCACCATCAGAGACAACAGAAAAAAGAGAATTATCGTGTTTTTGTCGACGTGCAAGGAAGTTACGTTCTACTGCACTTTGATAAAAAAAATGCGCATTGGCCTGGCCTCCATCCACCTAAGCGGGAATATGTCGCAGAATAAAAGAGTGGAGACGTACTATAAGTTCAGCGAGAAAGAGCCCAAAGTTCTCTTCTGCACAGACATTGCAGCGCGAGGGCTGGACTTCACAGGAGTAGATATAGTCCTGCAGCTAGATGCCCCTGAGTCCAAGGAGACGTACATCCACCGAGCAGGAAGAACGGCAAGAAACGGAGCAAAGGGAAAGAACATCCTTGCAGTCTCGCCGCACGAAGTGAACATTTTGAAAGACTTGGAAGAAATAGACGGGTTCCCGCAAGAAGTAGTCAAGTACAAAGGAAGAAGATCAGTGGAGGAGAGGGTCAAAGGGATCATAAAACAGGTCCCAGAGATATACCTACTGGCTCAGAAGTACGTTAAAACGTACAAGGGATTCTTACGGGTGTCAAAGAAAGAGTATGTGGCAGATAAGGAGAAAGCGCTGCAGGAACTGATCGAATATCTTGGGGTACAGGAGGATGAAAATGTCTCGTGGTCAGGAGAGGGCAAGAAAAAGCCGCAGCTGCTGAATAAACACACAAAACTAGATTAAATAAAAATAGATAAGAGCCAACTGCACACCTGATTTTGTTTTTAGCATTCTATTTACTAGCTGATTTATTAATTTTCTAATGCAATTATATGATTCAGCAGACTGCATAGGCCTACAGAGAGTCTAGGGTGTTTATTAGCTGTGTATCGTATATCTTTTGCGATGTTTCTTCTTCTGCCATTCTGTCGTCTGGGTCTCTGGAGAACAGCGTGCCGTATAGTTCATTTACTACATCGTTAAATACTTTTTCTGTTGTTTTTTCTCTGTCTTCGATGTGCCCGTCTTTCAGCATAAATATACTCCTGAAGGACATGCACACAAACGATCTTACGCCAACGAACAGCATAAATACACTTAGTGTGCACAAGAGGTAGTACCTCAATGGGATGTGTCCTCCTAATATTTTGTATGCTTTTTCATCCGCTCCAATGCTCTCTTTTTTTTCGCCTTCACCAGATCCTGTGAGAAAGATCCATAGGAGATTTATGGCAACTTCTTTGTATGCAGACAAAGTAAGCATTCTGTTCACTTCGATAGACTTAACCAAAAGAACAAGAATGGGGTATATGGATATAGACGAATAGTCAAATATCTGCATTCCAATGGACATGGACTTGGTGACAATCCAGTACCTGCTCATAAAGTTATCTTTTCCTTCTTTATCTCTGCTGTAGTAATTGTCAAAGACAAGATAGTTTACTACCTCCATTTCCAGCTGATCGTATCTCTCTCTGGGCCTGGGCACTCTAGCAGACACTTCACTCTTGCTCTTACTCTTTAACATTCTCTTAGCAGTGTGCAGCACAGATAATACTCCATGGACTAGCGATATACCACATATTTTGTGCATTCTTTTCGACATATTCGCCGCCATGTATTTCATCAGTCCAACGCTAACAGATTTGTTCTCTGAATGAATTGTTCTATATTCACTGCTCAGATAGCCCATGTAGATGTTCAGAACAATGAATATCAGCAGAGACCAGATGGTATGCACTGAGATGCATGCATCAATAAGATTAGCATACTGATTATTTTTAGCGCTGAAAAGAACAGCCGTCGAGATGTAGAGATAAACAGTGCCAAACACCAGTGAGATTCTAGAAAGTGCCAGTGTTCTACTATTTGCCAGCCAAATATTTAGGATTTTCTCCATCTGTCCCACCAGATAGTATTTTATCGCATTTTTCATGCTTCTACTCGTGTAAAAATGTGCTACTAAAGCTCCGGTGATTGACACGCCAATGCATGATAGAATTATAGAAGTTGGATGAACAGATCTCCAGGGTATAGTTATGAATAGAAAGAACAGACTAAACTCGCCCAGTAAGATTCTTCTTATGTGAATGTAGATCTCATAAAGAGAGTCTCTAGGAGGAGGGCTTGTATCTTCTACCTTTTTGTTTTTTAGCATCTCATTGAACTTGGAATTGTCTCCTATTTTTATGTATGCTCTTTCTATCAAGTAGTTTACCAAGTATGAAAACAGAGTAAATGCTGTTAGTGCGAGCAGGTTGTACTGTAAGAGTATCGAGTGCTGTGAATAATACTCGTGCAGTAGAAAGAGAAACTGTCCTATGAGATGAAGAGAAAGAATGGAGTATATCAAGAGCAAAATTAAAAATAATCCGTTAATAAACATGTTGTACTTGTGATTAAAAGTGCGCGTGGAGTAAAGATTAGACATTAGAGCATTTGCTCTTTTGCTGCTGTGCATGTTAGTAGGAGTAAAATATTTTGCACTTTTACTTCTCCTGTTTTTCATTTTTGCACAAAATAATGAAGAAAGTGTAAGAATGAGTTTTATTCTCGGAGTAAGAGCAGAGGCAAACTTCTATTTTAAAATACGATAAGGCCATCTACTTTTTGTTCCATAACAGCATTAGTTAATAATTTGGCTGTAACTCTCTATTAGTATCCATTTACTGAACATCTACGATCAGCTAGCAGTTTAGTAAGTGTAGAATTTGTCTAATATCTCATCAGTTACTTCTTTTCTTTTCTTTTGAAACTCTGATACAAACGTCTGCAGGGTTTCTATGCAGAGCTTCTTCATTTCTCCGCTGAGGATCTTTCCCTGCTCATATCCCACTTTGTACTCTTCCAGCTTTTTGTCGTCTTCCAGGAAGAACAGGAGATACTGATATGCTACATCCACTGCTGTGTCTCCTCCCTTCTCTCTATGCTCCTCCATTGTTGCTTTTCCTCCCGAAAAGGCATACTTGTTTATTTTCTTTTTTATCTCCTGCGGTGTGTCACTGAGATAAATTGACGACTCAAACGAACTGGCGCTCATCTTTGTTGCTGCGCCTTGGAGGGCAGGCAGGAAGTATGTGTACACCGTTGCTGGTTTAATCGCCTGCATTTTGTTTGCTATATCCCTTGCAAGCCTAAAGTACGGGTCCTGATCTATGGAGCACGGAATTAGACAGATTGCATCTTTTGGCAGTATGCCAGGGAATGAGCTTGGATAGCACGGGGCCATCTGTCTGGACGGGAATGACACCTGCCCTATCTTTGCATCTTCTTTGAACCCAAACACTTTCTGAAACTCTTTCAGCGTAAGACTTTTTTCTATTTTCAGAGTGTTCTGTATGAAGTTGTGGGAGTATTTGGTGTTTGAAAATATAAAAGTTTTATCTGGGTTAAACCCAAAGGCAACGATGTCTTTAGAGTTTTCTCTTCCGTAGTTGATAGACTCTTCCAGGGTTATGTCTTTCCATATGTATTTTTCATCATCTGTTATTTGTATAACGATCATGCAGTTGAACCTGTCTTGCAGGTATTTGCAGAGCAAAAAGGGCACAGCATGGCCTAGATGCATGCTTGTGCTGCTTGGCCCTCTTCCTGTGTAAAGATAGATGGGCTTTCCACTCTTGGCCATTTCCAGTGCCTTGGTGAAGTCTCTGTGCGCAAAAACAAGGCCTCTTCTAAAAAACAGTATGCTGTCTAATTCGTACCTACTGCACATCTCCTTAGTGAATGGCTGGCATCCAAACTGCTCTATTATTTTGTTGTAGTTTATTGCGCTTTCATCCTCTGAGGCTTTTACCTCCCAGGGAGTTACGGTCTGAATCTTCTCCGAAGTATCCATAAATAAAAATAAATTGCAACCATAAATAGCAGAACTTTCGCACTTAAAGCAAAATAAGCTGTCTGACACAGCGCTAAAACTAGAATTTATTAGTGTACGTATTTATTTAAATTTATGGCTTTTTCTTTTCATTATGGCCAAACAGAAGAATGAGAAGTCATCTACTTTTTGAGATCTAGAGAGTTCAGAGTGTAATTACAGTGTAAATGTATGTGCTATTTAAGCTGGGTATTTAGATGGCTTGTTTCTTCTGATTATCTGATAGAAGACTGGAGAACATTCTGAAGCCTTCAATTAAGCGGGCTCGAGCAATGCACATTTTACAAAGTGATTTCTGTCTGTCCTGTAGCACACCAAAGCCCTCAGAATTTATTTTTACTTCATTCTTTTCAGCATAAATTATGACATGTGGATGCTTTTTATAGGCATCAGAGGCAGCGAACATCTTTTTATATATGCACACCAGCCCAAACAGAACAACAGATATGATTGAAAATAGAGCAATTAGAAGAAGAGTTTTCTCAGACACTTCTGCTGCGGTAAATACTGCAATATATTTGTTTATTAATCTAATGGCTTCATTTGACGATTGCTGTGCTAGACTATCCATTTAGAAAACTAAAAAAATTAAGTACATATAGATGGCAGAATAGAGCTGGCCACTTATCTAGTTGCATCAAGCTTGTTTTTATCATAGAAATCACTGAGCAAACAAATACGAGAGTTTTTGAGCGGTAGTTTATTTATCTTCTTGGTAGAAAAATAGCTGGATCTAACTAGCAACTTCAGCTGCTTCTTCTGTAGAAGCTTTACTATTTTTGCTTTCCAGTTCTGGTAGTACTAACATGTCTACACGATTTCTTAAGCTGAAAAATGTTTTTAATGTGGGCGAGCGACTGTTACTATTATCAGTATTTAGAGTGTGTTCGCCCATGTATGGGCTTGTTTTTATTTCACCGTCTTCCAAATAAACTGCAAAGTGCGGGCACTTTTTATATCTGTTGAATTCAGCAAACATTTGTTTAAAGCAAAACAGTATTATCAAAAATACTACTGAAACAATTGTGATTACAATAAATGCAGCTATTTTTTTCTTTGAGGCCATGCGAATTAATATTTTTTGAAGTGCAAATTATTTATATAGTTTGCAGAAATAAAATTTAATTTATGCATTTATCCGCCAATAGAAATATGCATCGGATCAATCATTACATAGATAAATTAATCAATAAAAAGATAGGCTTTCTCCGTGATACAATTAGCGTTAATCTCTCGTTTTTATCACAGAAATCACTGAGTAAATCAAATATGAGATTGTTTAAGTATTAGTTGTTTATTTTCTTAGAAGAAAAGGAGAAGTCTTTAGACTGCTGATGCATCTACTAATGCATCTGCTGCTGCATCTTTTACTATTTCTGCTGCTGCTTGTTGTTTTCTTACTGCTTGCTCATTTAATATTGTTTTCATCTTTTCATTAAAATGGTTTTTAACTTTTGCGAAAAGTTCATTTATGCTTTTTTTAGCATCATCATCATAATATTTGTTTAAATTTCCAGAAATTTGTTCTATTGCTTTTTCACCTTCCTTACCAGTGAAAAAGTATGTAACGTGTGGCTGTCTTGCGTACTTACCAGCCTTTCCGAATAATCTGTTGCATGCGAATGCTATTGAGAATATGATAAATAATGCTATCATAAGCATTGCTGAGAAAATCAGTACCTTCTCTGTCTTTGTTCCGAGGATGTAAGCTGCTACTAATCTGGATCTTAATTCAGATGCCTCTTCTATTGTGTTTTGTATTACTCTGCTCATTGCAAAAAATAAAAAAATAAAACGTATATATAGATGTTTTTTGCAAAATTTTTCTGAAAAATTTTTGGCCGTTTTTATTTTTAATCCCCGTATTTGGAAATTTGGAAAAATTCCAATTCCAAATTTATCTCCACTGATTGCAAGTCCCCACTACTTTGACAAAAATATCTGATACTACTGTATTGCTACGCGAGTATGCTGATACTCACAGCAACAATAGCTGCACACAGACAAACTGCACAAAAAGCAGAGCTAATGAATAAATAGTACTTCTATGCACAGCCAACGAAGTTTTTGCAATAAATATTATTGATGCAATAAGTCGGGTAGATAGTTTAATAAAACTTAGATGCATTTATTTTCTGGCAGAAGGCGGCTACATGTTTGAGTTCTTGAACAGGATTCTGGAGTTTGTGCCGTCGCTGCCGTATGATCGAGAAAAGTCAACCAGATGTCCTTCTGAATTTTCAACTCTCTTTATAGACTCGGGTCTGTTCACAATGAGGTCCTTAATCATTTTGAAGATTCTTTCTACCTCGTTCTCGTCAACATGGTGCACATGGTGCTTATATTTCTTGGGGTCTCTTTTCCTGCTGAAAAGCTTCTTGCACAGAAATGCTATTGCGAACATGGAAAGTATCATCATTGAACAGAATGCAGCGCCAAGAAGTATCTTCTCTGGCGTCTGTGCCGTGTTGAATACTTTGATGTATTTGCTTCTTAATTTGGTTGCTTCATTCAGTGATTCTCTCAATAAGGTCTTCATTTAGAAAAATAAAAAAATTGACTACATATAGAAGCTTTGCAGAACTTTTCATTTTTAATTATAAACCCTATACACAACTCTTCTGCTATTCTGCTACCAGGTGTATTTCCACTATTTCCAGAGAATTATGCTGTTTTATCTTTAACAAGCACACATATATTTGGCAATAATCTGATGTTTTATTTAAATCTTGGCCTTTTATGCGCTGTGGATAGAGCATATTAGATTTTTGCTAAAGATGTCTTCTAGTATGCTAATGTAGTCCATTCTGTTGTTTCTAACTGTGTAGATCTTGTTTATTTCATCTATTTCAGCGCAGGCCTCCACTGCTCCTTTCACATCCACTGTTAGCTTGGCCTCTTTTATCCCCATTGCGAAGGCTTTAAATCAGGCAAAAATATTTTTCGAAAAAATATGACCCGAAGTAGAAATGCCAAAAGAGGCCTTTTTCTGTTTTATGTGCCAAGACTATTGGTCGTGCTTGCTATGCTCTCAGCTCTCAAGGGCTCGTCTTCCTCAGATGAACAAATGGTGCCAGAGGCTGCAGTCCCAACACAATTGAAGCCGGATGCTCAGGAAATAGAGCTGTGCGAGGGAATCGAAGAGCTTTCCATTGCCAAAGGCACGCCATTAAATGGCGAAGAATCATCAGATGAGCAGCTGGTTCCAAACTTTGTGGACCCTGCAGAACCGAGCACAGACGATCCGGAAGCACAGCTATGCGAGAAAGTCAAGAATTTGTCTGTTACCAGAGAAGGAGTACCGTCTGAATCAGCATCTATGGACTTGGAAGACTCGTCCTCCGCTGGCAAAGACGATGATGGCAGTGAAGCCGTTAATAGAGTGCTAGACTCTGTGATAAAAGACAAGGCAGAGTATGTCACAAAAGATTTCTGGTACTTGGTTGCAATGATGGGGGACCGCATCGAAGAGAGAGGCAGTGTTCTGAAAAAAATCCTAAAAGATTTCAAAAAATACGAAGCCAAGCTGAGAAACATACCCGGATGCGATAAGTTCTTTCTCTTTCAGCAGCTGAGCCTTTATCTCTACTACCCGGAAATACTCTTGTCCTGTGACACAAAGCACCTCAACTGCAATCTGCTTGCTAACAGAGAAAAAGACGACTTATTTGCAAACCTGAGCATGTACGAGAAACACAACGACACGTTGCTGCACAGCTACATACAGCTGCCTCCTGCAAAAGACAAAATAACATCGTGCATAAATGCAGTGCTCCAGGCCATTTTCAACATTCCGGAAATACGTGCAGACTGCAAAAAGATCGAAGGCTTCAAAACATTTGGATACAACCTTTCTGATTCTTTGGATGAATACACGGGGTTCTCATCTGAGACTGATGATGAATTTTTTAACACAATGGCCCTTAACATTTCCAACTATCGTGAGAAGAACAGATATTTATGCAAATTTACAAACAGAGAATTGTTCGCCATTGTTAACAATGTGCATGCCATTATAAAGGTCAACGAAGAGTATAAGGGCATGGAGAATAAAAACAGGCTAAACCCCTCTGATAAAAAAGAGGCTACAAAGTGGTACACAGATATCATATACAAAGTCCTGATAAAAAAGTATGCAATGGAAGATGGAGAGTACAACATCGATGAGATATACAATGACATGTACAGACTCTTTGGGGTCATCTACAAAATGAATGACTCACTGATTGATAAAGAAGATCTCATTGGTCTTAACGCCTTTTTAGATGATAGCATTATCTTGCATAGCACATCTAGCATCCTGGGAGAAGATGTCAACAGATACAACCGCTGCAGATTCCAGGCTGACCATGTGCTAAACTGTGAGGACAACTGTGTCGATACGCCCTACTACAACATCCACTTCTACAGCATAGAGCACGACAAATACTACTGCATTCCCATGCCAGTTACTAGAAATACTCTTATGACCGTTAACCAAATGATAAGGTACCTGAAAAGCATCTACAGCCTGGGCTCCATACAGTTCATCTTGCCAATGCAGTACTGCTGTTCAAGTAAGACCTGGTCAAGTGTCCCTGAAAACGAGAGAGATAAAAGAGTGGACTACATGGACTACATGAACACTCTAGTATTTTACTATTCCAACGCTGCGTTCAATCCTCTCTTCTCGCAGTACACCTACCACTTGGTTGAGGCGAATGAGCTGAAAAGGCCTACAAATGGAAAGTACCCAACCCAACTGAACATCCCCATGTTCTTTAGTCCGCTGGACATTGAATCTGTAAAGCTGGCAAATTTTACATTTAAAGACACAAAAACAGCCACCCCGCCAGAGAACAGCGCGATAGAGAATCTGAAAAAAGAGATAAAAAAGATGAGGCCGCTGGTTCTGGAGCACAGTGGCAGATATACGTGTGCAGACCACTACAACAATTTAGTGATAGACAGGGCTGACGATAGCCTGAGAGAGCAGAAAAACACCGGACTAAACCTTATCTATCTTGAAAACATACAACATCCCGTTGGAGACGAGGTTTACATCTGGCGCAGATATCTCTGTCCCTACAAACACTACGTGATCAACACAAAAAACAATGAAAAAAACAGAAACATTGCTCACCATTTGAAAGCATCAAACAATAACGGCTTAAGGGTCATGAGCTTCGTTGTGTACGATCCCGAAGAAGAGAGATACTTTACCGTTATAAAAACAAGCACTCTGCGCGACGGTATATCTAGAATGCTTAAGTTCACTCCCACTGGGGCAGAGCTCTTTAGAGACCATGAGAGGTACATTTACAACTTTTCAGTTCTGGGAATGGATGAGCAGACAGCCATGAACAAAATGAAGCTCCATCAGAGCATATGGGAGCAGCTAACCTCTGAGTAGCTGCAGCTTTTGAATACCTAATAAAAGCGAACTGTTATTCTCTCTTCAACTGTACTAATATCAATCTGGTCTAAAAAAGAAATGTAAATGTAAAATAGAAGAGTACAGGTTGTCTTATGGCAGTGCACTCTCCTACTCTTCTTATTGTATTTACAGCACTAATCCACTAACTTTACTATTCACTAGCAGATAAAAGTTTTTCCATCCTCTAATGGTTTAAATGCACTAAATATTTTTAGCCCATGAATGGCCAGTCAGGAGGATATTTTAATTTTATTCTGTGTTACATCCATTCTACATTAACTCTGACTTCTTCACTCTTTCTGATTTCAGATACATTTATATTTAAACTCATGTTCTCTCTTCTCCTGCTGTGCTCTCTTCTTGCGTCCAATAATTCGCTTTATAAGAATAATGAATTTCTTTATTTTTAAAAATGCTCATCCAAGAGTACTTAAATATCATGGAGGAAGCTCCAAAGGAAGTCCAAAAGGCCATCATCCAGCTGACCGAGCTGGAGCACTCGGTGTCGTCAGAGAAAAAAGAGCTGGACAGAGAGATAGAGAGAATCCACACGATACTGGAAGAAGACTACACGACAAAAGGAGAAGAAAAGGATGCCATTGATAGACAATTGCGGATAATAAACAGATGCTATCTGAAGCTGCTGGACACCGACAAAAGAAAACTGGCTCTTGTCACCTCCCTCAAAAATCAGCTGGAAAGCACAAAAGAGACAATGAAAGCGTCGTCATACGAATTTAAAGAAGGAATATCCAAGAGCTGTCTATCTATAAAACTCAAAAAGATTCTTTCTCTTCTGGACTACAAAATAGAAGAAGACAACAAAGAGGAAGAAATACTCTGCTGTACATGCAAAAGACCTAGCAAAGGAGAAATGATTGTGTGCGATAACCCCGAGTGTCCGATAGAGTGGTTCCACACGGCATGTGTTGGAATAAAGGGAATTCCCAAGAAAAAGTGGATGTGCAATTTATGCAGCAAGAACGAATAAAATTTTTTAATGAACGCGTTCGAGAAGCTGTCTATCTCAGAAATAGCCCAGAGAATAGTTGATCTGCAGGAGACAAACAAAGAAAACAGCAAAGCGCAGACAGAGCCCATAAAGAACCACCTGCTGGAAAGACACAACAACTACAACGTTCTTAGGAAAGACGTGGAGGAGGTGGTAGAAAGCATCACCGCGCTGGTTGACCAGTACAACTCCGAACAGAAGGGAGAAAGAGAAAAAGTCATTAAAAAAATAGTGTTCCAGAAGATCGAGCTGGTGATCGAGTCAATTCTTCACCAAGAGACAAGAATGGGCAATGGGCTGATAAAAAACAAAAGAGAATACATCGAAGTGTCGAAGAAATGTGTAGAGGAAATAATCGAGCTATCAGGCAAGGTGCTCGCAATAGCAATAACATCGCACATATTCTATCCGTTTGTGCTAAAACTGGTGAAACTGCTCCGCTTAATATCACTCGCAATGGACTGCTTCATTCCCATCGCATACTACCCTCTCTACATGATGAGCCAGATGGCCAAAATAGCATCTTCTCCTGTTCCTCTGCAGGCTGTCTCTGATAATATGATAAAAGTAACGGAAAAGTACGTTAACAGCAAAATATACAGTGAGTACATAATGATCAACTCTCTCGACATAATATCACACCTCCTGGTGCAGCACTCCAGAAGCATGGCTTTTCCTGAGTACTCAGCGTACATCATAGCTGAGCTGAAGAGAATAAGGAACGCGCCAAATAAAAGCAGCTCCTGGATAAACAGCAAGACAGAAGCTATATTCAAGGGGGCAAGAGAACACACAGAGAAGATAGAGAGAATAAGAGAAGGCATCAGCGCACTGAACGTAGAGACCGTAAGAAGACTGGAGGAAAGAATACCAGAGTTCAAGCTAAACATAGAATAGTAAATTGTGCTAGTACGAGAAAATAAATTACATTGGTTAAAGAATATTCAAAAAAGAGTGAAAATAATTGTGCAAGCAGTGGTATAAAGATAAACTATGATGTGATAGATAGCTCAATAAAAGTAACTGATGCAAAGTCAACAGCTGGTAGAATAATTAGTAGATGCAAGAAAAGTAAATCACTAGCACTGTGTAACGGCCTGTCAGTAAGTAAGCACTAGAATAATGAGCTATTTAGCAGCTGTTACTCTTGTTTATACTGCTGTGTCTGTTCGTCAAATTCTTTTCTTTTATTTGAATAAATCGCTGTCCTTTCTTTTTTATTTCCATGGTTTATGAGGCAGTGTGTAATTATTTTTTATGCATTTTCCTTCCATTAGAAGCCCTCGTGCCACAGTGTCCTGCATAGTAGATGCGTACGCCAGGGACCACAGTCTGATACTATCTGTGGAGCATAAAAACACGCTGATTGACTATCTCATGCCGTACACCAAGCTCTCTCTGTACATTCCGTCATCGCACGAAATAAGAACTCTTGCAAAAGTGTCCCTAAACAGAGAAGACCAAGAGAAAATAGATGAGATCCTGTGCAATAGCACAGCAGAAACACGCAAAGCGCTTTATTTCCTGTTCAAAATAAAGAACAAGATAGGAGCAAATAGTGTGAGTGCAGCTGCAAATAAACTAGACACAGAAGAGATGGCAATGGGTGCTGTCAAAAATGCGAGTATAGGGGTGTATATGTCGTGGTTCAGAGAAATAGCAGACGGAAAAAGCGAGTATTTGAGGAAGAGTATAGAGGCTGGCTTGTTTGATATATGCTACACAGTGCACAGGGCAGGAGAAGCGTATCTTTACCTCACTAAAAGAACATTCACAGAGGGACCAGAGTCTACAAAGCCATTCTACACCGTGCTCAAAAGACACCTGGACCGATATAGAAGCAGAATCTATTCAGAGACAGCGAGCGATCTTTTCTCTTTTTACATTGCTCATAATGATGGTATGCAGTGGATTATGAGATTGCACCATCTAGCGCAGGAGATACTGCTGTATGAAGAGAAGGACAATGAAGCTGGGTGCATAGTTGAGTTTACAAACAAAATAATAAAATCGCCCTGGACAGAAAGATTTGCTGAAGAGGTGCTGGAGGAGTACAGAGCGCCACTATCGGACGGAGTGGTTAAATGGATGAACGGATGTGCTGCTGTAAATGGATTCATAAAAGAAAAGCCCCAGAGAACGATTGAACAGAAAAGCAGAGGGTATAGCGGCGTATTGGATAAAATGAGCATTAAAAACACCATAAATAGAAATATTGCTGATAGCAACGACAATATGATCCTTGCAGATGGAGTACATGAAAGCACTGCTGATGAGAATGACACTGTCTGGAGCAGATCCGTGCTTGTAGAAAGAGAAATACCGGCCAGCATATCGAAGGAAACAGCACGGCAGATAGTCTACATCGGGAGAACAAACAGACTTATTCCTCTGCTAAATAAAAATAATGAGTTTCATCTGAGCACAGCGCCTGCTGATGGCATATTCAATGCACAGTGGATTGCAGGTGCCTACGAAGATGCTCAGCGAATGATAAAACACAAGCTATTCGGAGAGTTTAAGATACACGACCATCTCAAAAGGATAAGAGACGTTTTCTTTCTGTTTAGAAATGATTTTTCATACGATCTGTTTGTCTCTGTTGAGTCGCTATTTTCCTCGGGCATGTCGCTAGACTCTTCTTTGGTAGACGAGGTGTTGGACAGGTGCTTTGGCGTGGAAATGGCAGAGTTTGTCGATGTGATCGTAAAAAATAACAACTTTTCGCTTATCTATAAGGAAGTTTTCCCGTATAATTTGGCAGTTGGAAACATAAAAAGCATGCTGGTAGAGGGATTTGATCTATTTTGGAACCTAAGAATGGCAATACATGGAATATACAGAATGCACCAAGAAAACAGAACAGCGCAGACATGCCTAGTGGCACATAGAGCAGGGGAGCTGGAGTACTACTATTTTGAAAAAGTGCTTAGAACAATGTGGAAGTTCAAAGGGCTTCCAGAAGACGTTTTGTACAACCCCGAGAAAATATCCAAGAAAGTAGAAGATATACTTTACCACCTAATATGCACCTGTAAAGAAACATGCACACTTTCTATTCTGCAAAAGATAAGAGAACTGCTCAAACAGGAAGTCACTTCTTCCAGTGTAAGCATGATAAACAATCTGCTACAAAGAATAACACCAGAATAAATAAAATTAACACATCCTATACTGAGAATTATTCTATTCAGCCGATAGCCCTCTGGTGATTGGCAACTATTGAGATTCTTACTATCTTAATTTTCATTGATTTTTAACTCATATGGCAAGTATGAAAGATACAAAGTTCAGTTAATTTGTTGAATAAGCCTCATCTCAGAAATAGCAGCTACCAATGGGCTTGCGCCAGACAGTAAAAAACGGGGAATACGCTCTGATGTATAAATAGAAATGCTTCATGGAGTTCTGATGTTATTAGAGTCATCTCCTAGCGGTTTGCTGTTTTCATTGATTAAGAAGTTTGAATATCTAATTCGCTATTTTAACGAAGCTATGATAGTAGTAATAATAGCTCTTGTGCTTATAAATCTGCTGTTCAAAGACTCTGGGCATGAAGACTACGAGTCTAGACTTAGAGATAACGAATTGGCACTACCTTCTGAGCATGAAAGCACAAAGATAGATTCTAAGGGCCTGACAGACTCTTTTTTTGAGACAGAAAATAAAAATATTCCGTAGGATGAAAATACTCTGAAAAAGGCTTGTAAAAATAAAAATACCAATAAGCGTACACTAAAAAATAAAACACGGAGAATTTTCTTTATATAAATAAAAATATTTTATGGGACTGTAATGGCAGAAACTACGGGATTATTAAAATCATCAAATGCGATACTTAAAAACACAGTCTTGGGCTTACTTTTTCTTGCAGCGGTGGTACTAATAGTTCTTGCGCTTAGAACACTGCTAAAGAAGAACAAAAATGCAACCCAAGAAAAAGAACAAAAATCTGAGAAAATATATCCAGATCTAACAAGCTATAAAGAAGAGCCATGAAGACCAGCCAATAAAAATACAAAATATTTTTTGATTGGGCAAAGATATCAAATAAAAGCTTCTTTTTGATTATTTAACATTTATTCTATGCAACATTTGATGCTTTACTGCACTCGTGGAAAAAGAAAAAGACTCCTGGGTGCAATTTTTTACTTATTTTTTCCTATAAATAATGATTCACATTTTTCCTAATGGAAAATGGTAGAACACAAACAACATTCATAGAACAGTCTAGCACGCAGTCCATACCAACAGAGACGCCAGGAAAAATGGTCATCTCAGAGAACAGTGCTGATATTGTGTCTAGTCTCTTCAGTACACCAGTCGTGTTTCTAATTATAGCAGGAGTGAGCATACTAGTTTTACTAGCCAGCGCATACTTTCTCATAAGGAAAGCATCTTCAGCCATACAAAGTCGCTTCAGATCAGAGACTTCTACTGATGCCACCAGAGCTGCCACTGATAAATCTGTCAAAATCATTCGGTTATGAGCTATTCTACGATTTGAAGATGAGCATGAAAATAGCGGTATTTCTCATTAGAACATTGGCAAGAAAAGAAACGAAAATAAGGTTTAAAGATAGGCCCAGGGATGCAAAAGAGTGCTGGGTTTATTCACCAACACATGCAAATATTATAAAACTATTTTTAATAAATCCATAGCAGACTTTAATTTTATTCTTCTATTGCAGTGTATAACAAACAACAGTCAACATAAGTTGAGCAGCAGTGGCTTTTATTAGCGATAGTGTGCATTGCAAATCTAAATCTCCTTCCTAGAAACACCAATTGTAAAGCAATTTATACCTCTTGAAAAAGGGCCAAACAATATTCCCACCTTCATCCTTTATTTAAACATTCGGAGAAATGTAGCCTCGTCTTCTCTGAAGTCTTATTTCAAAAAACTCGAAGAACTGGTCGCTTATCAAGCAAGAGTGCTTGGCGTCTTGGTGCCTGCAAACAATTTCAATTTTGTCTGATAAGGAGAGGAAAGATGTGTTCATAAAATCTCTCATGTTCCTCTCTCGTGCTAAGTTGTCATCTTTTCTACTTATTTTGTACGGTCTGATTAGAATTAAATTCCCTGTTCTTTCCATAAAGGGACTATCAGTAGACTCTGCGTCTGGGCTGTCTAGATAGCTGATTCTTTCATAGCGCTTGCACATGTACCACATGGGATGCAGATAGGACAGATCGAAGTGTATTTCTTTTGCCAGTTCGTTTCGTGCTGATGGATTCTCAGGTTCTGGTATGGGCATATCCAAGTCATACATCCATTTCGAATACATGAAGCTGAACTGCAGACTTTTGAAGAAGTCAATTTTGAGGTAGCTCTCTTTGCAGAAGTCTTCAAAAGACAAGTCAATTTTCCTTGAGTCGCAGTACCAGTCTTCCCACAGCATGCTCAGGCCATTAAGTATTTTGTTTTGCTCACTTTCTTCCAAACTTACTATGATTTTCTCTAAGTTGGAAAATAAGTGGTTTTTCTTGTAGTTCAGCAGATGGCCATCCATTGCATACTCGATCACTACCAGCCTTATGATCTGTTTAGGCAGAATGTCTTTGAATCTGCTTATCTCTGTTTCAGAAAGATCCTTCTCTATCAGACATAAATACATGTCTATCACGTCCTCGCTTGCGAACAGGTTCAGCCCATACCCATGGAACTTGTATTTAAAGTGCGTATCTGCTGATACTAGCATGTTTACTTTTTTTTTTTGGAGGTCTTTCATCACTGCAACTGCGTAATCAGATATGCTCTTTTTAGAAATAGAATTGTCCAGGCAATTAACTATGTGTCTCAGCTCTTTTTTGTCGATTTCATCATCAGATAAGGACAGCTCGAGTTCAAAGAAAGCGAACACAATGTTGGCAGCAAACATCTTATTTCTCTTTGCGAGTTTGAATATCACTAGATCGTGTATCTCGCTGCCGCCTTCGTACTTCTTTTCGCAATAGTCCGCTATAAAATCGAGCATGTGCGAGTTGAACGTGTGTATTTTCTCAATGACTGAGGTGCTAGTGTTGAGCATCTTCAATGATAGACTTTCTAAGGTAAGATTTTTTTTTGCTTTGCCTTTGGAAATGCATTTTACTACGTTACTGGAAATATACTTCTTTATTCTGGTATATACGCTTTCCTCTCCCAATAAGCCCAGCGAGATTCTTATTTCTTTCCAGATTCTGTTGAGGGATGCCAACTCTTCTGTTATTTTAGACAGCGTGTCCACTCCTATCTTTAGAGCATTATCATGGCCTTTTTCTTCGTTCTCTATAGATCTGGCTCTGTTGAGGAAATCGCTGCAAGATTGAACTTGTTTTTCTATAAAATATATGTTGTCGTGCCAGTACCCGCAGAGATTGTTTAGAATGATGCTCTTATTCTCTGGCACACAGCTGGCTCCTTGTAGATAAGACAGCGCGATAGCTCCTACGGTTAAGACCTGTTTCAGCAGCGCCCGTTGCAAAATCATGGTAAAATTAAAATATTTCTGTTTCATTTTCATTTGAAGAAAAAACAGCACCCTTTTGCTCTATGCTTATAAATGAGTGTGATAGAGCACAAACAAAGAATGGATGAATAAGAATAATCTGAGAAATTTATTTGTTAAGTAATCGCAAATAAGCTTGTAGTACACATTTATATATATTGGGAGGGGTGCAGATAAGATAGATCAAAGTGTGTTGATGATTTGTCTTGGAGAAACATATTCTCAGAGTGCAGCTTCTTTTTATCTGCAATATAAATCCATTTAGAAGCCATAAAGCTAGCTCGCATTGTTTCAAAGAAAATAGCGCTAATCGCATTCTCTTTGCAGAAAACCTCAAGAGGAATGCTGCCTGTCCTTCTGCAATACTGATCATCCCATAGAAGATTCAGGATGGTAAGCATTTTTTTTCGAGATATTCCTCCCATGCTTCTTATTGTCTTTTCTAGATTAGAAAACAAAAAGTTTTTTCTGATGTTCAGCAGGCGCTCATCCATTAGGTATTCGACCATTATCATCTTCGTAACCTGCTCAGGTGTGATATTTCTGTATTTATGCATTTCTATTTGAGAAAGATCGTTTTCTGCGAATCTAAGATAGATGTTGATGATGTTTTCGTCTTCATCTATGTTGAGGCTGTAGTCCCGAAAGATAACCGGAAAGTGCATATTCGCCGAGACCAGAGAGTTTGTTTTGCTTTTTCTTATGTCTTCCATTACGGCATTTACATAGCTCGCAATTATGCCATCCCCACCAGAAATAGAACTTCCCAAACAGTCCTTTATGTAGCCTAGCTGCTGTGCACTCACTTCTTTATCGGATGTAGACTTGAGTGCTTCTATCCCGAAGAAAGTGAAGACGGTGTCGACAGCAAAGACCTTGTTTCTCTTTGCTAGCTTAAACAGAGGCAATTCGTGTATTCTCGCATTGTATCCATTTTTCATTGAACTGTAGTTGGCTATGAATCTCAGCATAAGCAAATTAAATCCCTGTATTTTCTCAATGAGCAGGGTGCTGTTTATGAGGACTTTTCGCATTATGCTTTTCAGGTTGGTATTCTGCATGCTGTTTAGTTCTGAAATAGCCTCCATCATGTCGTGGGGAATAGCCTCCATTTTATCGTCTAGCATAATTTTCATTATATCATCAGTTGTTATTTCTAGCATGGCATAGGAAGAGGTTTCCATCGCATCACCAGAAGTGAGCTGTCTTCTACTGATGTGAGTGTTTAGTTCTCTTAGTCCTTTAGTTAGTCTTTTCATCTCATTCCAAATTGCACTAAGAGCTGATAAATCGCCTGTTATTTGAACCATACCATCCTTTCCTGTCTCCAGATCGTAGTTTGCATCAAATAAACAATTTTCTTTGGACTTGAGAAACTCGGCCTTTACAAGAAGAACCTTGCGAATTTGGATTTCTTTTTCTATAAACTCTATTCTGTTGCTCCAATAGAGATCCAAATTGTCCAAAAATGCGTTCTTGTCTTCTGCTGCACAGCTGGCTCCTTGCAGGTAAGAGAGTGCGATAGCTCCTGCAAATATTATCTGTTTCAGCAGTCCCCGGTGCAAGATCATGGTAAAATTAAAATATTTCTGTTTCATTTTTACCTTGACTTTAGCTGTTTGACTATATGAACAGAAATATTGGCTAACACTAGAAGATAATTATTAAATAGCGGCTTTTATTTAGAAGTGATAACTGATAAAAATTGACCTGTTAAAGTCTTGTACCTATTTAGCGTAGCTATGCGAGTCTAGCTCTCTTGAACGGTGGCGGGAAGTTGTTCGCCTCTTCTTCTCGAACCTCTTTGGTGAATGTAATAATTCCTCGTAAAGGTATCATTCTGAAGCATTCAAGGAAGTAATTGTCTATCAAGGCGTAATACTGTATATTATCCTGGTGTCTGCGCAAGACCACAATTGCATTGCTGTCCTCTGAAAAGCATGTGCCTATGAAATCCCTCATGTTCTCCACCCGTATCAAATCATCGTCTCTTTTGCTTATTTTGTATGACCGAATTATAATGTTACTGCCTTCTGTTTCCATAAAAGGCTTTTCACTGCAACTGAAATCCGGCTCATTCAGGTGGGTGATTCTCTCATATCGTCTGCACATGTACCACATGGGATGCAAATAGGACATGTCAAAGTGCATCTCCCTTGCTATCTCTTCTCTCAAAGACAGTACTGGTATGTTCAAATTGTGCTGCTCTATCATGTACATCCACTTAGAATCAATGAGAATGTTTTGCAGACTTTTTAAAGAGTCAGTGTTAAGGCGGCTCTCTTTGCAGAAGCCTTCAAGAGACAGACTCTGTCTTCTGTAATCGCAGTACCAGTCTTTCCACAGCATGCAGAGAGCATCAAGTATGTTGTCCTGTGCTACTCTTTCTATCTTTTCTATTGTCTTTTTTAAATTGGAAAACAGCTGGTTTTTCTTGCTATTTATCAGACATCCGTTCATTAAATACTCGATCAATATCACTCTTATGACTTTTTCAGGTGTTATGCAGCTGAGCTGGTCTGTGCATACATCAGGGAGGTTCTCTTTTAGCAGGTTAAAGTAGGTATCAACTACAGTGCTGTCTGCCTCTGTAATAAGTCCATGCTCCTGCAAAAAGAGCGGAAAATGGGCATTGGCTGAGACCAGTGGACTTGTTTTGTTTTCTCGTATGTCGTTCATTATAGCGTTCTTGTAGTCTATGAAGATATTATCGCTATTGGGAGTAAACTCTGCTAAATATTTAAACAAATGTCTGAGCTTCTTTTCACCGTCTTCACTGCTAAAGGCTGGTTCTAAGGGCTCCGCTTCAAAAAAGGTGAATATAACGTTAGTAGCAAATAGCTTGTTTTTCATTGCTAGTTTGAATATTCCGAGCTCGTGTATTTGGGCGTGCTCTCCATACTTCTTGTTGCTATGGTTTTTTATGAATCTCAGCATGTGCAAGTTGAATGTCTTCATTTTCTCAAGGATTAAGTTGCTATCATTGAGCATTTTTGGCAGCAGGCTTTCTAGTTTTGAGATAACGTTCTTTTTGTCTACTAGGTTAATGCCAAATTCTGTAGTGTCTTCAGAGGCTTCTATTCTCCCAGAGTCCATCTGTCTTCTTTGGATGAAAGTGTTTAGCCTGTTCAAGGTTTCCTCGAACTCTGCCATTTCTTCCCACTCTTTGCTGAGATGTAAGAAATATTTTGTTATTTCAGACATAATGCTCTTTCCTTTCTCCAGGTCACCGCAGGAGTCAAAGTCAAGTGCTGTTTCTCTAGACTTTATAAGCCCAGCCTTTTCGAGGAAAGCGCTTTGAATCTGAATTTGGCTTTCTATAAAAGCGACTTTTGAAATCCAATAGCCATGTATGCCCTCTAAAAACACACTCTTGTCTTCTACTATACAGCTGGCTCCTTGGAGGTAAGCCAGTGCAACTGCTCCTGCAAATATTACCTTTTTCAGCAATCCCTGGTGCAAGATCATAGTAAAATTAAAATATTTCTGTTTTCATTTTGAAGAAAACGTGACATCCTCCTACTCTGTGGATTATAAATGAATGAGCAGTATAGCAAAGAATGAACAACCACAGCTTTCTGTAGATAAGCAATTATATACAGTAGAAACTCTTCTCATCTTTTCACACAAGCCTAAGCTAGATAATAGATGTCTACCCTCTTTCTTCCCACTTTCTAACTACTGTCATTAAAACAGTTACATCAACACATTCATTCATCATTGTTCAACTATTACTCAATCACTATCCTTCTCTCTTCATTTACTCTCTGTCTCCTCTCTGTCTACTGTCTTTTCTTTTATTTTTCTATTTTTTCGAATATTCGAATAATTTATTAATAATACCTCCAGGCATCAATATCATTATTATTATTATTAAATGTTAATTTATTTTTATGAGTATGCAGGAAGGTGTTTATTACAGCACAATTGAAGAGGACAGGATGCTGACAGCAGAAGAACTGGACAAAGAGCGGAAAAGAAACAGAGTTTACGAATATCTCTGCAGATTGCAGGAGGCCCGAGAGTGGATGGAAAAGATCATACAGGAAAAGATACCTGATGAGTTTGAGAACGCTCTGAAGGACGGCGTGTACTTAGCAAGGCTGGTGCAGCTGTTCAGCCCTGAGCTAGTGAGCAAGGTGTTTGTAGACCCTGTGCTCCAGTATAGACACACCGACAATATAAACAAGTTTTTCGAGTTTGCGAAGTCAATAGGGCTCCCTGTTGTGTTTCTATTCGACTTGGTGGATCTGTACGAAGGCAAGAACATTCCGAAGGTTATCTACTGCATACACGCGCTAGGCCACTATTTATCAAAAAAAAATATAGCCATAAAACTTGGGAACTTGGTGGGAAGAGCTATTTTCACAGAGGACCAGATATCAAAAAAAGAGAAGGAAATCGAAGAGTCGGGAGTCAATCTGCCCAGCTTCAGCAACATATCCGGAGCCATTGAGAGAACCACCGGTGGGAAGAGCAAGATCGGAGATATGAGCAATAAAGATGCGAGCGAGTATGGAGAGACAGCCCAAAGCCCCATGGAAATATCTTTGTCCATTAATGAAGACGCTTTAACTGACGGAGAAATGAATACGTCTATGAGCAGCAACATCCACGACATCCTAACAGACGATATCTCAGATGCAGCTGCTGAAGCAGTGCAGGTAGTGCAGGCGTACATGCGCTCTTTGCTGGGACTGAAAGTAATCAAAGAGCTGCAGGAAGCAGGGCATAAGGAGGTTTCTATCTTCTCACTGCGCAGAATTCTTTTCATGCTCTCTGGAGTTGAAGAAAAAGAAGAAGCAGTGGTCGATGAGTTCAATAAAATACTTGTCCAGCTGTTCACCGAAAATGCAGAGCTTGAAAAAAAAGTGTCCGCTGTGGAGAACAGAATATCGCTTCTCATCAGAAACAAAATGCAGTCCGGCAAAAATAGCTCTAATACGAAACAAAGACAGAAAGGATCGTACATGAAGTACAAATCGCTGCAGAAGCTATTTGCAAAAGTGCAGGACGACCCCAGCATCCTTTCGCAGGTGATAGTCAGCATGCGGCAGAGAGAGGCAGAGTCATTCTGCACGAACAAAATACTTGGGCTCTTTGGAGGCGCAAAGACGCCCCGCGAAGAGTACGCGTATCTCCGAGTGGTTGAAGCGCTGGTCCATGCACAGACACCAGACAACACTGCAAACAGCTTTATTTCAGGTAACAGCAATACTGCCAAATCAGGCAATCAAACTGCCAAATCAGGAAATATTACTAGCAACAATAATAATAACAGAACACTCGGCGGGCTGGCCCTGCGCTCTTTCCTTATTGCCCAGGGAATGACAGATATCCAGCTGCGCATCAGACAGATGATCAGCCAGGAGAACAAGAGCGCGCGCGAGATAGTAGCATACATCATCGACGAAGCAGGAAACATGCCACACGCCCTCAGGTTCTACGCGAGATTCCTTGTCATGGCTCTCAACGGACAGCACAAAGAAAGAGAAAGCCACAAGGAAACAGTTGCCACAGAGCTATTCCTTGCCATGTGGGAGATACTCTTTATGCCCATCATTGTGTCCCCTGAGACATTCGGCATAAAAAGTGATTTATCCTGCAACAGAGCGCACTTAATAGAAGTATGCCACCAGGTAGCACAGATCGTAAGAACAGAAGAAATTCGGAAAGACAGCAATGAAAATAGCAGCAGCAGCGAAAGCATCGATATACTTCGCATTCTCCGTGTGGCTAGCTCTGAATCTATCTCTGAATACTACACAATGAAGTACATTGCTACAAGACCCATCAACAACATGCTCTGTCTCTCTGGCGAAGAAGTAAACTATCTGCTGGGAACTTTGCTCAGCTCCTCTGCCTCTCCTGAAGCCGTTAGGAAAATGGCAGAAGAGTGCCATCCTTTCCCTTTCAAGCTGGTGTTCCTTGTCCCCGGCGGCATATCCCCGTATATCCAGGAAAATGCTGGAATAATTGAAAAAAGGCTGTGCAAATGGTCAATTATTCGATTGCTGTCCCATACGACAGGAAAAAACATCCACGATGCTCTGCAGAATAAATCGTACGAGTTTGGGAGGGGTGCGTACGCCCTGGACAGCGCTAAGTCCATTGAGCAGTGCAAGGACAGGATAAGAAAGTACAGTGCACGGCTCTTTGACCTGGGCATAGTCAAAAATACAGCAGACTGCAGTGAAATTCTCACAATGGCTGCGCAGGACATGCTGAACAGAGTAAGAAGCAGCCAAGCAAGAAAAAGAGAAATAAAGGCAACAGAAAAGGCAATTAACTCTCTGGAAAAGGCGAGAGAGGTGATTGAAGCACGGCAGATCGAATGCCAGGAGTACCTGGCAGAAATTGGCTCAAAAATAATGGAAAATGGGAAAGAGTTCAAATACCCTGCTAAGTCTTTGCTTCTCGATGGAGTAGTTTTGAGAATGTACAACTGGCAGCCCTCGCAGCTCGATAGCATCGACATTGCGATTAAAAGGGGTGCATACGGAAAGATAGTAGTCACAGTTTTGCTCATTGGCATACAGTCAGCGAGTGAAGTTCTTCCATTCGATGAGCTGCTGCTGAGAGAGAGCGAAGGAGAAAGTGAGATGGTCCTGGAGACAGTTGGAGCAGTGTTTTCTATTCCCAAGCTTATTTGCCTCATAAATAAGAAGTTCCACATTTAGTCGCGCCGCAGGATAATAAAATGCATCTTTAAATTCGGTATTGTTCATTTAAATTTTATTCACAGAAATACAAAAGTACGCATTGGAAATTTATTCTCTACTTTTTATTTCTGCTGCTAAATACGAAAGATAAAATTACTAAAATTATTGAATGCACACAACCAGAATTGGCAGCTGTTTCTAGCATACTCATTCACTCTGCTAATCAACAGGTGCAATAACTGATAGTGCAAATAAGGAAATACTTGTTAGATAATAGATCTTTCAATAAAGTAGCTAACAGTGAATTCATAGACAGTAAGATGGATAAAGATTTAACCAAATTCATTTGAAATAAACAATAATCAGATAGATTAAACAATAAAATGAGCATAGCCAACAAGGAGCTAGCGAATGAATGAAACAGCAGCACTGTGTTTATTTATGTTCGTGATTTGTGGTCTGGTAGGGGGCTGCTCATTGCACTGTCTGACACTATCTCTGTTATTGCACTATCTACATCGCCCTGATGCTTTATCAATAGTTTAATATTTGAGCTTATATCGGTAAATCCGCACTCTTTCATGTATTTGACCTGCGATCTGTACTCCAGAATCGGATTGAAGTTGTACTTTCCCCAGGGATTGGGCACAGGCTGGCTCGATGGCTTTGCGTCCTTGCTCCCCTCCTTAAAGTGCATTCTTTCGCTTTCTTCAGCAAGCGACTCGCTTGGGTCTTTCTGCGTTTTCAGCATGCCTCTGAGCATATTGAATCCTCCCGGAATGGTTTCCAGCTTGGCCATGGCTATGTCCAGGTTCTTCATTTGCGTGTTCATGTGCTCTGGGTCCTCTGCTAGCTTGGACATCTGCTCGAGCATCTCTGAGCTTTCCATGAGTTTTCTTATTTCTGGGTTTTCATTTTTCAGCTCTGGGAGCATGTCCAAAAGGCCCTTCATTATGTCTGGGTTGCTGAATATCTTCTTCATTCCCGGGTCCTTCATCATCGCAGCGCTTGGGTGTGTCTCTGGCTTGTGGTAGACTTCTCCATTTATTTCGCTGGGGCCTGTGGGCTTTTCCATTTTGTTCGCGTAGATAATGGCTCCATCCTCTATCCCCAGCGCTCCCATGGTCTTTGATGTGTCAGATAGAATGCCTCCTTTGTGCGTCAGCCGCAGCCCATCTGCCTGCACGTTTATTCTTTCTTCTATCTTATTCTTGAGTGTTTCAACTGTATCTTCATTTCCTATCTCTATTTCTATTACTTCTTGTAGATACTTTACAGTGACCTTGTGCATTTTGGAAGAGCGTGAAGGAAAATAACAATAAGAAACAAAAACAATTTATTGGCATTTTCCAGAAGCATGGAAACCAATGGGATATAACGAATAAAGAGACCTTTTACCAATAAGGAAAAAAGGAGCACGGAGAAAAGTGACCAGTAGGAATGTGATCTGCCCGTCCGAGGAGATAGAACAGATTCGATACTATTCGTCTAAATAGCAACGTGCATGCACAGTAACTCTTCAGATAGCTTAGTAAATACAAGGGTGCCTTTACTCCTATTCCTTCAGTGCAGACAAAGCAGATCCTTCGACTGAAGAATTCTTCGATTATTTAAATTTACATTAATTGGATAGAAGAATTCTTACGGTGTAGTTAGCTTTTATTCTTTTTAAAATTTTCATTCATAGCCCAAGAACCACAGTCTATTCTTACAAATCCTTTCTCTAGTACAGCAGCTAGCACACAGACCATTAACTATTATAGTATACTGTTTTTACTATTCCATTCCTTACTTTAACTGATATTTAGATCTTCAATTCAGACAATATTTGTAATTACAGCGTATTTGCAATTATTCTGGCTTTTTCCAGAGCAATAAATGACTTTTCCAGTATTTCTCTTTTGTCTTTTGTGGCTTGTTCCTCCTGCAGGAGCTCAGATATGCTCTCAGGCTTGTACAGATCGTTTATCAGCCTGTTCTGCAGCTCTTGCATTGTTTTGTAGACCATCTCCAGGACAATGATCTTTGGAACTTGTTCCACAACGGTGCTCTTCAAATGAGAGACCTGTCTTCTCACTGATTCTTTAACTATCTCCATCTCTCCTTCTGTGCTGTATGCACTATTATCTGTTAGACTTATGCTGCTATCATTGCCTGTATTAGATACGCTCTGTGCACTAATTGCATCCGGCGTGGCACTCTGCTCTGCTGCGCCTGTGCTTTTACTCGCTGCAGGCCTGATGTAAACTGTATTCCACTGCAGAAACTCTTTTATTGCGTGTGTGGTGGCTGTTAGCCTCTCCTTCAGAAGAGAAGACACACTTCTGCATATTTCTGTTTTTAGTTTTGGAAATCTCCCTATCTTATTTGCGTCCAATGACACCTCCATCATATTCTGCATTTCCAGGAAGATTTTTGTGGATAGCTGTGTGCAGTGGGGGTGTATTTTATCCACAGCCTGCGAGACAAAGTGCGACAGAATATTTGATACGTTTGCTCCTCCGAATACGCCTGACGTATTGTGCATTACGTTGTTTATCTCGGCATCTGAGGAGTTGAACAGATCCACTCCTTCCAGAGATTTGGGAAACAGCGTGTCCAGTGTGTACGATATTCTTGCTCCGTTGATTATCTCCTTAGAAATGTATTTTTTCTGCACTGTGTGTTTCTGTGCTCCTGTGATCTTCTGGTCTATTTCCTGCTTAAATTCGCTGATTATCTGCATAATCATTTGTCTTTCGTCGATGATCTTCCCTCCCAGCTCAGCTACTTCTTTTTCTATTTTATTCAGAAGAAACGATATCCTGTCCTGAAGATATGGCGTGCTTTTTACAATGCTCTTACGCAGAATATCGTGCAGTCTTACGATCAGATAAGGAACACCGCAGTACAAGTGGTTTTTGATGTAGGATGGATGGCTCCTGAAATACTCTTCCTCTTTTTTCAGGGCGTCTTCTATTCTCACTTTTTCTTTCACGGAAAGCTCTCCTCTGCATATCACAGGAACAAACCCCAGCCTGTTCTTCACTATTTTTCCCTGCAGCACATTCACCAGATCAGATCCTGGGTCCATTAGGTCTACTTTGGTCAGCACGCAGAGCGTTCTAGTTAGCTCTGGGTCTACTTCTTTAGCCAGCATCAGCGCATCAGAGCTGGCTATGTCTGTGGTGGCAGGTGTTACCGCCAGGATTATCGTGTTGTTGTTCTGTATGTACGATCTTACTATTTCTTCCACTTTTTTGACTATTCCTTCTGGCTGGCCCTCTGACCGTATTTTTATCACTCCTGGGAGATCAATTAGCGTAATAGGCAGAGCATTTGGCTTGTGTATTTTCAGAACAATTGGTATGGCTGATATGTCGTTTTTTTTGTCCAATATTCTTTCTGTTTCTTTTGTTATTTCTTCCTGGACTTCGTGCAGTTTAAAGGCTCTCCCAGGAGAGTGTCCAAAAGTGCAGTGCGTTGCTCCCTCTGTTGAGACGATCTGTATCATGAGGGGTCTTCTGGTGACCATTCCTGTGCCCCTGGGAAGAATCTCTGCTCCTACAATGTTCTCTAAGATGCTGCTCTTTCCCGAGCTCTGTGCGCCCACTACGACTATCTGCGGAATGTTGATGGGGTTGGGTATTTCTATGCACAGCTCCTGCAGCTTGTTCACTTTCTCTATTACGTCCTCCATCCTCTATTGTTTACATGGAAAAAGTAATTTAAATAAGAGCAGCGCCATTTCGAGGAAAATGCAAATTGGAAATTATTGCTGCATAAAAAGAATACGACAAAACAGCAGATATTAATATGTCCTAAAGCGGTAGTTTTATCAAGATAAATAGCAGATTACATAGATAGTTTATTAATGTCCTAAGCAGATACGCTCTATAGATAGTACGTTTTATTTAGCAAATATCCTATGCCCAGGCCTAGCAGCACCTGGTACACGTAGTGGTGCTTGTACACCACGCGTGCAATCGGTATTACCATGGGAAGCGCTGCCAGAACGGGGTTGTACTGCATTTTCACCATCTTTCCCATTAGATACCCTGATATCACGCTGTGGCTGCTCGGTGTTCCCGTTCTCGGAAGATATCTGTTTTTTATCTGCGAAAACGACACGGGAATGTTGTACAGCTCCAGCGTAGGCTGCACTCTCAGCCTCTTGTTCATTCTTTCTGGCGTGATAAGTATTCTGCTGTAGCCGTTGACCGAAGAGAGGTTAAGAATCTTGTACCACCCCTCCGGCATAAGGTATTCTTTTTTTTCTGGCCTCGGACCATTAAATGGATACTTAACCAGTACGCTTATAATGCAGCAGCAGGCAAACCTAAAGAAGAAAGAGTTAATAGAAGGAATGTACTTAAGCGATTTACTTCTGTTGAAGATCATGGCATACACCAAAGAGAGTATGAGGATGTAGTAAGGACTTTCACAGCACAGAGTGTCTATCATAATAGAGCAGAGCAGGGGATGCAAAATATTTACTAAAAATATAGCCAGCCGCATGGACGTAAGAAGAAGAGTTCGTACGTATATGGTAATACGTTGCAAAGATAGAGAATAAATAGTGCGCATATGGCAGATAGCTTTATATGGTAATTTAATATATTTTTATTTGTGCAATATTTAGCAGCCTTGTGCAGCCATTGTGCTTAGCATCTCCTAAACAGGCAATAAACTTATTTAGCAGCTCGAGAGTATCCGAGGATAATTTTTATCACTCGCTGTCTTCGTTATAGTACAAGGGAGCGAGGGACTTTGACAGCTCTTCTATTTCCTTCGGATTGAACTCAGCCGATCCTATGCCTCTTTTCGTCTGTTTTTTAATGGGCGGGGTGGCTATTACCTTCAGCTGCGGCAGAATATCCCTTTCCTCTTCGCTTGCGAACAGGTCTTGTGTGAACATTGGGGTCTTTTCTATTCCAGCAATGCTTTTGACCGACATGTCCTGGAAGGATTCTGTTTCTTTCTCTTTTTTCTCAAACCATCTGTCGTCTACGCTTTGATTGAAGACGTCTTCTTCTGCATTTACTAGTTCTTGTCCTGTTTTTGTGTTTTTATTCTCTTCTTTTTCCTTTTCTGTTTCTCTGAATAGCTCTGAGAAGAAAGTCTTCCTCGGTGCTGCTCTCTCGACTTTTTTCTTCTTTTCTTTCACTATCTTCGAAGGATCTTGCGGCACGCCTGGGTTTCCGTGTGTTTTCAGCAGCACTTCTATCTGCTTCTTCTGCGACTGGTACTCTTTCTTGGTGAAATCTCTTATCATCGGCGCGTCAAATTCAAACACCTCGTCGTCTTCTGTCTCTGACATTGCTCTCTTTTTCTTGAAAGCATTTTAAAATATTTGTTTATGGATCTGGGAGTAGTAGGACTCGGTGTAATGGGAGAGAATCTCATCCTGAACATATTGGACAAAGGATATTCGGTGGGAGTGTACAACAGAACAGTGCAGAAGACAGATGCATTCATTGGGAAAACATCCCATAAAAATGCCAAGGGATTTGGCTCTCTTTCGTCCTTGGTCCAAGAGCTTAAGGCACCCAGGATACTTCTTCTGATGATTACTGCAGGAAGCCCCGTGGATGCTTTGCTGAAGCAGCTGGAAGGACTGATAGGCAGTAGCGACATTGTAATAGATGGAGGCAACTCTAACTACCACGATACTATGCGCAGGTGCACTGCAGCTGAAGGCAAGTACTTATTTGTAGGGTGTGGAATATCTGGGGGAGAAGAGGGAGCTAGGTATGGGCCATCGATAATGCCGGGAGGATCGCATGAGGCATGGCCTGCAATTAGCTCCATTCTTCAGAAAATATCCGCAGTGGATGAAAGCACGAATGAGCCGTGCTGTGAGTGGATAGGGCCATCAGGCAGTGGTCACCTAGTGAAGACAGTGCATAACGGGATAGAATATGCAGAGATGCAGATAATCGCTGATTTCTACCAGATATTTAGAGGAGGTTTGTCGCCTGCTGAGATATCAGGAATATTCGGAGAGTGGATGAAAAGCGGCACTTCAGGGTTTCTGATTGAAGCTGTGCAGGATATTCTGCAGAAAAAGATCGATGGAAGCGACTGCTATCTGATAGATCGTGTTGTGGATATATCTGAGCAGAAAGGAACAGGGAAATGGACGGTGCTTGAGTCATTTGACACGAACACTCCTACGCCCGTAATAGTAGAAGCAGTTACAGCGCGAGTACTATCATCCATGAAGGAAGAAAGAGTTGCATCCTCGAAGATGCTCCCCGTAGGCGCAGAAGATGAGCCATCTCTGATGGGTGCGCTGTCAGTTGATGAGATGAGAAAGGGATTCCTTCTGTGCAGGGCTCTATCATACATCCAGGGCTTCAACTTAATTAAGTCTATTTCTGACGCGAACTCCTGGAGCATTTCCCTGGATATGCTCTGCCGGGTGTGGAGCAATGGCTGCATTATAAGAAGTGAATTTTTAAAAACGCTTACAACAATCAGCAAAAGCACGCCTTTTTTCCATTCTAGCAGTTTCATAGAGATAGCAGAGAACGGGATTGCTCCTCTAAGAAAGATTGTCAGTTATTGCACAAGGCAGGGCGTGAGCATTCCCTGTGTATCATCGTCTCTTACCTATTACGACACCATCCGCACTAGCAAGTCATCAGGAAATATGATACAGGCGCTCAGAGACTACTTTGGAGCGCACACGCTCCTACTAGAAGGAGAGAGCGAAAGGACACATATCTCCTGGAAATAAATCTAAGAAATGTTGTATATTTATTAGTGTAAGTTACGTACAAACTGCTCTAAAATGTAAAAGAAACACTGTCACTACACTGCTATTCCTGAAGAAACAAAACCGCTACTTTTCTAATACAGTCAAACTTATAAAAACACTACTATTACTACTCGCAATAATGCTGATCACTCTATAACAAGTTTCTAAATATAATTCTAACTCCAGCTGCTATTGCACTCTATGCCCTAAGAGTGTTTAGGAATACAAAAGTGAAACTACTATTTCTATTCTAGCATTAACACTCTTCACTTGAGCCATCTTCTACTATTGATGCTATTGGTTGTACTATCTTTGGCTATCTTCTTCTACTCTTCGTTCATTTTGCAACAGTTATTTTTGATTGTTTTTCGATTATTGTTTGTTTTTAACGGCTTATCTTTATTTGGAATAGTTGCAGCAGATGAAATTGCGCACCTTGCCCCAAAATGAGGCCTTCTTTGTGCTCTCCTCGTCCAGGCTATCGTCTGTTACTGTTTCTGTGTATCCTTTGAACACATGCTCCCACTCGAACACCCCATCATCTATCAGCCCGTGGCTGTGTAGAGCACTGTCGAATAGGCCTGTCATGTATTTATAGTCAGGCACATCATCAAAGCGCAAAGTGTCTATGTATTTGAAGTACTCTATTATTTTTGTGCCTCCTGGGAGATCTCTTGCTATTTCTTCTATTTTCATTGCGTCTTTCATCTCTCCTATGATTCTGCACTTTTCTCTCTTTGACTCTTTCAGGCCCTGCCACGGGAGCCTTCCTTTCGAGAGATAGAGCACTATGTATCCTATTGACTCCAGGTCATCTCTTCTGCTTAGCTCGTATCCCTTGTGTGCATTGACTGACGCATACCGCGGGGTTCCTGTCAGCTTCTTGCCTGCGCCTGTGGAAATGTGCTGTCCATGCTTGAGGAACTCTTTCGCCATCCCCAGATCGATCAGGAATATTTTCTTGGGATCTCTCCCAATCAGAAAATTGTCTGGTTTTAAGTCTCTGTGGACGTATCCTATGCTGTGCAGCTTTTCTATGAGAGTGAGCATCCTTTTGGCCACGATAAAGATGGTTTTGGCGCAGAACATTCTGTTTCTTATGGCTAGCATGTCCTCCAGGCTCATCCCGAGATACTCCATCACTAAATGCTTGTATGCTTCGCACTGTCCAAAGTACTCTATACGGGGGAATCCACTGGCTCCGTCCAATTTTTTGTATACATTGTACTCGTTTTCCAGCTGGGAGTATCTTTGGTCGGAGCATATTTCTATCTTTATAGCTACTTTCTTGATGCTATCTATGGCGTGTCCTTCGAACACGATCCCGAAGCTGCCTTGTCCCACTTTCTCGCTCAGCACGTATCCCCCTATTATTTCCCCGGGCTGGGGTATTTTATACTCTATTCTGGGCCTTTTAGCGAGAGAGATGTTCGAAAGGTCCTCTGGTCCTTGTTTGTTCCACGGCTTCTGTGGCTCTTGCAGTCTGGCCATAAAATTATTAAAAGCTTTTTCCATCTATTATTATAGGATAAAAATATTCCATCAGAAACTGCACCACAGAAAAACAAGACATCAGACAGTCCGCTGTCACAAAAATGTAAAACTCTACAGAAACAGAAAAGATACAGCGTATGGCAAATTACCACGATATAATACACAAGATAGAATGTGCAAGTGCAGCAGCTTCTGACTACGTTATAATAGCAAATGCACAACATACAGATGGAACAGTTAGCGAATAGAGCATATAAATAACAGATGGTAACACTCTGCAACGGCAGACAGTAAGAGCCACTGAGATGGCCTAACGGCTGGATATGCTTGCCTACTCTCATTAATATAAATTAAAAGATAATTAAACTGTACACATTCTGATAAGATACACTATTTATTCTTTGTATATATTCCAATTAAGAAAAGAAAAGCCTCTCAGATTCTCTATTTCCCCCAGATACCCGTAGGTTACAGACGAGAAGGAAATAAAAAATAGAACTGCAGAAAGTATGAATACATATGAGAGCGCGCGTCTTTTCTCCAGAACCATGCTAAGTCCCAGTACGCTGAAGAATAGACAGGGCAGGTAGTGGTGCAGATAGAGTATTCTCTTGACCAGAAGAAACGGCACCAGATGGAACAGCCAGCCTCCGAGTACTATGTAGAGTCTGCCCATTTCCTTGCTGATGTACCTATTACTGCCTCTGGCTCTTTTCTTGGCTAAGCCAAGGAGAACACTGGCCATTAGCACAGGAATGTTAGCACTCCCCAAATACCACGTGATAATATTGCCAATGAGAGCAAACCTTGGCACAGATCCATCCCATCTGTTGAACTTAAGCCATTTTTTGGGAAAGATCCACTGAATGGGAAGGGATCCTATGACATCGTTGCCGTCATCTACCAACCCATTGTTCACTACATTCATTGCCTTGTTTAGCTCCAGCGTGTTCATCAGGAAGTCCTTAAATGTAGGCTGTTTGGGCTCTTTATCTGCTCCCTCTGTTTCTTCTGATCTGTTCATCTCTACGTTCCACACAGACCCTTCTATCTTCTTGTTGCTGCAGTATATTTCGCCCTGCTGGTGCCCCCATTTAGGCAGTTTGTTGCCAGAGTACGAGAGATAGCAGTTGTGCTGTATGTTTCTGATGTAAAACAACGTGGTCAGTGGAGAGATGCCAGACTCTCTCTCTTTCACGGGCTCTAGATGGAACACAGTGTTGGAGAGGATGGAGTTGTTCATTTCCTCCTGTGTCATGCAGACGGCTTTCTTTCCCTCCTCAGGCAGTGTGTATGAAGTGCTGCCATTTATTCTGTCTGCGCTCTCGTCTATCGCCAGATAGCTATTTGTCTCAATGTGGAACAGCACAAGATCCTCTTTTCCTTTCACTCCCTCGGGATCAGCTCCGACCTTCAGCACTCTCCAGTGATTGTTCATGTCTTTGTGCGGATATGCTGTCACTTGCTGCCCACCGCTTGGGTATCTGTCTATGTGAGAGTGTAGCAGCCCTGTGCCCACTGTATTATTGCGTATTGTGACTCTGTTCCCGTACTCCATCCTTTCTTCGTTCCTCAGCACTTCATTGTTCCTTAAAAATGACTGGAATCTGCTGCTCATCTCTCCGTCCCCTGGGCCTGATTTGTTTAGGACCAAAAAATGAACATAAAACGTACTTAAATAAATAGTTACGGGTAGGATAATTAGCGTGGCTGCAAGTCTTAAAAATATTTTAAAAAATTCAACTCTTCGGTTTCTTATCTCCTGGAGGAGGACGTAAATGCAAAATACCCCCACATGAGACACAGTCAGGAGACCAACCCACTTGATGCTCATCGCTGCTCCGATGCATATGCCAAGACACACCAAGTCGCACCCTATTCTATCGACTCTTCTGCTGTCCATGACTATTCTAGCGAGAAACACTTCAGAAAGACAGATGAACAGAAGGAGAAAAGGGTCTAGAAGGATGAGTCTGGATATTCCCACGAGTGCGTTGTCAAAGACCAAAGAGAGCCCAATTGCCACAGCGGTAAATCTGCTCATGCGAATGGTTCGGACTATCATGTACCCACAGACAGGAATAAACGACCCGAAGAGAGCGTGGAATATCCGCATGCCCACAAAGTCCACAGAGCTCGGGTAGACATCTTCACTGGAGAAGACAAAGTCATTAGACATATCCACCAGCCATCCCCCCAGGGCTGTAAGGAGCTTGCCCAAAGGAGGATGGACATCAAAGAAAAACTCTCTGTTTATGTAGTGGCTGGCAAACTTTCCAAAGTGTGCTTCATCCCACATGACGAAGTTTCCTTTTTCTATTCTGTAGAGCCTAATGAGAAAAGAGAGCAGCCAAATGATCAGAACGTCTTTGCAGTTGTAGGAGTATGAAGACTTTTTGGCTGTGCTTTTGTGGATCCTGTGGTCTTTTGCAATTTTAGTAGTCTGGACTATCTCTTGCTTGACTCTTTCTAGCTCCATGGTAAACAACAACAAAGGCTCTCTTCTTATTGTGTTTGTTCTCTGCGCTCTGTTTGTATACACTTACTACGGCAGCACATCCGCAGCAACATGCAGCCAGATTGAAGTGTACAATAGCTAGTATATGATGGTACTTATAAGGCATAGTGGAGTTAGCGTGGGTTATCCTCAGGCCGTGGCTAGTTTATTATGCGCCTTATCTACTGCTCTCCTTTGTTTTCGCTACAACTGATTTATACAACAAACTATTATGATTTTTGTGGTGTATAGTCTATTTGATGGCTGTGTGCACTTTTATTCTACAGGTTTATATCTGAAAATTTTCATTGTTTAATTTCTGATGAGAGTAGCTATGATGAGCGATTTCTTCTATCCTCGCCTGGGAGGAGTGGAGAACCACATCCTTAACCTGAGCAAAGAGCTGAAGAAGCTAGGACACACTGTAATAATCATAACCAATGCTAACACAGGCGTATCAGGAGTGCGCTATGTAGACGGATTTAAAGTGTACTATCTCGAATTGTTTACGCTTTTTGGCGGATCAGTATTTCCCACAGTGCTGTGTAGCAGCATGCCCATAGTAGAGCTGCTGCTAGCTGAGGAAATAGAGATCGTCCACGGCCATCAGTGCAGCACAATGGCTATAGAAGGGATATTCCACAGCAGGCTGCTAGGGATACCTACCTGTTTTACCAACCATTCGCTTGTGAAAATAGAGTCGCTTGGAGGAGTGGTTACGTCTTCCACCTTTCGGATGAGCATAAGAGAGAGCAAGGGAATAATATGTGTCTCTGGGGCAACGAGAGACAATACTGCAGACAGGCTAGGCATTGATGGATATAATATTAGAGTAATACCCAATGCTGTGACAGAAGAGTTTAAGCCATCGAATGAGCCCCTGGAATGGATACCATCAGATGAAGCTGCAGAAAATAATGAAGTGAAAAGATTAAACAGTGATGGTATGATGAAAGGCAGGAAAAGTGGTAGTAGTCTTATAAAAGATGGTGGGGTAGATGGCTCTACAGACGGGAGTATAAAAAGTAGAGTTGTGGAAAATGAAAAGATAGATGAAAATGTAAGAACTACTGCTGGTACTACCAATTTAAGGAATGAGAGTGTTATAGTAGAAGATAATGAAGTAAACAGTGCAACAACAGAAAGTGTAAGGGGTGCAGAAGATCTTATAATTATATCTGTGGTTAGCAGACTCACTGCTAGAAGAGGTGCTGGCTTGTTGGCTGACGTACTGCCGTCTATCTGTCGCATGGACGACAGAATTAGGATAGTAATAGCTGGAGATGGAGAGAAAAAGGAGCTGTTAGAACAGACAGTTGAAAAGTACCATTTGAAGGGAAGGGTGAAGTTCTTGGGGGGAGTGCATCCTTCAGAGGTAAAGAACATCTTGAACAGATCCAACCTGTTTCTCAACACATCGCTAACGGATGCCTTCTGCATAAGCATAATAGAGGCATCTGCCTGCGGGCTGTACGTTGTAAGCACCGATGTAGATGGAATTAGCGAGGTACTGCCTGGCGACATGATCACTCTCGTGCCCCCCACAGCAGAAGGCATCGTTTCAGGCATAAAAGCATCCATTCCGAAAATATCAGCATACAACAGGAAACTGTCGCATGCAAGAGTGCACTCAATGTACAAATGGTCGCTGGTGGCCAAAGAAACAGACACAGTCTATAGGGACATCTTCAGAGAAAGCGCTAAAGCGTCGCTAAGAGACAGACTAAAGCTCTCTATAAAGCGCATCTACAGAACGGAAAAAGACAGACTTTCTTTTCTGTTTAAATTTCTGCTGGTCATTAATTATGCAATAATTTTCATATCAGCTGTGCAGTATGAGAATAAGAGAAGACACAGACAGTAGATACAAGAACATGCAGAGATACGAGCTGAAAACAACAAAAACATTCTCAGTAGATGTAAGGATGGATAAGTCACTGTGTAATAGGATATTTAGAGCATACAGCCACAAGATACATAAGGACATGGTAGAATTTACACTAGCTGGAACAGTAGATGAAATAGAAGAGCAGAAGCACAGGATACTAGCCATAGCAAAAGAAGTAGAAAGAATAAACACAGCACAGGCAGTGCTCTCTCAGCATCTTATAATATAGCCCTATAAAAATAAAACCTGCGCACTATCATAAAAGATACGGTTTATTATCTACTATTATACCTTATTCTGTGCTATTCCTACAATAAAAGGTAGAATATCTGCCCTAGACATCTTCTCGTTCACTCTGCAGGCTAGTGCTGGCTAATGCCTTTCTTACTGCCAATATACCTACTATCTCGTGCTATAGACTCACTTCTAGCTTGATTCGTTAACTCTTCCACCAGTTAGTACATCAGCCGAGCTACAGCAATAAACACGATTATACTTGTATCTACTTCAGTATCCTCTGCGTCATGAACTCCTGCTCTGTTTCTGCTGATGTTTCTGCTTCTTTTTCGATCTTCTCTATCGTATACCTGGGAATGTCGTATATTCTCAGCAGCTCTTCTATTTCATCTGTAATAATGCTGTTTACGCCCATGGCTATCTGCTTATCTACCACTGAAATATCGCTGTTGTTCTTGCCGTATGTCACTAAATACAGCATGTGTCTCTTGACCGTTTCAACAATGCCGGGGTTGTTTAGTACCTCGTCTACCTCTGTTACTATTCCCATGTACCCAACATCCACTGCATAGCTAACGGACTCTTCTGTTAGTATCTCCACTAAAAACAGCACTTCTTCTCCCTTTCTCTGCATGGTCTGGCATACGTCCCTGTTAAATGAGCTGTATACGATCTTTCTTCCTTTTTTCTGTGCTTTTTTAACTGTTTCCACGACTTTATCGCACCAGATGTCCACAGAGATAGACTGGATTTCGTACTTTATCTCAATGTTTAGATCTATCTCTGTGTTCATCAGCAGATCGTAAAGCGTGTCTATTTTTCGATCCAGCAGCTCAGATGTACTGATTTGGTCCAAATATACGCCATCTATCGCCAGATCGTGAAACACAAATACGTCCAAGTCTCTGCTCAGCTGTACGTCTATTTCTGCCATCTTCCCAAAGACTCCGCACTTGTTTATTGAGAAGATCGTGTTCTCTTGCCTCTCCATCCCCGCGCCCACGCCCCTGTGTCCTATCAGGACCGGAATGCTGAACAGCTCGGGTGATCCTGCTGCGTTTTGGATGCTTTTCTGATCACTTCCTCTCTCTTTTTTATTTTTTTTACTTTCTTCTTTCTCTTCTATAATTCCCCCCATATTTACAAATATTTTATGTTTGACTTAATTAGAAGGATTGGCAGTAAGATAGAAATCCTGTCCAGAACAGGAGTGCGATACACAGGAGCACTGTCCAGCTATGATGCCGTAAAAGAAACCATTACTCTCGCCAAAGTCAGGTCATTTGGGACAGAAAACAGACAGGCGCCAGTGAAGATGCAGGCAAGCACGCAGGTGTACGAGTACATCGTGTTTAAACTAGTCAATGTCCAGGGAATAAAGCATAACAGCAGCTGGATAAGCATTGCAACTGAAGAGATCATCACGCCATCGGTTGTAGAAGAAAAGAAAAAGAGCACAGGGAATATCTCAGCAAATACTTTGAAGAACAAAGTGAATGTAAGGGATGCAACAGGAAATGCTAGTACTGGTGGCACTGTGGCAGATAGTACTAGGATAAAAAATGTTTCAACAATTGGAAACTCTATTCCAGCTAATAATAGAGACGAGAAGAGTCGCCATGGGAGCATAAAGAACATTTTGACAATTGGAGATTCTATTTTGACAAATCTTAACAGCACAAGAGTAAGTAGTGGCACAGAGGATACCCGTGTAAATGATAATATAGAGGATGCTTCAACCAGCGGTGGCAATGCAACTGTAAATAGCACCAGCGCCTCCAGTACTCCTTCCAGGAGCAGTGGCAATAAGCCGTACTACAGGAGTAAATACAGCAGCAAGAAAGACGGCACTTATCCTCCCAAGTACACTAAATACAACCCGTGTCTGCGCAAGAACACACCTATTCCTGAAGCAGAGTATGATTTTGCACTAAACAACAAGGAAATGCCCAAGGACAAAAACAATAGCACTTTTAAAAATAACTACGACCCGTCCTTCTTCTACGACTCTCTCTCCTAGCCGTTCTCTTTCATTGGCCACTGCATTATCTATTTAAAAATAAAAAATTTGCCCATGCAAGTTTATGACAGAACAGAAAACAAGAACACCCAATATATTCGCCAATGAGCACCCCAGCATCCCTGCAAAAGAGGAGAAAAAGGATGAAGAGACAGACCCATCCGAAGATAAAGACAGAAAAGATCTGAACGAAACAGAAAATAATGAAGACGACGAAATAGACATGGATGAAGTCATCGCCATGCCAGAGGAAGCCTCCTCCAAGTCTTCTCTGCTCGCAGGAGTCCTCGTAGTCGACGAAAAAGGCGCAGAGGCAGAGCTCGCTGAGACATTTGACGCCATGGGCCTGAGGCCAGAGATCCTCAAAGGCATCTACGGAATGGGCTTTGAAAGACCCTCGCCCATACAGATGACAGCCATCAGACCGCTCCTCAAGGGAAGAGATCTCAGAGCACAGGCGCAGAGTGGAACAGGAAAGACTGCAGCCTTTGGCATCGCCTCTCTCCAGACGGTAGACCCAAAAATAAGAGATGTCCAAGTGATTATCATGGAAACAACAAGAGAGCTGGCCATACAAACAACAAGAGTGCTCAGCAAGCTCGGAAGCTACACAAACATAACCATAGAAGCTATATACGGAGGAGTAAAGGTCTCAGACACTCTCGACAAGCTGAAGAAAAAGCCGCAGATCCTCGTAGGCACTCCCGGTAGACTGCTTCATGTGATAGACATGTGCCAGCTGAATCTCTCGAATGTGCGCCTCTTTATCCTCGATGAAGCAGACGAAATGCTGAAAAAAGGGTTCCTCGAGCCCATCAACATCCTCTACAACAAAATAACCAACACAAGGCTGCAGGTGGGCCTGTTCAGTGCTACATGGAGCAGAGAGGAGCAGGAAATAACCGCACAGATCCTGAACGAGCCTGTGATTATTTCTCTGAAGGACGAAGACCAGACCCTGAAGGGAATTAAGCAGTACTACATCAACGTAGGAGACAAGAGAGGAAGCGCATCTGTAGACATGAGCAAGTTTGAGATACTTTGCGATCTCTACAACAGAGGGTCCATCTCTCAGTCCGTCATCTTCTGCAACAAGGTGGAGAGAGCCGTGAACATCCAGAAGAACATGATAGAAAGAGGCTTTGAGTGCGAGATCTTCCACAGCGAGCTGCCCCAGGAGGTGAGAAACGATGTGATGCGTAGATTTGCCGAGGGCAACTGCAGAACTCTCGTGTCCTCCGGGCTGCTTGCCAGAGGTATGGACGTGCAGACTCTTAGCGTGGTGATTAACTTTGATGTGCCGCACGAGAAAGAGATAGAGAACTACATACACAGAATCGGAAGAGCAGGAAGATACGGAAGAAAAGGCACTGCAATTAACCTTGTATCGTCAGAGGACGTGGAGATGATCAGAAAGTACGAGAAACACTACAACACAACCATAGCCCCACTGCCCTCCAATATAATTGAGAGTCTATAATAAAGATACACTTACATTTATAGCTTATATCACACTTATTACTAATTGCTTACTCTTGTAGCTAATTATACCACACTTACCGTTATATAATAGCATTATTACTACACCTATTACTAATTAGTTGCCCTTATGGCTAATTATTGTATTACTACTACACTTACAGGCATAGTTAGCTATGGCTTGCCGTCAGCTGTCTGTTACTGCACATTATTTCTGCTATTATCTGTAGAGTGCTACTATAGTACGCAGAGCAACGATTAATCTTCTAACGAATAACTAGATGGTATTTATCTGCTAATAAATACTTAGACTAAACAAGATAAATATTTATTCTATTACACTTTTGAAGCACTGATTACCTCTGGGTGGCTGTCTGTCTGCATTCTCAGGAGAATTTCTTTTTTCTCTTCCAGGATTCCCTGGCTAACCATCTTTGCTACGGTCATCCTTACCTGCGGGATGGGATCTTGAGAGAGCTGCAGAAGGCCTTTCGCGAGCATCTTCTGCACCTTCCTTGGCCAAAGAGTCTGCAGCACTTTGCCTATCGCTGTAGCATAGGATATCCTGTGCGCGTAGTGGCTGCTTTCTTTCAGAAATTCCAGAGACTCCAGCATATCCCCACAGACCCAGGCGGCTCCAAAGTTTATAGATATCTCGCCCAAGATAACAGCGGCTTCTTTTCTTACGTTCCATATTGGGTCGATAAACATTTTGAAAAATGGCTGTTTAAGGTAATCTTGAAAATACATCTTGTCCATTTGTCTGCTGAGCGACGAAATGCTTTTTAGCACTGCTGTGCGTGTTCTCCAGTTGCTGCTTTCAAGGTCGTTTATTACGGGGGTGAGCGCGTCTGTGATGGCTGCTGCTCCCAGTTTATTGTACAGGGTTTTTAGTTTTCCTATTGTTTCCATTTTTGTTTTTTGGTCTTCGTCCGTTAGAAGTCTTCTGACTATCGGTGATATGTATAGCTCCACGTCTTCTTTTGTTATGATTTCCGAGATTTTTGAAAGCACCTCCGGGACAATCTCTCTCACCTCCGAGGACACATCGCACGATGCCTTGTCTATGATGTAGAGAATTTTGTTCTTTGTGTCTGGAGCTTCTGCTAGGATGTCTGGGGCTCTTTCTATGATGCTTTTTCGCACGGCTTCTTCTCTGTCCTCCACAAGCCTGTCTATGCAGTCAAGGATGCTTATGCCCGTGTGTGTACTTTTAATCGCGTACAAATACACGGCCACTTCTTTAATTATCTTCGTGGAGCTGCTGCGTACCTTCCAGCTGTTGTCTTTTGACGCTTTTTTGAAGATTTCCAGGTTGAAATATCCGTTATCTTTTGTTTTTGACAGTAAAAACAGCGGAGAGATGAAGCAGCTTCTGACTGTGTCGTCTGTGTCTTCCAGCACTCTTTCTATGATCTTCTGTATCTCCTGCTCTGTGTAGAAGTATTGTATTATCTCGGGGGAGAGGATCGACTTACGTCTGACAATTGGCAGGGGGTCATTCTGCATCTGGGAGAAAAGGCTCTTCAGCTTTCTCAGCTCCGTTCCTGCGGGTATCTCTCCTATCAGCGTGCGCATCACAGTTATTGCGGATATTCTGTGCATGATGAACCTGCTTTCTCCCAGAGAGACAATAAACTCTTCTATCCCGAAGATTTCGTAATCTATTTTCTTTACATTCAGAGAGCTGATGAGGGAGGCGCTGGCCTGCTCTCTGATGAGGTCGCTTCGCGTCAGGAATATTTCTCTGTACAGAACGTACACAGGCTTTATTTCGTTCAGGACTTCTTTCACTATTTTTTCTATTTGCTGGAGGATAGGTATCTTTGCCTCTTCGTTTGTATCTAGGATTGTCTTTATAAAGGGTATCAGGTACTGCACAGTGTATGGCTTGCCTATTCCCTGCGAGATTCTTAGCAGACTATCTATACTTTCTTCTCTTAATTTGGGGTTGCTGGACTGCATCTTCTCTATTTCCTGTTCGATTTCATCGTATAGCATAGTTCTAAAAATAAAAACAGAAATTGAAAATTAAAACATTGCAAAATTTAGAGACAAGCTGAAAGTAGAAGCAAATGGAAGGAGGAAAAGAAGCGCTGGGAAATAAAGAGAGAAAAGAGGAAGGGTACGGATGGTCCATGTGCATAAACAGTAAGATGCTGTGTGTGGGGATAGGAAGTAGACTCGTGATGTACGATGTAAAGACACTGGAGAAGACGAAAGTACTGGAAACATCAGGAGAGAATAGAGAGCTACGTGTGCTAGATAGTGCACTAAATGGTAAAAATAGAGAAGACAAGATGAATAGCAATGGAGATATCTTGCTAGCTGATGGAAACAGTGATGGCATCACTGGCAGTTCGAGAGTCGGTGATAGTGATAGAATCAGTGATTCTGTAAAGATCGGCAGCAAAAATAAAAATAAATCTGAGAGTGTTGGCGCAGCTGCAGAAGAAGAAGAAGACGAGAATATTATTTTTGAAAATTCTAAATATGATGCAGCAGAAGGCGCAAATGCTGATAGCTCTGTGGTAATTAGAAGGTGCGAGTTTATAATGGACAGTGACATAGTAAGTATAGGGTATTTTAATGGCGTGTGTGATATAGTGAACATAGACAAGAACATTAGACTAGATAGACTGGAGGGCGATGAAAGCGAGATAAAGTCAGTAAGCTACGGGAGTAACAGGCTGGTCTTCAGCACCAGAGAAGGAAGTGTGTGGATATGGTTTATGAATGAAGAAGGAGAGTGGGAGATAGAAGAGATAGTGGAGTACAGTGAGAGCGACGTGAAGAGCACTATTTGGTTCAAGAATAAGCTAATTACAACAGGGTATAACGACGAGGTGGTGATATACAGCAGATGGGAGGATGAAATATGCGAGGTAAAGTGGGAGATAGAGAGCATATTTAAGACAGAGTCCTGTGCCTGGGATGCCTCTGCGGTAGAGATAGAAGGAACAGGGTATATAGCAACAGTGACACAGCAGGGATACTTACACATATACAGTAATAGCTCTGCTAATAGTTCTGTAAATGGTAATGATCTTTCTGCGAGCGGTAATTCTTCTGTAAACAGTCATAGTGATAATAAGGCTGATGGGGAGAGTGGCGGTGAGAAAGTCTTTAGAGAGGAAGTGTCATTGAAGGTGTCTTCGTATCCTGTTATATCTGTCACTAATGCTGTGTATAACGGGGTAAAGTGCTTTGCTATGGTCGTGGATAGGCGCAGGCTTGTCTTATACGCGTACGGAATAAACGGGCTGTGTGTGCTAAGCGAGCGCACAGTTCTTACAGAGTATGAGGAGCCCATGGACATCGTATTCAGTGAAGAAGAGAGCGCTATCTTCATTCTCTCCACATCCGTAAGTAACAGAAGGAAGTATACGCACATAAGAAAGGTACTTCTGAAAGAGATGGCGTAATAGAGATAATAAGAAGAAACAAGGACAAGCCCTGGTATTAAATAAAAGACAGTGGACAATTTATTGTGAGGCTGGTTTTACGTGTTTCCTGTGTTTGGGTCTCTGAGTGTAAGGATATGCAGGCGATACGATGGCATCAGCACCGAGTGCACCCCCCTGTTTTATTTTCTCAAGGACCCCCAGGGCCACGTTTCTCTCTGTTTCGTCGGAGAACTCTAGAAACGCGTATTTCTTCTGGGACTGTGTGGGCTTGGACAGGAATACTGTTTTAGGAGAAACCGTACCTGCAATTATTTTTGTAAGGTTTTCTTCTTGAAAGTCTTCAGGAAGATTTCCTATGTACGCTTTTGATTTGTAGGTAAGCGGCTTTTTCTTTTTATCGGGAGAATAGCTTATCACCTCTGCCTCTAGGCCCGCGCTGTCGATCTTTAAGGAGGCAGCTGCAGCCTGCTCTGCGTCTTCTGCGGTGGCATACTCTACAACGGCAGTGTGGTCTGTGTCTGGCTTGTACTTGTTCATTTTAACGGCAATACTTAGGTTAGATATCATACTCTACACTCTCTTCATGTTCAGAAACACGAACCAATAAATATAATCACATAACTTACATTTCTCCTGTTGTCTTAAGAGCGTCTACCAGCTGGAAGAAGGTAGAGCCCTTAGGAACGTTCTTTATTAGCACTCTTCTGCTCATATTGACACTCTCTGGCATTGCAGGGGCTAAATATAAAAAATAAAAAATACTTGGCGCTACTTGCTATATTATGCACAGGATGTGCTGCTATTTGCTGTACTGAGCGTAATGCACACAGGCTATACTATTGTATGGTAGCTGGAGCGCGATATGTGCATGCATCTATTGTAGTACTGAGAATAAGTTGTAGCTCTTCAGGGCATACACACCACTTCCTGTGCAGAGCATAGTATATCTATGCATGCTGTCTGCTACCACAAAATAAATCAAAAAGATGTGCACACACTAGTTAACACACACTATATAAAAAGTACATAATTATTTTTTATTGTCTACTAGCACGCAGCTGCTCTACACTGTCTACTCTATGGTGTCTAATGTGCGCACACTTAACACACATCGCCTATTATCTTCTAGTTAGCAGCCAGGATGGTTTTTACTGTGTCCTTTAATAATTCGTATTTTGCTATTCCCGAGAATGTCCAATAGATAATGTTTCCTCCGCTGTTCATCATGCTCTGTGTGTCTATTCCTGTCCTCAGACTGTGCGTTACTACCATGTGCCCTGCTGCCTCGCTGAGCTCTTCGTCTGTGGGGTCGTACACTGCGCACTCTTCCTGCATTGCACACGTTACCGTCCTAGGATGGAATGTCATAAGCTCCTTAATCTCTTTCTGTACCACTATCTTCTCTCTTCTGTTCTCTATTTCTTCCAGCACTTTTATCCTGTGCAGTGTCTGGTATATTCCTTCTGTGGCCATCTCCAGCACTCCTCCCTTGTCGTTAGCTATTACTATGTCTATGCGTATACTTATTACGGCGAGGTTAGGAATTACTGCCAGTCTGTCCAGAGGCAATATCTTAGACCGATTGAATATCCTGTCTATTTCCATCTGTATGCGTCTGTCGCTGCAGTTGATGGCCAGGATCCCCTGTCTTCCCTTTTCAACGGGCGGCTCTTTTATCTCCACTGCACAGAATACAATAATAGCCGATGAATATATGGGAGACGCCCCGCAGCTAATAAACTTGCGCAGTAGGATGCTATCAGCTGTTGCCTCCTGCACAGTAAGTCTTTGCTCGTTGCTTTCTCTGCCGTCTAGCCTCACTATATTGCGGCTGCTAATATCGCCATAGATAGTATTACTGCCGCTTTTGGATAGATCACTGCTATTTATAGAAGTATTAGAAGTATTGCTCTCTTCCCTATTTCTCATTTCTTATTAAGAATAAAATATTTTATTATTCATGGAGTGTAGGCGGATAAGTAATACTATACTGTGCATGGGATACAGCAGCAGTGAGCTAAAAAGAAACCAGTACGTAACGATCATAAACTGTAGACTTTCAGGAAAAGAAGAGGAAGTTAGCAGCGTGTGCAGGATAATTAAAGACAAGAGATCTTACTATTCAGTTATAACAGATAGCAACACCATCCACTGGTTTAATGTAGCTAGCACATCATCATTCATCAAAGCATACCCTGTCGTAGTAAACAACACGTACACGAACATACTGCAGTTTCTAGAAAAAGACAGTACTGCTGCATATAGTAATAATGCTATAAATGGAAATGATGTGTCTGCAAGTGGTAATAGTGTAAGCAATCAGTCTGCAACAGGAAATGCTGCCATAAATGAGAATGCTGTGTCTACTAATGGCAATGCGTCTGCAAACAGCAACAATTCTGAAGGCGCATCGTACACTCTGAACAGCAAGTCCATTGTTCTCTTCAATGACCTGTACACAATCGTAGAAGTGCCAGGAAGCATCCTTCTTTACTCCCATGACGGCCAGCTCTCTTCTTCCATAGACACAGGAATAGATAGAGTCACTATGATATATCCCACGCTGTGCAACAAGTACCTGTTTATAGCCTTTGAAAAAGGAATGATCTCTCTGTACGATCTAACAAACAGTCAGTTCCTGTACAGAAAGAGACACCCTGTGGGAAGATCCTTCGTCTTTGGAAGCGTCTTTCAATATCTCAGATACTACTCGGTGGCAAAGAACACTCTCGCGATAGGAAGAGTCTCAGATGGACAGATTCTCATAGAGCTGTCGTATCCTGAAGAGATAACCAACGTGGCTACAGATGTTCTTAATAGACAAATAACTGTGTCCTCTGTCTCTGGCAAAATATTCTACAGCCGGCTGGACAATGAGCAGAGCGCGTTCACAGAATGTAAAGTTACGAACGACGAGATAAAAAGCGTATCTTTCTCGGTTTCTGGAAGGTATATTTTTGTTGCCTCTAATTTAAACATATTCATCATCGACAGCAAAGACGGAAAAATAATCAAAACTATTCTGAGCAACTCTCTAAATTATTTTTCCACTTTTACAAGCAGTAGTAATTTGCATTTAAAATAAAAAAATAATGAAAGAGTGTTTGCAGCTAAAGCTCTTAATAATAGGAGAAAGCAACGTAGGGAAGACCTCAATACTCCAGAGATTCATAGAAAACAGCTTCCACAAAACATTTTCAACCACCATAGGAATAGACTTCAGGTCGAAAACCATTTCAGTGGACAATGAAGACATAGAGCTACAAATATGGGACACCGCGGGACAGGAGAGATTCTTCTCAATTACCAAGAGCTACTACAGAGGGTCAGACGGGATATTCCTTACCTTTGACCTAACATCGGAGGACTCTTTCAAGGCTCTTCCAAAGTGGATATCAGAGGTGAAAGAAAAGCTGGAAGAAAAAGTCCCCATTTTCCTGTTAGGAAATAAAAAAGACCTTTTGGAAGACTCAGAGATAGACAAACTGTCCACAACGCAGTCGATAAAGAAAATATCAAAAGAGCTGTCCGTGCCCTGGTACATGACAAGCGCAAAGAGCGGAGAAAACATTGAGGAAATATTTAGAGACATGGCAAGGATCATCCTCAACAAGAGAGTAGTAAAGAAAAAGAGGAATGCGTACAAAATATCAAAAGAAAAAATAAGCAGCGCGTTCTGGTGCTTTAAATAAACAGTAATTTTATTCCATGCACTTTAGGCCATTTTCTGCTTTCCGCCAGGTGGCATCAGATGAGAGCAAAAGACGTGAGCTGTCTGCTTTCAAACAGTTTTTTTTACTTGTTTTTTTTTATTTATTGAAATTATTTTTGGTCCCCTGGGTAAATCTAACTTAGTTAGTCTTCATAAGTAATAAGCACATGGTTATCTGTGAGGCTACGTTCCAATGAAGTACATAAAGATTACTCTGGGTGAGTGAGGCGATCATTCGTATTCACTCAAAAGAGATAATAACATTTTATATTAATATCCTAGTCACAGACCAGCTACAAGCTAGTTGTAAAATTAGCCTAATAGATAGCTATAGTTTCATAGATAGCTGGAAAGAGACACTTAATTACACTACAAAGAGCAGTTAATATAAGGCTGTGCCAGTCTAATCATACAGCACATGCTACTCTATGTTTGTAAATTAAACACCTACTGTATATGCTACTTAGTGTGCATATAGCAATATATCCCTACCATATCCTGTGCTATTCGCATTAAGTATGCATCATAATGATCTGCAAAGTGCATCTTATCTTTATCTCTCGAGTTATAGCAAATATGAAGTATGAAGAGTCTTCTGATATGTACATAGGAGAGTATCTAGTCACCAGCGAAAACAGCTTAGACGATGAATTAGACAGCATAACAACTAAAATAGATATACACATAGAAGACGACAGCCTCCCTGGAATGTTCAGAAGAGCAACCAAATGCATAGAAAATGCAGATGCGCTCTCTCTGTACAGTTTGTCTACTGCGCTGCTGGGCTACACTCGCATAGTTATATCGGTGTACAATGTAAGCAAGGAGGAGTGTTCATTCCTGCACAAAACCCTGCACATTCTGAAAGAAAGACTGCCCATCCCCGTTGAAATAAGCCAAAATATGCTGTGCTGCACTCATTTAATCATAGCATCTAGCTCGCACAGAGAGTGCAAAGTGTCCTGTCCGTATCTACTCGGCATTCTGTTTGGCAAATCAATGGTTAACTTCAACTGGTACTTGTCTTTGTTCAGTGATGCCCTCAGCATAGAGACCGCCACCCTGTTGAACATAGTACGCTCGGAGATGGATATAACTGATGCTGCAGAGATGTCTTCTATCTACGGAATGCACGAAGGGTTCTTTAGTAATGTAAATATATCAGGGCAGATAGCAGAAAAAGAAAAGAGGCTGGTCTATCTCCTAAACGGAACAGCTGATAGAAAGAGCAAGAGACTTACAGTAAAAATAGACACACACGAAGAGCTTTTCTATCTAATCACATCGGACTCGAGCAAGCCCTGGTATCTATCCTTGTTTCCAGGAAGAAGCTGCATACATCGCATGAAGTAACTGACAGTTTAAACGATAATTGTAGCAAAAGTCAGCAACCCAAGAATAGATACTCATTCTATCTATGGAAACAGAATTGTATTATTTCGCTCTTTTTCTGTACGATTAAAAATAAATTAAAATGATGTTTATCTTAGCAAGTTAATTTTAAACAACTAGTGTTGTTATGAACTCGGAGAAAAGTAAAAGTGAGCACTAAAAATAAAAATGAAACTAAAGTGTATATTTTTTATTTTACTGCTGGCTCCAACATAAACACTTATCCTAGGATTATTGCATGTATTGTCGTCTTTTCTTTGAGGAAGAGAATGTTGTCGTTATAGACCACCTGTTCGTTCTTGCTGAAGCTTATCTCTTCGTACACGCTTTTTTTGGAGTATATCATTTTTACCTTATCTTTCAGTATTTTTATGATAATTGGGCGCAGCGTGATTGTGATTTCGCTCTTCACCATTCTGTTGATGTGCTCTTTTTTTTCTGCAGGCTCTTTGAGGATGGACTTGATAATCGACTTGATGTTCTTTCCAATTGGTATCTCTCTCAGCGTTTCATCAAATATCTGCATCTCTCCGAATGACGAAACCATGCACAGATAGCCGTTGAAAAAGAACGCTTTCTTTATCGTGCTTATCCTGCAGAAAGAGAGCAGCCCTTCGAACACTTTCTCTATTTCTTTGACTTTCTTGTAGTATAGCTGTATTAGCACAATGCTCAGAGTGTCAGCCACTGAATGGGGAATGCTTTTTGTTTTAATTAAAAAAACGAACAGATGGTTGGATATCTCCCACACCTTCTGCAGCTGGCAGTTGTTCATAATGGCAAATATTTTTATAACCCCTGTTTCTGTTATGACCAGCAGATGGTCGTTGCTCACATTGAAAAACAGAACGCCTTCTTTCAGATTTATCTTGTACGCATCTTTTCTGTTCTCGGGAGGAGAGAGTGCCCGATTGAACAGAGTAATCGGCGTGTTGTTTATTGTTGCGCTCCTAATGCTCTCCCATTTGTCGCTTCCTTTCTTCACTAAATACAGCTCTGAGTATATCCGGTCTTGTTTTTTCTCTGGAATGCTTTCTTCTTTTTCTTTTTTGTGTCTTCGCACTTCCTGTAGACCCTTTCTGAACTCCTCCTCGAGTCCCTTCAATATTTCTTCTCTCTGAATGTTCGATGATAAGTCGTCCAGTGCCTCCATCTGCACACTTTCTTTCCACTCTTCTGCTCCTTTGCTATTCATTTCCTCTTTTCTCGCTCTTTCTTTTATATTTTTGCCCTTCCATTGGCTGAATATAAAACGGTGTTCCATTGTTTATTTTAAAAACATGAGGACACGGGATAGAAAGTGCGAAGAGACAGAAGAAAGACACTTCTTCGTGAATGGGTCTTTAGAAAGAACACACAATAACCTAAAAGGCACAGTGAAGTATCCGAGGAACATCATATGCAACCAAAGATACTCTCTCTTTACATTCCTCCCAAAAGTATTTGCACAGCAGCTGAAACACTTTCTTAACGTTTTCTTTATTCTTGTAATGGTTATGCAGCTGTTCCCACCCGTCAGAGTGTCTCATCCGCTTACCTCCATCTTCCCCTGGACTCTTGTTCAGATCTTCGTATACATAAAAGAAGGCGTAGATGACTACAAAAGATACAGAAGAGATAGAGAAGCAAACGACAAACAGTGCACCAGATATACAGAAGGAGGGCCTGTAAGAGTGCCTGCGTCAGAGATAGCTACAGGCGATTTGATTATTGTAGGAAAAGACGAAAGAGTGCCCGCTGATGCAATTCTCCTGAAAACAGAAGACGACTCAGGATCCATCTTCGTACGCACAGACCAACTGGATGGAGAAACCGATTGGAAGATAAAAATGAGCCCGTCCGTCTTCCAAAACGCAACTTTTGATGAAATAGCAAAAAAATACTTTGAAATCGAAGCAGAGGCACCGAGTAAAGAGATATACTCGTTTTCAGGCAAGCTGTATGTAGACGGCATACAGTACACCGTGCACGAAGACAATATGCTGTGGATGAACATGGTTATAGCAAGCGGCACTTCGTTGTGTGTTGTAGTTTATACAGGAAAAGACACCAGAGCAGTTATGAACACAACCAGAGCGAGGAACAAGTCAGGGCGCATAGACACGGAGCTAAACTTCTACACAAAAATATTATGTACAGCTTCGTTCTCATTTGCTGTTCTGTTTACAGCCCTGCGAGGCACATACTCTCTGTGGTATATCACGCTGGTGAGGTTTATAATTATATTTTCCACCGTTATTCCGATTAGCTTACGAGTGAACATCGACTGGGCTCGGCTGGTCTACGCGAGAACAATGGAGAACGACGTAGACACATCAGTTGTCGTCAGAAACAGCAACATTCCAGAAGAGCTCGGGAGGATATCTTACATTCTAACGGATAAAACAGGAACACTAACTAAAAATGAGATGGAAATAAAGAAGATGCACACGGGAGACCTGTGCTATACGCCTGACTTTGTGCAGGAGATACGAGAGATAGTGCACAGCCCTAAATCACCGGCAGATCACTCGGCTAGAACTCTGCTGCTGGCTATGTGCTTATGCAATAATGTTATACCATACACCGAGAAAGAAAGCAACAAAAAAAATAACGATCTTATTGTCCAAAGCAGCCATATTAACAAGGAAGCAGATAAGAGCCTGGATGGAGCAAGCAGCTCAGGAAACACAAACAATAACAACTCGAATAGTGCAGAAAATATTACCGAGGATGGATATATCAGCAGTAATTTAAACAACATAGAAGATGCAGCTGAAAGTAATTATGTCAGCACTGGGAACAGAAATAACGAAGATTTTGTTCAGAATGAAAATAGCGCTAGAAACGAAGATAGCAGTGCAAATGGCGAGTCTGCAGCTGCTAATGATGAAGTGGGGTACATATCTTCATCGCCTGATGAGATCGCCATGGTCCAATGGGCATCTCGTGTCGGAATGACCCTCTGCGGCAGAGGCCCTGGGTGGGTGGAGGTGCAAGAGCTGGACAATGACCCGATTAGATACGAAGTGCTGCACTCAATACGGTTTACAAGCGAGAAAAAGTGCATGGGCGTAGTAATACGCTCTAAAGACTCAACGTATCTCTACATGAAAGGAGCAGACAGCGTAATGAAACACATGGTCACTGGAAGACTCTCAGGATGGATGGACGAAGAGGCAGAAGCAATGGCAAAAGAAGGACTCAGAACAATGGTGTTTGGAAGAAGACGCATATCAAATGAAGAAGCAGAAGAACTGATCCTATCGCAGCAGAATATGTCAGATGACCAGCAAAAAGGGCTAGACCTACTGGGAATAACAGGAGTAGAAGATAAGTTACAGGACGGCGTAAGAGTGTCTCTGGAGACCCTTAGGGACGCAGGCATTAAAGTGTGGATGCTCACAGGAGATAAGGTAGAAACAGCGAGGTGTATCGCCATATCCTCTAGACTGTTCCCCAGGTGCAGCACTATTCTTACAATTGCATCGATAAGAACAAGACAGGACGCAGACATAGCGCTAAAAAAAATACAGAGAGAAAGAGACTGTCTGATAATTGATGGAATGAGTTTGCAGGTGCTGATGGATATACACAGAAACGAGTTTATATTGGCGCTGATGAATATGACAGCTGTGGCCTACTGCAGATGCTCGCCAACCCAAAAGGCAGAAATAGCCAGAGCACTCTCAGACATATCGGGGGAAAGAGTGTGCTGCATAGGAGATGGAGGCAACGATGTAAGTATGATACAGCAGGCAGATGTGGGCATAGGAATAGTGGGAAAAGAGGGGCGGCAGGCATCACTTGCCGCTGACTTCAGCATCAATGAGTTTAAATCTTTGATCGATTTGATTTTGTGGCACGGGCGAAATTCGTACAAGAATACAGCAAAATTGGCACAGTTCATCATACACAGGGGGACTACGCTGGGAGTGGCACAGGGAATATTTTCGTCGCTGTTTAGCTTCTGTCCTATCTCCATATACCAGGGCAAGATATCGATAGGCTACGTGACATTCTACACTTTCTTGCCGGTGTTTAGCATTGTGCTATCCAAAGATATGGCTAAAAAAGTGTCCAGAAAGTTTCCTGAGCTGTACTCGGATATATCGAATGGAAGCGTTCTGAACGACACAACATTCAGCATGTGGATGTTCATGGGCTACTATCAGGGCGTGGTGATTATGGTTCTTACTTTGGTCTTCTTCGAGAATGCCCTGATACAGCTGGTCAGTATTACCTTTTCTTGTCTCGTGCTGAATGAGCTCCTGATGGTTTTTCTCTGTGTCAGCAGAGTTCACAAAGTTATGATAGTCGCGCAAAGTGTGTCTATTTTGATGTACTTAGTCAGTTTTAAAGTGCTGTCCGATGAAATATCCATTCCAAAAGAGTGGAGAAAGTTTTTAGTGCAGATCATTCTCGTAAATATGGTGGCTATACTTCCTGCTATTGTCCAGTGGGCGTGGAGGCTGTGGATGAACCCTCCGAGCTATAGAAAGATACAGGCAGCATACAGCTACTAGTAGGAAGAAGAGAAAGCAAGAAGAATAAAAAGTAAATCATTTGGTCTGGTTTTTCAATTTAAATCTAATCTTTTATTTTCCCATTCCGGCAATTCAGCTATTTCTGCGGTTTTTGCATCTGATCTAGCATCTGTTACATATACCTTTGTCTTATATACGCTGCTACATTCGGTCTTTCGTATATTATTATGTTCTTGCTTATTGACTTAAGCAAGTTCTCTGTGTATATTTTGTTGTTCCTTGTGAATCCGCTGAATATATACGTGTAGCTGTTGTATTTTAGCGATTTAAGCAGCTTATCTACTGAGCATATGCCCACTGTCCATTCGCTATTACTAAATCTGCTAGATCCTGCTATTCCGTTCGTAGATGATAGACACAGCGGATCCTTTTCGAAAGACACTCCGTCGATTAGTGAATATTTCTGATACTCCTTAAGATACCTGTCCTCCTGTGATGCGTCGCTGACTACCACGAGAATTCTTTCTTTTTTCTTTTTTATTTCTTTTATTCTCTCGTATATCAAGAGCATGTTCAAATGCTGCATCTCTGCATACGATACGTTGGGTATTTCCTGCACGATTATTCTGTTTGCATTCTTAAACTGTATCTTTTTATCGAGTGAGATGTGCAGAGGCGCACTTTCTTTTTCGTATTCTAAAATATACCCTGCTATCTTAGTTAGCGAGCTGTCTACTATCCACAGCTCATTTTCAGAGAACTTTCGAGCCGGCACAACCTCTATTCTACCGGAGAATGCATCTTTGTGTGCTATTTCTGTTGTGCTTTTTATTACCCCTGCCTTGTGGACTAGATAGCACTCTTTTGTCCTGTCTATCTTTGTTATTTTGAGTATCTTTCCATCTTTTCGGATTATTATGTATCCTGTGACAGGATAGCTGAAGGAAAGAGAGTGTTCATTCTGGGATATTTCGAGTGAGGGCAGCCCTATTGTTTTTGCTCCTCTCATTAGCTGTCTCCTTAGGAAAAGCGACTTGTAGACTTTTTCGTACTGCTGTTTGTACAGGAAGTATTCAGAGAGACCGTTCAACAGCCTTTCTATGTTGTCCAAAATGTATCTTTGGTCTATCCCCAGCGAGTATCCTTTTACCTGTCTCTTCTGCACGTACCTGTCAAGGAGTATTTTTATTTTCAGCTCTACCGTTACTTCTTCTTCGTTATTTTTATTTTTACTGTTATTTTTGCCACTTTTGATAATACTACTGATTCCTCCAAGAGTATCAATATTATTTACACCCAGGTCCTTTCTATCGTCTTTTCGCACTAGAATGTTCTTGTACTCGTCAGTTGCTGCAAGGTAAGATATTATTGTGCTCTCTTCTGGCATACCGTTCCATTCTTCGATTGTTGACTCGCTCAGGAAGTAGTGGCTAACTATTCTCCCTAGATCAGTCATTATCACTGTTTCACTGCTTTTCTCTCTCTTGCTCTCTCCCTGCTCTGTTTCTGCTGTGATAAAATCCAGCTCCTTCAGTCTGTTCAGCGAAAGAATAATGTAGTCTTCTACTGCTCTCGGGATATCTCCAGATAGCAAACCGTACTTCTCGGGAGACTTGCACATTCTCACAAACAAAAACGTGCATCTAAACCAATGCACAGCATCGCTGTGGTTCTTTATGTTTCTCAGGTAAATCTCTGCTGATATTCTATCTGGAAGACTTTTCAACAAGTCGCTTTCTATCGGGTCTTCTACACGAAGCATTCTAACGTATTTATGCAAGGAGGAGTGGTCTGTGATAAGCACACCTTCAGCCACTGTATCATACTGCGGTCTGCCTGCTCTTCCAAACATCTGCTGAATATTCAGTATATCTACATCCACATATCCTCCTTTCTCTACGACGTATATCTCAGTTCCAAACACAATAACCGTTCTAGCAGGCAAATTCACTCCCCAGGCCAGTGTAGACGTGCTTACCAGAATTCGCACTTTTCTGTTTCTGAACTTCTCTTCTGCAAACTGTCTTATCTCTCGAGGCAGTCCTGCATTGTGTATAAACACCCCCTTCCCATACACTTCCTTCATTTCTCCTGTTATTCCCATCTCTTCTGCTTCTTCTATTCTGTTTTCATCTGTTTCCAGGTCTTCTGAGAGGATATTTGCTACTGCCAGAGTGTTAGCTCGTGTGTGCACAAAGACAATCGCTTGATTGTGCGTGCCTAACACCTTCTCTATTTTTTCTTTTAAAATGTGGACCATTTTTTCTTTTGTGTCCATCCTCTTTATAAAGCTGCTGGCACCTGCATCCACGTTCTTTCTTGTGCCAACAATCGAATACGTTATGGGAACAGGTCTGTCGCCAGGCGTAAATATGTGTGTGTTCTGTGGCTTTACCATTAGAAAAGCAGATATGTCCTTCGGATTAGGCATAGTAGCTGATATCCCCACTAGTCTTGTATGTTTCTGATTTCTGCTGGATGACATCTTCAGCCGGCACACAATTCCCTCGATTGTTGGGCCTCTGCTGTCGTTTAATATGTGTATTTCATCAAACACCACAAGTGCGGTTTTTCTCAGGAGCTCTGATGACACTTTTCGTGTGCTCACATCGTACTTTTCAGGAGTGCATACTAGCACTGTGCTTTTCTCCATTTCTTCTCGGGTTAGCTCTGTGTCTCCAGTGCACTCGCTTACTAGCACAGGCAGTCTACTCCTTAGCTTGCATGTTATCTCAGCTGCCAGCGCCTTCATTGGTGCAATGTATATGATTTTCGCGGTTTTATCCTGTGACATTTGTTCCAGCTGTTTAACTATAGCTAGAATGGCTATATCTGTTTTTCCTGCTCCTGTGGGTGCTGATACCAAGACGTTCTCCGTGCTCTTGTATACACTATCTATGACAGCAGACTGCACTCTATTGAAATATTCATAATGTGTACTGAATATGTTTCTGTACGGTTTTGATATTATTTCAGTTGGCACCAGAGGAATTTCAGCAGAGGATGGAGCTGTCTCTAAAATGTATTCGTCATAGTACTCCGTGCAGTTTCTCTTGATGCGGGGCGCTAGCACTCTGTCCAGCTTTTCTTCTACGCTAATCACCCTGTGGCTCTGCTGTATTTTTTTTGCGCTTTGCACTTTCTTCTTCTGTTCTTCCAGAAGGAAGATAATGTCGCCTATTGATGCATCTCCCAGCAGGTCCAATAGGTCCTCCTGCGGTGTGGACGAGTTCATGGCTCTTTTGATGAGTGTTTCAGACTCTTCATTGGTTATTCCAAATAATCTGGACAGTTTTCCTACGATGGCCTCCATTGGATGAAAACAAAAAAAAGGATTTCTATTTCTGGCCCGCAGAATAATTCATCCATCAGAAGAAGAGAGACCAATAGAGAGGAAGAGATCTGGACTATAGAAGTATAAATAGAGGCTGTAAATCGAAGGTACAATGAAATTTATAAGAGTAGCAATAGCAGTAGCAGCTATAGTATCAGTACTCGCATACGTAAGAGCAGCATCAAACCCAAAGGAAGAAGGAGAAGGAGTAGATAGCGCCAATCCAAGCAGGAAATGCGAAAACAAGAACTGCAAGAACGCAAACTGTAAGTGTCCCCCAGGCCAGTGCAAATGTGGAAAAAACTACCAGTGCTCAGATGATAAGAAGAATGATGACAGCAAGAAGGATGAGAAGAAGAGTGACAAAAAGTAGCATATCTCAGCCACTGTGGCATAACACTGTCTGTTTATTAAGTAAATAAATAGCATATCCTAAGACCGTTTTCTTTTTGTTTTTTCGTCTGTTCTTCATTTATTCTCCTAGCAGTAAAGTGTATACTGCAGGTTAATATAAAATTTTGCAGCTATATTAGAGTATTTGTTGGCTATTGCCTAGTTTATTTCTGAATGTATACGAAAAATTAAATAAAAGTGTTCTTTATTTTTATTCTCTTGTGAATTGCAAAAGCATTCTGTTTTTATTTTTGGTACGTATTTCTTTTATTTGGCAATTTATTTATGTGTTTATTTTTATAGCAACAGGTACACTGCGATAAACACTCGGCAGACCACTAGGAAAATATCCTCTGATCTTTTGTATCTCTTGTTTATGTTGTATCTTATGTAGCTCGAGTAGTCGTCCATTGAATAAAATTTTTATGGAAGAAACTGTTAAATAGCTAAAATATTTTACTCTAGCTAACTCTCTTATTTTCCTCTTTCTGATGTGATTGCTACTTGGATTCTAATTGAGTGCTTGTTCTTGGATCATCACTATCCTGGTACAGCCAATGAATACATTTTTGATATCACAGAAAAAGTATAAATACGTCCCAAGAGCAAGAAAGCACAATGAGATTCATAAAAACAATAACACTTATTACTGCAATACTTGCTGTTCTGCTGATGCTGGGAAGAGTGTCAGCAGGCAGCCAGCCAAAGGCAATCAGCGCATACGGGTGCGGCAATGCAAACTGCAAGGACAAGAACTGTGCTTCATCCAATGTCTGCAACGATGCAAAGTGCACACCCGAGACATGCAGTAAAAAGGCAGGAGAGTGTGAAAATGGAGAAGACTGCACAGGAGATGACTGCAGCGGCAAAAACTGCAATGGAAAGAACTGCGAGAAGGGAAACTGCAACGGAAAAGAGTGCTGCAAATAGAGAGATAGAGTAAAAGTTCATTTAATTATTGAATTTGTGATTAAATAAACACTTTACACCAACTGTTTTTCTTTTGTTTTCAATCTATATACTTAGCAACAAACAGTAAGTTGTTGTTAATAGGCTGATCCATTCCAACTGGTTCTATCTTAGTTTATTTTTAGCTGGTAGTGAAAGTAAAATATTTTCCATCTTTTATTTTTAGACAATTTCTATTTTCATTTTACTTGTTCTTTCGCCTTCCAATATCCCACATATAACCATTCAATTTGCAGCAAATCACACATCTATACTTTTTACTCTCTTCCCGCTATCAGGCTGCTGCTCACACAGCAAGTACACTACCATCAATCTACACTCTGCACTCATTTCATAAACACAGAACAGCTACTAGTCAGTCTATCGTGTAGCTCACTCATAGCCCAGTACATACTTAATCCTTTCCTCTATTTCTGCTTCACTTGGCGTTGGCTTGTTAGTCACTGCATTGGATATAACAAACTCATTTGCCATTTTTTCTATTGTGTTGTCTACTCTCGTGTTCCACTCTTTTATTTCGCTCTCTTTTATCTCTGTGCTCTCCTGCATAAAGTACGTCTCGCACTCTGGGAGTATCTTGGTGGAGAGAAATATCTCGGGCAGCTGGAAATTAGCCACAGACGGAACCAGAGCCACTCTACCACACTCTTCGCTCTCCAGTATGGAGCACAGGAGCTCCGCCCGTCTTAGCACGTCTTTTTTATTCAGTATTTGCTTTAGTCTATCCATTTATTTTTTTATTTTTCTAACCCCAGATGACTAAAATAGATCGCAGAGAGAGAAGATACGAAGGAATGGCAGACGACTTGATAATCGTTAGCCAAGGAGTAATGTACGCAGAGTTAAATGACTTCTTCTCCAAATTCCTCAAAGACGATTCATACGCCGGAATGGACTACAAGCCATACAGCACGCCAATAGAAATAACTCTGAAGCTCGGAAAACCAGCAGGACTCCTCGAGAACAACAAGCTGAGAATAAAACAGCTCATTTCCCTGATACAGATGAGATTTGGCCTCGAGAAGGACTCTGTCTCCATCTTCATAGAGCAGGTGAAGAACAAGGCGCTCAACGCACAGATCCAGGCAGATTTCATTAGAGAAAAGATCAGCGCCGCCATCCCCGTTAGAAAGGCAGTGTCCAGCGCCATCAGAACCATCATGGAAGGAGGAGCAGGAGGTGTGCAGGTCGTCATTTCAGGAAAACTCAGAGGACAGAGAGCAAGAAGCTACAAAGTAACCGGAGGAATACTGATGCACTCAGGAAATGCAACAAAAGACTACGTAAAGAAAGGACAATCAAGCATTCTGCTGAAGCAGGGAGTGCTGGGAATCAAGGTAGCTATCACGCTGAACTACGACCCCACAGGAAAGACAGGAACACCAGTCCAGCACCCCAACAGAGTAACAATATTCTCCCCAGAAGAGCTCCATGAAATGAGAAAAGTAAAGACACCAAAGGCAAAGGTCTACGAACAAAACAAATAAATATAAGTTTATTTATTCATTGCTTCTCCAGAGTGTTTCCTGCTAGCTATCTTTTATTTCTACTTTTGTCAGTGGTCCAGCGGCTAGTTTCACTCTTATTTTCACTTCTCAAATGTTTCTTCTTCGCTTCCATCAGCTGATTCTTTAAATATTATCCATTGTCTAGTCTCATTCCTAGCTGCTTTATTTTCTATAAATAGCCATCTATTTCCTATAGCTGATTAACTAGCTGAATTTATCTGCTAGTTTAGGCACTCTGCTCTGCTACTCTTTTCTCCATCTGTTAATCTAGCTCTTCTGCTTTACTTCTCTCTACTCTATCTACCACTCTTAGCACTCTATCTATTATCTACCATCGATTATATCAGACTTAGCATCTTCTTTATATTATTCTGTGTAGGTGGTGTGATCCATGCATACCCGTTCATGGCGAATATGCTGATGGCATCTGTATCCAGCACGGGAGGATGCAAAAGATACTTCCTGCACTGCAGTATCCCTACTTTTATCACTGCTCCTCCCTTCAGCAGGCCCATTCCCTTGATTGCTTCTGTTTTGCAGGATATCACTGTTTCACTGTGCAAACTGTCATCCACCACTTGTGCAAGTATCGCATCTCCTATGTTCAAATTTATTCTGTTTCTTTTGGTGACGCTTGGGAAGTCCATGTAATTGATGATCGCATACGATGGCCCTCCTATATCTACCTTGTACGTTTCTTTCCCTTTCCCTTTGACTATTCCTATGACTATGTCGTCTAATAGGGGCGCGTACTTTGCTTGCTTGTAGTTCACCCAATAGTTGCTCTTGTCAAGTGATAGTAGCTCGCCAATAGACGAAGATGTGGCAGCTCTTCTGTTTCTGTTGCTGCTGTGCTCAGAGACCTTTGCGCCTATCGACATGTTTTGAAACTCTGCTTCAATTTCCTCCCCGGGGACTACGAACATTCGAAAGAATAAAATATTTCTGTTTATGTTTCATTTTACTTTGTTTACTATCGAAATGCACCGCAGCAGAGAAAAAGAAGAGACGAGGAGCAAAAAGACCTTTGATTCTGACAGGAGGCGCAAAGAGAAAAGCAGATGTGACAAAACAGAAAAGATGGGCGAAGTAAAGAAGGGAGACTTCTACAGGATACTGCAAAGCAACGGAAGAAGCGGAACAGGAAGGATAGTGGAAGTGGGCGATAGAGAGATAAAGCTAAGCGAGTACACAGACTCAGAGCACGCAGTGGCGTACGAGTATTCGATAAAGATAGAGAACATAAGAAGTATTGAGCCAATGGTTGCGTCGATAAGAAAGGAAAGCAGCAACACAAAGAACAATGTAGTAATAGTGACAATGACCACAGGAACCATGGGATACGGCGAGCTAGTTAAAGAGACAAGCGACGAGCTAACAATGACGAATTTCGTATTTTTCTCAGACGGATCTATTCCCTACGGGATAACAGTAAAAAAAGAGCTGGTGAGGGAGTTCCTGCGATTGAGCGCGCCCCTGAAGGAGGCAGAGGAAGAGTTCAAAACAGACGCAGAGATAGGAAGAAAGAAAAACGAACAAAAAGGACAAAAAAAAGAGATGGAGTCGTTCTACCAGAGCACAAAAGAGCCAGAGTACCAGCCAAAGGAAAAACAGGAAAAGTGGAACCAGTTTGCAGAAAATGAAAAACTTTTTGGGCTGAAGGCAACATTCGACGAGTCAATGTACACAACAGTGCTGGACAAAAACTCAAAAGAGTACAAAGAGTACGCGCAGGAAGCAGAGGATATCGCCAGAAGAATAGACAAGCCCGTCTCCTCGAATGCGCACCTGGAGGAAGAAAGAGGCAGAATAAGCGATAGGCCAGAAGACGAGAAATACAGCACGGCTGCTATAAGACAAAAACAGAAGAAAACCCAGCAGAGTAAGACAGCAGA